TAAGCACACTTCCAATACAATTACTCTCTCCTTAAAAAGAGCTACACTTCACTACATTCTTGCAGCCAGATCACAGCATGGAGACTTTGCGGCATATCACGAACGCTTCAACCACACTACAGCTCACACTCTCTGCTCATGCGGTAAAAGGAAAACCCCGTTACACTTCTTCTGCAAGAAAGGCAAAGCTTACAAAACACTTACGAAAAGCCCACCATCTGAAGCCATCCCCTGGCTTCTAGGCATCCCCACAGGTGGTCTCGCACTAGCCAAATGGCTTGAATCCACCAAATTCTACACAGATATCTGCCCACAGCTTGTATCTGCAGCTTAAAAAAAACAAAAAAAAAAACAAAGCCTCTCCTTCGTTTTCCCTCTACTTACTGTATCTCCTTTTTCAAACAGGTACTCAAAGGGCTTATTCTCTCTCCTCCTCTTCTCCTTCCTTCTCTTTACATCTCTATTCTTCTCTTCTCTTTTTCTCTTCGTTCCTCCCCTTTCTTTAAAAAGGAAAAAAAAAAAAAAACAGTAAATACACAAGATAATTCAACAAAAACGTATGAGGGGAAGGGAGAGTGATCAAGAGCCAGTGATCTAGTGGACGAGGAGGACCACAATATTAACCACTAAGCCAACCGGCCCCAAATCTGTCGCGAAGGCAATCATGTAAACCCTGCCCTAGCCCCTTTAAATTGTATATAAATACCCTCCCTAGCTAGCTAGTACACTACTCAGAGGCATACTCCTCTGAGCGTCATTTGTCCAAAACTGGAATAGATGGCTAAGGTTATCACGCGCCAAGGCGCGTGGGCCTACGGCCTATGACGATAAACACAATCAATCAATCAATCAATCGAGAGCCTAGAGCACTTCCACGTGATCTAGACGGCAAACCTCGTAACATAAGGGTGGCCCAAAAGTAGGGTATTAGACTTAACAAATACAATAATAGCTGCTGAACTCTGAACTATGAATCCGTGAATATTTCATCCATCCATCCATCCGTCCGTCCATCCGTGCATTCATTAAATCAACCACCGTAAACAGCAGATCCCAAATTTCAAATCTCAGAACTTGTTATGCTCATTTAAATCTCCGTTGAATCATACAATAAGCTCAAATAAAATCAGGTCAAATAAAGTCCCTAAAAATGCTTATGTCCATGTCCACTCCCTACTGACCTCAAAATCAATCACTTTATCCCCTCCACTCAGACCCATTAGTCACACCAGAACTACTTCCCCCTGGCTTCGGCAAAGTTCCATCCTCTTCACTCTCCTCTCCATCCTCATCTAAAATCCTAGCCAACTCATCCGGATCTTTCATTTTCGCATCACCATCCACATCCGCCGCATCAACCACACCACTTTCCTGCCCTTCAAATGAGGCATGTTGACTTTCACCTGCAAGTACACCTTCATCCGCACTAACTGAAATACCTCTCGCTCCCCATTTACTCGTATTGCGACCTGTATCTTGTCTACCACCCAATGCTGGAGTTGCTTCCTCATCTCCTTCATCTGCTTCTGTTCCTGCCATATGTTTGTTTCCCAACACGCGGTTTAATAACCATCCTCTACTAATATCATCTGCATCTACTACTCCTCCATTCCTAAGCTTGACGCGTTGTCGAGAATAGTATACCCATGCGAAATCGATATAAAAAGCAGTTTGAATTATTCCACCAATAATTGATATCGCATCTGGGGAACGATCATTTATATCCAGAGAACGCCAGATCCAATTTAAAATATAAAAGAATCGATAGGAACCGAGTGTTACGAGGTAGTAGGAATCGAGAACTGTAGGAACGGTAGTTTGTCGGAGGAGGAGAAGTTGTGGAAGAATACATGTTGATTCGAGAAGAATGGAGAAAACCCATAGAACCTGATATCATATTAGTATCCCAAATCCATGTCATATTCATATTCTTGAAAATATACAAACCTCCATAAAACCCCAAGCATATTTCCTCTCAAAAATCATCATCAGAATGGGCGCCAAAACCGCACTTCCAACAAAACAAAGACCCCCCAATTTCCATGCCTTTTCACGTTCTCTCGTGCGTGCATAAACTCTCAACATCAAAAACAAGATGTAGAGACTCGACCCGATATAAAAGATTTTGAGTGTAAAATTCCAAAGAATGAAATAACCCGAGAAGAGATCGAGATAGCGAGTTATGAAGACCATGGCATAGAGGGATTGAGTGATGAGAGAAACACCTTGATAGGTATTAGCTTGATAAATGGTTTGGGGACTGATGGGAGGTAATACCTTCAGCAGATGAGTTTCGGTGGATTGCGTATATGAGGATACATTTTGAGAGTGTGTGGGAGATATCTCCCAGTATGCGGAAGAACTGGAGAGTGTTAGGAACGGTAGGTGGAAGGGTAGAGAGGGGAAGAGCTTTGAATGCGCTCAGAGGTTGGCATACATTAAATCCGACCATCTTATATGTTTGTATATGTCAAACTCAATTCAACTATTGTAGATGATTGTTGTGAGGTAAAGGATGGATGGATCTGTGGTTGATGAGCTTTGAGAGCTGTGAGTGCAGTGAGAGCTGCGAAAGCTATGGTATCCAGCAGATTACGCGTCGCCGGCGTTATGCGACAATATCATGCATTGCAGTCAGGTTCGTTGAACTTATGTGTGGAATTCCTCGTAGATCTCAATGCTAGATATTTTATAAACTCTCAAAAAGAAGCATCAAATCAAATAAATCAGGACAGTTTGTTGGGATGAATGAGAAACAGAGCAACGTTGTACATATGTGACAAGCTGTTCCTTCAGCGGTTCGGTTGTGGCTGATGAATGAAACTGTGGCTGAAGCTTGTGATTTGGTAGCTGTGGTGTTGGTGTTGCCATATTGAGGGATTAATGTAAATCTGTTAAATCTGATCATTCTCATTCCTTTTCCAGATTAAAGGCATTGATGAAGTAGCTTTAGTAATAGTGAGTTGAGCAAAGGTTTATCGGCCATCAACCATCAATCATAGAACTGAGAGACAGAATATTTATTGATATTTCAAATCTAGAGCTTGGTGTAAATGCTGAATCTTAGACCACCCATAACCCATCTATAAAGGATACAATGAAATAGCTATATACAAATTTGTCTGAGTTCTATCTCCCAGGATGCTCTCAATACAGATAATCCTCCACCCTGAGTCTCTACAGTTCTTCCTCTACCTCGGTCGTTGGGATCTTGTGTCTCAATACGACCATGACTTCCATCTTCTCCATATCTAAGAATCTTGCTCGCTTTCGCTCCTTTCATGTATTTCTCACCTCTCCATTCTCTATTGTTTGGAACTCCTAGGTTTCGATAGTCTACAGAGTCTTCTGATATCAGGCTCGGTGTCTCGTTGTTAAGGGAACTGTTTGCAGCCGGTGCCCCCCACCACATCCCAAATCTCCCCTCTTCATCCTTGGTGTTTAATGCAGCCTCAGCATTTCGTCTGATCCAACCTGCATATTTCGAGCACTTGCCAGAATGCCATTCTCTATCGAGCTTCAAACTCTCTTCGGTGCCTGCATTAGGTCTTGCCGGTAAATCGCTACAGAGCGCCGTCAAATGATGAAAGAATATGCCCTTGAAAGTTTGCCCATCTTGGGAACAGGAACCATCTGAATCGCAAGCTTCTTCTAGTATCCCATTTCTACCTAAACCAAACCATTTCGCCAAAGTGGAACCATTTTGGGGTGGTGGTGAAATGACAATGTCATGGTTCAAATCGTAACCTGTAGCATTAATAACATCATGGATGAGTTTGTGGCCATCTTCAAGGTATGATCGTGCAGCAGTCGCATCATAGAGACCACGTTGGCCAGTAAGCAAAACCCCTTGATTGTATGTATATACCATCTCATTTCGAGAATCGCAGCGGGTATTGTCACTGGTAGAAAGATTCGAGATATGATATCCATCGACATATAATCCTTGCAGATCAGTCATGTTTGAGCTGTTCAACCATTTGTAAGCATCAACAGCTGCTTGAAGATATTTCGGATCCCGAGGTGGATAGGTAGAGTTTGAATATAGAAATGGAGATTGGTTAGAGTCGCCAGGGAAATATAGGTACATCGATATCGAAGCTGCGATATAGAGTTCATTGGTGATGGCATTCTTGTATGGGAGAAGATATGGAGACCATATCATTCCACCACCACAGAGAGTAGTATCCCATCCTTGTGATGCTAACTCCCAAAATAGTCGAGCGCGGTGTGCAAATGCAGGTTTGTATTGTTTTCCGTACCATTCTGGTTGAGAGAGGTTGGAATAATGTAATTCCGAGTGTAGGTCAATGAATTTCACCGTCTGCAACCAGCCCAAAACCACCCATAACATATCATCATAAGCTTGTTGTCGTAAAGCAAAGGCATCTTGACCAAAATAAAAGCCAATTAATTCAGCAAAGTATTTGTTGATGATATTCTCGTTCGTCTTTGGCGAGGAGAGCGCGGAGAAGGACTTTGACAGAGTACTAAGGGCACCAGCGACATATGTGCCTGTTTAAAAAATTGGTGTTAGTTATTGCTTTGGCTTGTTTGAACATTGAGAGAAATGAGAATACCAATAACTGCTGACGTCCAGTCAATTCCTGTGGGATAAATGCCTTGCCAAGTCGCAAAGTAATCTTCTTGTAGCACGTCCAGCGCGCTCACCATCGCAGGTAGAATTTTTGAATCAAAATCTTCATGGTTGATGGGTTTTTGAGAGTGCTCGTTCGTTGCAATATCTTCATTATTCGTAAGTGGTCGTTGGATCAGGTTATTATACTGTCGCACAACATCATTTGAACTCGCAGATACGCCAATTGAGAAAAACAGCCCGCAGAGGATGCACAGCAGCAGTAACGATATGCGCAATCGTGAATTGGTGACAAGGGAAAAGGAAATCATGGCTGAGGCTCCTCCTCCGGTCGAAGGGCAACAATTTGCATGGAATGGAATGAGATTGAAAGAAAACGAAAGCAATGAGAAAGGATTCTCTCTGTCTTTCTTGATCAAGGAGGAAATGCAGACATTTATATTCGAGAGGGAAAATAAGGAAAAAGAAGAAACCCACAATGAAGATATCCACGAGGTCTTACAAAGGGAAGAAACAAAATGAGTAGATGGATTCAGAAATAGATTTGAACTGAATTGGGAGGATTTGAGGGGAAGTCCTCGTGTCCTGGTCTTAGAAAAAGAGCGACCGGGGCGGCCAAGACAGTTTCATACCTTTTTAAGAGTAGCACCAGGTAGCCCTGGGTTAGTTTCTTTCAAAATTGCGGAGGCGCGGGGTCTAAACCACCAGAACCCTTACATCATGTGCCATCGGAGAATTTTTACCTTTTTGCAGCATCATGCACGATCTTATCATGATCTCATCACCCCTACCTTTCTTCACATGGGAATAGTATCATTTTCCTGAATTTACGATAATGGAATTACTTATTTGTCTTTGATGACTTGCTTTTTTCTCCCCATAAAGTTACCCCATGAAACGGATTAATGTTCATGGGATCTTACTTATGACCAAAAGAAGATGGAAGACTGTCTCTACAGGCACAAGTAGCTGTGTTAGATGAACAAGGGGATAATAAGATGTGTGGCTGGTATTGCTACTGTTTATGTTGATGTCTCTTTCGGCACTTACTCACCACTTAGTAATATACTTCATCATTTTCTATCGAACAATCATGCCGTTTTACCGACCTTGCCGCAGCTGAGTGCTAGACTTCAAGACTCCTTTCGAACCAGGACCTTCTTTCATCGGCATTTGATAGTTGCTTATTGCAATACACACGTTCCTCTTTGAACTCGTGGGTATTTAAGTAGCATTATGAACTGTCGATTGCCTGAAAGTAAGTTACAAAGTGAGGAAAATGGTTCTTTTGGGCTCAAAATTTTCAAGGATGTAGCGCTATTGAGCACAATCAATGATCGCTTCTCATCAAAAGGTCCGTTGACACATGAAATTCACGATTCAAGCACCTATGATCTTGATCCTTCTTTCTCTCTTTCCCTTCCTCCACCAAGCACATCCGAGGCATCAATGAAAGCGTCTTTTCTTATGGAAGCACAACGACAAATGGTGTGAGAGAAATACTTTTAGCTGCAATATAGGCCTGTTCCCATCTCCATTGATTAGGATGGGGGTATCGTGGGGGCGTCTTCCAGGGTTGAAAGGGATCACGACCAGATTACTTCCGGCCGTAATAGTTTGGACAAAGACCAGAGACCTTGGGTCCTCCCTTCAAATTTGAGACCACCACAAGCTCCGAGAACATCAGCAACAACAAGAAGCACTCAGCCGAGGCTTCAATCGATCTCAATGAGGACAACGATGAGGACCCACGACCCACGATCTGCAAAAGGAAAATGTACTGTTTCAACCACCGAGAATGCCTTGCTAGCAACGCATGAGCACAGTCAGTGCATTGCCTCCAATTTACGCCGTGTTTGAAGACACAACCTAGTTCAGATAACTCACCATCTCAAAAATAACTACGAACGATGCTAATATACATTCGTAGGTATTCGGCCGTTGTAATAGAAGATCAAAATGACTATAATTTTGTACGGATATTGCATTAACATGTCAAAAACATCGGAAGCTTTCCACTTTCTATATTCAAAAATTTAGTCCGCTAGTGAAGCAAATTATGCATTGAATACGACTGATTCTATCTATAGAGCTTCATCCGTTCGAGGATTGGTGGTCAAAGTAGGCCATGGGTTTGGATGTATAAGATGGATGGAAGAGACAACCAGTGCACCGTTACTTACTTCATCTAGCCGTTACCTACTCTAACTCATCTCGCCTGGTTCCTTCATTACTTCTCGTTGCTTTTTTGCTTATATCTTGAACTGTCTCTGTTGAACTACTCCTTGTTCATCTCATCATATATGCTCACTGCAATGGCATTCAGCGGCCCACCTTCTTCCGAAACCATTACAACAACAGTTGGTGGCAATGACGAGGAATTAATTGAACAATTTACAACCCTTGGTGAATAGCTGATCAAAACCCTCTATAGGTTCAATTTTACTCGCAGTTATCCCATGGAAGATATGTAGTAAATAGTAGGAAGTCACCAAACTACTCATGTCACGCTAAAATACTTGGAAAATACTCTAGCTGGAAATTTACCCCTTGTCGAATACGAGGGTAACCATTAAAAAATATTGCTTCTTATTATAAAACAATGGATATTACAAGTGTAATTTCGACTTATTTCAAGTAGATTTCTACACTCCGGATGTGATTCATTGGAGTATATATTTTATACGTGTTCCGTGACAGAGGAGGCTTCTCAATTAGTACTAATAAAACTTTAATATTCGACCGGAGCTCTTCTTTCCATGGATTCTTTATTGTTTAGTTTATATATTTAAGCTCCCTATTACTCCCAAAAGAAATTAATATTTTGATAATGTGGTTGTGGTGATTTTGCCCGAGGCTAATGGCAGCCATAAAAGGCAAGGTAAGATAGGATCTTACGTGCACGGTCCATATAGCCTCTGCTTTCAAGTTCTATAAAAGACCACGACATCCCCACTCCTCGTCATTTTTTTCTCAATTGCTTTGAACTCGTTTTCGTTCGCAGCTTTTTTCTTACATTCGCTTGACTTTACAGATGTGTCACAGTGTCAAAACTCTTGGCTCAGCTTTAGATGATTTCAAGAATTGTCACATGCGCCCACCATTGTCTTCACGGCTGCAGCTTTGAGGCAGAGATTACAGGCTTAAGGATACTTGTCGCTGAGCTTCTGGTATATTCTAAAAGTAAGAGAATATGTTGAGTTACAAATGACAAGTTGGTGATAATGAAGGGAAAGGCATAAAACTTCCCCACACCTCTTTTCCGTGTGTATGTGTTGTTTTCTCATTCTAGACTCATCATACTATACCAGATGTCAATTTTGTCCCTCCTGTCTTTTATCTCACTCATGTACCCAGTTTCAATCCACACTACAGGCATGCCCTAGCTCTCATTCATTTCTTGCAGGAGAACGGCGACAGTACTGTCCTGGGATTGTTCATCATGTCCGTACAAACTTCAGGCAGGACTTTGATATTGCGGCTAAGACGCCTAGCTTCCATAGTCAAGGGCAGGCTGGCTAGGGGGAAGCAAACGCGATTCCAAAAGCGATTCGAATAGAAGCGAAGTTCGGTTAAATTTCTGGTTTAAAACAACCATAAAAGGCATGGTCCTTGTCTTTCCATCAATCTCTTCGACCTTCAGGTAGCTATCGATATTGCCCTTTCCCCAGACGTATTCCCCGCTCGTGCAACACGTCCAGTACTCGACGAGTTTTCGAAAGTTCATCTGCACACTGGAGCCATTCTTGACTTTGAATTAGTCGAGCGCAACATTTGCTTGACGTTCGACAATGTTGATTAGACGTTTGTTGTCCTTTTACCTTTCGTTAGGTTTGATTTGCGCTCCTTCAAGCGCAGCTTATGCAATGCTACGCCTGCACATGAAAAGGAGCAACAACAAGTCACATCCAATGGCCAACAATTACCAACCAACCCAATTACATAAATGGGCGCTCCAAGAGTAAAATCGTCTTAATCATGGTGGCCGTGTGTCTGGCCGTATTTCTGGGAGCTTTAAATGTGATTTTCGTGACCACAGCTATACCCAAGATTGGTGGCCACTTCAAATCAAGTGCCAGTTACACGTGGATTGGGTCTGCATTTCTACAAGCCAACGTCGCATCAATCCCGTATGGAGCAGGATCTCAGACATCTTCGGCCGTAAGCCAATGCCCCTGCTTGCTAACGTGATTTTTATGGTCGGCTCTCTGCTCTGTGCCGTCTCCAATAACATCGATATGCTGATTGTTGGGCGTGCTGTTCAAGGGCTTGGTGGCGGTGGCTTGACCATTGTCGTGGAAATCTTTATTGGTTACATCTCCCTTCTAAACATTCGTAGCATTTTCTACGGTGTGCTACTTCAACTCACGGATTTATCCGCCAGCACGCGCAAGTTTCCTCCGTGGTTATAGGCCAACTCGTCTACCAAAATGAAAAGGCCAAAAAATACCGCTCTCTCGTCGCCTCGAGTATTTCTCCCTCTCTGGCAAGAATAATTTCCTCCGGTGATGCAGGCGCCGATATCCGAATCATTAATAACTCTCTCCTGATCAATGCACCGCAGTCCATGTCGCTCTCGCAGATTCCCTCAAGTCAATGTGGCTTGTGTACACGTGTATCACCGCTGCCGGACTATTCGCCTCATTCCTCATCAGACGAAAGATTTTGACTCACGCGCATGTAGAAACCAAAACGGGTTTAGAAGCTGAACGTGAAAGGCTGAAGCTCGACTTCGCGAGCGTGAAATGAGAAAGAGGAAGTCTTGAGTTATTTGAGAGCTAGAATTTTTTGTGTGTGCTCCCTATATAAGACAGTTAAATAAGAAGAATCACATTTTTATGCACAGAAGGAAATCTTCCGAAAACTTTTAACAACATCATTCGTGATTGTCATTATATGGTTATGGTAATCATAGATTCAAGGTATTTGTCATTCAAATAAATTTCTAGAGCCGCTGACACCAAATACAAATACATGGAAAGGAAGTGTCCACCCAATACAATCTTGAGGGGTATTGAAGAAACCTCCGCACCCGCACCTAACACCGATTCCGCTAAATTTTAATTTTCATACAAATCTTTGAAAGAAAAGAGTTCAACTTGGAGTTAGAGTTCATGTCAAGTGGCTTATTGAACTCATCACAAGCTCTAGACTTCATGACCTAGTTGGGGCTATTAGTGCTACTCTCATCATGATATCACGATAACTACTTACGACCAAGCGGCTTAGCCCTCTTGTAAATATTATTCGCCTGTCCTTGTCGAACCTTCAAGGCTTTTGCCCTACACACACGACAAATTAGCATCTCTCTTCTATATCCATATCCGACTTTCAAAAACTAGATAGATAGAAAGATATATAAATAAACAACACAACATACTGAGCCTCCATCTCTAACTTAAGCTGTCTCATATGTTCTCTCGCCTCCCTAACCGCCTCCCTAGCATTAATCAACGCCCTATCAGCCTCCCTCTCCATCTGTTCGGCATTAATAATTCTCTGTTCAGCAGCTGCAATCACCGGATCCTGCGCTTGCTGATTTTTGTGCAGGAATCCTCGATGGCGAGTGCTGTTTTGAGATGGGGAGGTGGAGACGGTAGATGTGCTGCGTTCGGAAGGGGATATGGATTCTGGACGGTTACGGTGGAAGATGGAGGAGCTGCGTTTGGGTGGTTCTTCTACTACTGGTTCTGGTTCGGGTTCTTCTTGGTGACGGTTGAAAAGTGGCATTTTGATGATTTCTTTTGAATGTTTTATTTTTATTTTTGATCGATTGTTCAAGATAGGAATTGATTGATTGATTTTATTAACGTCCATCTTCAGTCCAAGACTATATAGGACGGCTAGGCCCTAAGGGCCTAACGGGTCACTTTTTAATTTACAATATTGGATATGATCTAATTGGGGAAGTGAAAACAAATGCTGGGGAACAGTGCCCGCTCATTATACGCATTGCATATAATAAAAAGATTTTGAAAATCAAGAAATTGTGAGGAGGTCAAACCCCTCTCTTATTTCCTCAACTGCTTCTTCTTCATTCTCTTCTCCTCTCTCCTCTTCCACTACTACTCCTTCCTCTATTACTTCTTGTTCAAGAGTCCTTGCTAGATGCCATGCCCTTGTAGCGATTTTAGTGATATTGATAAATTTGATAGCTAATTCGATACCTATTTTTGTATGCAATAGGAATTGTATAGTGTTTTTGGATAATGGTATCTTCTTAAAGATCTCTTTTCTTTTTGTTTTATATATAGGACAGCTAATAAGGAGGTGTTGTGGTGCCTCAATATTACTGCATATACATTTGTTATTGGTGAGTTTGAAACGATGTAAGTAGGATTTGATATATCCGTGACCTAATTTGAGTTGAAAGAATGCGCTAGCAGTATTTCGAGTAGTTCCGCTTGGTAGCTTGATTTTGGAACCTATTTTCCATGAAAACAGCTTCGAGTAAGTTGATGGGGATTGGTTTGATCTGAGTTCGTATTGTTTGAGAGTATCAAGCCATTGATCTGAGGCATATTCTTTGACAGTCATACCTAGTAGTCCAAAGCTTGTTTCGTTCGAGGTAGGTTGTATTGTGGTTGCTTCCTTGGCTAGCTTATCTGCTAGCTCATTTCCTTCAACTGAGGTATGACCAGGAACCCAATTTAAGGAGATTTCGGCTCCTTTTGCTCTGATAACTTCTGCTGCTTTGATCGCTCTTATCTGATTGGCTTGTCCTGGGTGATCTGAAGGAGTTTTTAAGCGGTATAAACCAGCTTGATTATCCGAGTAGATTTTGAACTTTTGACCAGTATAAGCGATTGAGCTAGCGTATTCAATAGCTCTTGTAACTCCAAAAAGCTCTCCATTATATACCAATTGATTAGTACCAATATTGCTTCGCTCTTGATATAGAATTCGATTATTTGATTGTATAGCTACTATGCCTACTCCAATACCTATTCCCTTTTCGGTGGAGGAGGCATCAGTGTAAATATAGGTGGTATCTTTATCCCTATGTTTGAAAACAATATTATGAAGAATGGCAGCATCTTCTTTTGACGAATTGCTAATGTTAACTCGGAAGGGGGTTTCTCTTTTCCATGGGGGGAAGTTAAAATGAATGATCTTTTCGAGTGAGGAAGGGTTGAAGTCCTGGTTTATCGATTCTTTGATTTTATCCAGTTGAGTAGGTTTATATCGTTTTCTTCGAGGGGTAGAGATCGCATCCAAATTGGCTTGATATTGGATTAGTGATGCTTTTTCGATATTGATTGGATGATTTGGTGAAAGTTTAGCTAAACGGAATGCGTATTGCCTAATATTCGAGTCTAATCGAATTTTTGAGGGTTTTAAGCCTGCTTCTACTTCCATTGGAGGAATTGGAGCAGTTTTGAATACTCCTAATATCTTTCGAAGAGCTAGATTTTGAAGTGATTGCATCATATCCTTGAAATGGGCTTGGCCTCTCCACCAAATCACTGATGCGTAATCGGCTATACTGGTCACACATGCTATATATAACTGTCTAAGAGCTTTCGGACTGAGGCCCTTTTCGATATTAGCTAATCGGGCCATTCGATGGAAGGCTCCTTTTGCTTGTGTGATTCGAATATTAACATGTTGATTGAATTTGAGGCTCGGGTCGAACCATATTCCCAACCATCTAATTAGAGATTGAGGTATAATTATTTCCGAATTGGGTAGTTTGATTGGGTAGTTTTTCGTCAATTTGGATGATGAAAAGTGCATTAGCTCTGTTTTTGCTAGGTCGAATTGAATAGCATTCTTTGAGCTGAGTTCGTAGATTTGTTTTGTAGCTCTCTCTAGAGATTTGATATTCTTTTTCCATGTAGATGAATTGGTGATTAGGGCAATATCATCAATATAGGAAAGAAATTTGATCGAATTGGATAAAAAGAGGTCCCTAATGTATATAAGGAAGAGAATTGGAGAAATTGGACTGCCTTGTGGTATTCCGGTCGAAATTGGCTTGAAAGATTCGATTTGGTTATTAAAGGATAGTTTTAGTTGTCTTTGTTGAAGAAATGAAGCTATCCAGGAGATGAGATTCGTCGGTAGTCTTAACTTCTTGCAGATATCCAGTAGTCGATTTTTTGAAACGTGATCGAATGCTCCCTTTATATCCATAAATAATATTGAGGTCTTCTTGTTAGCTTGCTTGTTTCTTTCGATTTCTGTTGTTAATAGAAGTGCAGCATCGATTGCTGATTTCTTTTGGCGGCCTCCTATTTGACTCTTGTGTAGAAGGTGGGTAGTTTCCGCTAAATATCCTAATCGTTGAGCTAGAATCCTTTCACTAATTTTTCCCAGACAGTTTAAGAGTGCAATCACTCTATATGCTTTTGGAAGTGAGTAATCAGGTTTTGAGGCTTTCTTTAGAATAGCTCCAGTAGCTTGTTTCCAGCATTTAGGGTGATATCCGAGATTGAGGAGTTTGCTGAAAAGAGTAAAAAAGATCTGTGGGATTGCTTTGTAGGCCTTTGTAATGATTTCTTGAGTGATCCCATCTGGACCAGGGGTCTTTCCTTGTATCTTAGCTGAGCAGGCATTACTTAATTCGATTTGAGAGAGATTGGGCCATTCCCATTTCTTGGATTGTTTATACCCTACCCATTGTGGTTTTAGAGTAGTAGGAGGGGGAGGGAATAAAGTCGATCTGAAAGCAGAGCATTTTCCTTCAAAAGAGCTTTCTGATGAAATATCCGGTATCCTTTGATCTTGGAAGTCTTTGGTATAGGTCATTGCTTTGAAAACTGTCTGTGTATCCTCCTTTTCTAGGAAATCATTCCAATGATCCTTTTTTGCTGTTTTAATAGCTTGAAAGTATTTGTTTCTAGCAATTCGATATTCTTCCTTAAGATTAGGGTTCTCTCGATTTGATTCGATTGATTGCTTTGCTTTTCCTAGCTCTTTTCGAAGATTTTTCAACTCGGGTGACCACCATGGTTTAGCTCTTTTGATTGAAACAACTTTGGGTATACACCTTTCTGTTGCTTTTTGGATAATCCTTGTAAGTTCGCTTGCTGCTTGATCTAGAATTGAATGGGAATTGTCTCTTTCTTTCAAGAAGTTTAGTGAGTCCTCTTCCGTAGAAGTTATTGAGTCTAAAATAGAAAAAGTAGGGGAATACAGGGATTCCAATTTTAGTATTGATTCAAAATTTTCCCAGTTGGCTAGCTTTGTATTGAATCTAGTTATTGATTCTGAATTGAGGGCGTTTAAGTCTTCTTTTCCTTTCAGTTCGAATAGTATTCCTGCATGGTCGGATCCTGTATCTGAAAGAGTTTGCCAGTTGTGAATTTGGGGAGAGATTCCTTCTGACGCTAGTGTTAGATCAAGGACACTTGGATTAAGGAGATTAGTTCGATAGAAAGTGCTGATTCCGGGCTCGTTTAGAAGAATGGGATTCTGATCTTCAAACCATTCTGCTAATTGATCAGCGTTTCCGCTTTTCTTTGAAAAAGGATCCCACCATGGGTGGTGGGCATTGAAGTCGCCAAGGAGGATAGTTTCTTGTGTGATAGATATATCATATAAACATCTTTCAATTGTGAAACCTTTCTCTTTAGCTTGATCAGCCTCGTTGTATATATTGATAATTTGAAAGGTTTTATCTCCATTTTGACAATTAAAGATTTGTATATCAGGATCTATTGGGGAATCGGGAGCTAGGTTGATTGTGGCTTGAAGAGTTTTTGAAGTGTATAGTAATGTACGAGGTCGAAAGTTAGAATCGAATCTTGGTAGTGTTTGTATGAAATTAGAGTGTATAATAGATCTTGAATTTGAGTAATCGATTCCATTTTTGATAATCCAAGGTTCTTGAATCATAATAAGATCGATATTGAGTTCTATTGCAAGCTGTAGAACGTTCTCTGTAGCTTGTGAGCTCTTATTAAGATTTATTTGAAGAATTCGAATATTAGTGTAACTCATAAGTTGGTGTTATTTGCTTTTTGTTGGATTGCTTGATAGATTTCGCAGGTTCTTGAATTTGCTGTATGCTTTCCTTGGCAGTTCGAGCATTTAGCAGCGAGATGTTGGCAGAACTTTCCTCTGATATTGCAGACTACACATAGATGTACTGATGTGATATGTTTGCCTCCACATAGTCCACAAGAGGGATCCCTTCTGCAATGTGTATCCTGATGTCCGAATCCTTGGCATTTTTGGCATTGTGTAGTTGGTTTGGATTCGTAGAACTTTTCTACTCTTGTACTAGTGCCAGCGATATATAGTCGTTTCCGAATGGCTAGCTCTGCTTCTGATTTTGTTGCAAAAGCAATCACTATTGCTCCTTCCCGTTGATGAGCTCTTTTTGATGATGGTGTAAGCCAAAAAGGGGTTCCTATGGGCTTGAATTCTGGATTGAAGGTTTTGATTTCCTCAAGAATGAGGTCCATTCCTCTTGTTCCAGAAAATTCTTTTATAGGGATTTTATGAATAATGACCTTATGCCATTCTTGATCCTTTTGAATTCTTTCGAATTTGATGAGATTACTCCAGATTGCCTTTTTTTCTAATAGAAGTTGTGATGTGAAAGGTGCATTTGTAGTAATTATTATATTTCTATTCAGCGATAGAGTTACTCCTGCTATAACCGGGCCTTTAATTCCAGTTTTCTGGAATGCTTCGTTTATTTGGTTTCGAATTGATATAGGTGAAAAGGAGGTAATGTTCGTGATCTCTGGTTTCATCAGGATTAAGCGTCTTTGAGGGATTTCGATCTTCTATCTATTGGGGAGGATCTAATAGTTTTTCCCTTGCCTACTAGGTTCCATTCTCCTTCTTTTGTTATTGCTGCATATGTCGATTTAGTGGTTGGTGTATTGATTGGCAAGGGAGCTTTGGTTAGGGCTTTAGCTTGAGTTTCGATTTTCCGTGTAGTGGATTCTAGATGAGTGATTTGGGAGGTGATGATATTGGAGGCGGTGGTGAGCTTTCCTTTTTCGGTATATTCTCTAAAGATCTCTAGGAGATCTAATAGCTTCGATTGCTCATCACATGATTGAGAAAGAGTTGACGCTAATACTATAAGATCTCTTGCTTTTAAGATAGCTTCCTTAGGTGTAGTTGGATTGTTTTTTATTCTGGGTTGTTTATTCTGATTGCTAAGGGGCATTGTAGGGCCACGTTTCTTATTCTGATTGAATATATAGGTAGTATTGGTTGTATCTTGAGTAATAAAGGGGTCACTAAGTAGATTGAAGTCTTCAACTCTTCTTCCAGAACTGGTTGGCTGATTGGTTGGTAGACTAGGGCTAGAGATTTCGAATTGAGGGTTTTCAGAAGGCGGGGGAGGGCTTGAGGGTGTTGGGGTACCTAGAATAACAGTAGGATACGTGTTTGGTATGATGGAGGCTTCTCCCGAAGCCTCTATCATAGCTGTATCCTTGAGTATTGATGGATTGTTGAAGTTATTCATATTGAGGATCTTATTCTGATAGTTTGAGGTGAAAATTTTACGCGAATTTTCGTGCGAGTTTCGTGTTTGGAGCGCCGACGACAGTATCACAACAACTACTGGTCAGAATCACTTGGGGGCAGTTGCAATCAATTTGGTTTAATAGCTATGATCTAGATCGATCGCGAAAGGGTCGTATTTCGAAGAAAAAGTTTCCTTCGAAATTTGTTGTGTGTCAGATAGAATAAGTGTTTGAAGTAAGTATCTTACAACTTGGCGAAAGATTCTCGAGGTATGTACTCTTATGATTTTGATTTTAATAATTATCAAAAAGATGTCCAAGAATACGAGCTGCCTCGTAATACTTATCTCCTTTCTTCTACTCGAGTATTCATGCCCTTTTCCAATCATCATCTGTGTTGTCGCTTCGTGCCAAGTTTTTCCTCCGCAAAAACAGGGGGTTGTATCAATGACGTCAATTACGCGACGTCAGTGATTATCCTTTTCCTGTATTTTGATATAACCAATGATGGATAAATCAATCAATCGATAAAGTTTAGAGGCGTATAGCACAAAATGATATGATTTGAGATGATAATCATATTTGGTTCCAGTTTTGGGAGTTGATCTCCGAAATGCTGGCGGTGAATAATTGGCCGTGGGGAAGCCAATCATGAGTGGGTTGTTGATAGAAGCTTATTGTGAATGGTTACACCAAATTTTCACGGAGTAACTATTTCAAACTTTAAGAAATATCCATGCTCTTGTTGAGGAACTCTTCGGTAGTTTTGAACATATCTAAGACTTTCGTTACAATTGAGAAGACTAGGTACTTAGTAAACCCGAACAAGGTTGGTGTTACTCTGAATGGCCAAATCCTCTGATTCCAGACCAGGAGCTTCCGATATGGTATCAGAAATAATATCGATATGGTAAAGACAGTAATATTTACATTTCAATCTTTAGTATAATTCAAGAGAACCCAATATAAAAACAATATCACTAAATGACGGGTATTGTTCATGAGGCCTTTGAGGAGCAGGTGAATGATTATTAGTGCCTCATCTCAATGGCCATTACACTTGCTTGACGTTTCAATGACAATATAAATTTTTGTTGCACATCTGAAATTTCAAAATCGCTGTTGTTGACTCGAGTCGGCTAATATGCGCCACCACTTTACCAGTCATAATCGATGAAAGGACAAATTGAAACGTTGACTTTGATGTCCGAAGAAGTCACTGCAAAATCATTATAGGGACTGTGTAAAATGAACGACATCGTAATTTTAATAACTAATGACTACTTGGTTGAAGTTCGTTACATTAACTTTTTCATGCCTTGACCGCCGCAATCCTGTTTAAATATATCATAAGATACTCCATTCTCAATAGGTGATCATTCATCCATGACCAAAACACTTCTGAATCTAACATTTCCACTCAACATATGATCATATGCTTTCTGAGCATCCTTCAAGGGGAACTTCTCAACCATGCAGTCAACATTATGCAACTTCGTAAACTCAATGGCCTCTTCAGAGTCCAAGGCATGACCAGATGGGAAACCACAGACTGACGCCGCTCTCATAATGAGATCCACCGTATTGATCTCCACGTTACCACAGGGAGCCAAGATGAGCAACTTTCCACCTGATGCCAATCCAGCGGTCAAAGGAGAAATAGACTTTGGGTTTGGAGCCGTGCAAACAATCAATGCTGCTCCTCCCAATTCCGCCAACTTCTTAACGGGATCATCCTTAGATGCATCAATATACTCATGGGCACCTAACTTATGAGCGAATTCTCTCTTTTTATCACCACCACTAATAGCCACAACCTTAAATCCCATCTTAGCCGCATACTGCACGGCCAAATGTCCTAAACCACCTAATCCCTGAATAGCAACCACTTCACCAGGTGTAATTTGTAGCTTCCTCATGCTGTTAAAAACAGTGATTCCAGCACACAAGATTGGAGCGTATTTATAAGGATCGACATCTTCAGGAACTCGAACGGCGGCTTCGGTTCTTAAATGGACATATTCGGCAAATCCTCCATTGCGAGTAACGCCATTAATAGCACCATTGGAACACATTTGGCTAAGAGATGGAAGTGTCAGTACATGTTCATCCAGGAAGAATCATGGAGGGGAACAAAAATAAAAAAAAATAAAATAAAAAGGAAACAGAAACAAAAATGCACATACAAATTACCACGATTACATTGCTTGCAGGTCCCATCATGACCACCATGCCAAGCACCACCAACCCTCTCACCAACCTTCCATTTCTCAACCCCAGGGCCCACAGCAGCCACCGTACCAATAATCTCGTGACCAGGAACAATTGGAAATCCGTTTCCGAAACTTCCGGCTTGAACGACGGCGTCTGAGTGACACACTCCGCAGGCAATTACTTTTACAAGAATCTCATTTGCTTTGGGTTCTTGGAGCTCGAGGTCTGAAATAACGAGGGGTCCATCGGCTTTTTCGAAGACGGCGGCTTTGAAGGTTTTGGGAAGTGTCATGTTGATTGTGGGGATGGGTGATTGGGCTTTGTTTTTGAGGTTTTTGGAAGTGTTTGGAGGGTATTCATTCGTTTGATAAAGCTGTTTTGTGTGGAAGGGAGGTTCTGATGTTATCTATTTATATTAGAGGGGAGAGGGATGTTGTATTTCGTTTTAGGAATGTGCATTGGTAAGGAAAGATAAAGGAAAGAGCTACCCCGCTGTAAATCTTGTTGATACACGGAATAGCACGGTCCGACCGCAGTGGGGGGTTTAAAATATGTGATTAGTTTGTGTCATGTTACTAATCATAAAATCGAACATTGGTAAGTCGTCGGTGATAAGAAGTTTTTCTGGTAGGTGAAGTGATAGGAGATGGCTAAATTGAAAAAAAGCTTCAAGATTCCCCTGAAATTAAGCGGTAGCATTCAATTGATTGAGCCTGTACGTAAGTTTGCATGAATCGTGGGGTGGAGGTGACAATGATCTTTATCTTGAAGTTAAAATAAGACTTTCAACGTGGCCATCGATTTGTCAGTTACGGGACTTAATGCAATGTTTTCGTTCCGAAATGAACTCGAAATAGAGTAGCCCGTTAATTCGTTACGGGACATAGGGCAATATTTTCATTCCGAGATGAACTACGTTGAATTCGGAATGGGCTGGCCCATTGATCAATGCCTTAGCTCATTCGCCAATAGGCTTAATTTTAGAATGAGCTAGTTTATTATCTAATATACTCTGTTTAACGTGGTTTATCAGGACCCTGTACATATCAGGACCCTGTACACTTTTACCTCAATTATCATCCTTCAACTTCAACACGCGATTTATCAATATTTAATTATGCAAACTACTTCAAAAGAAGCTCGAATCAATTTAGCTATTGAGGCTATTCGTACATCTCAAAATTTGAGTATTCGGAAAGCTGCAAAACTCTATAATATACCTCATACTACCCTTACCTCTAGAATGAATGGAATTCTGCCTCTTACTGAACGTCGATCAGCAAATCATAAAATGACAGAATTGGAGGAGAAATCGCTTCTTCAATATATATTGGATATAGATGAAAGAGGGTTTAGTCCTCGAATAAGTGATGTGGAAGATATAGCGAATTATATACTCGAAACGCGGGGTGCGAAGAAGATTGGAAAGCTCTGGGCTCATCGTTTTGTGAAACGATATACAGAATTAAAGACGCGTTTTAATCGCGTTTATGACTTTCAAAGAGCTTTCTGCGAAGATTCAGAGCTTATTGAAAGATGGTTTCGATTGGTATCAAATATGCGGGCCAAATATAGTATTCTGGACTGCGATTTCTACAACTTTGATGAGACAGGCTTTATAATGGGACAAATATCACTACATATAGTAGTTACTAAAGCTGATCGATGTGGAAAAAGCAAAGCTATACAATTAGGCAATCGAGAATGGGCTACAACGATTATTTGTGTTGATGGAGAAGGTCACAATATACCTCCGTTTTTGATAGTAAAAGGCGAATACCATCTTTCAAATCGGTATACCGAAGGTGATTTACCATACGATTGGCTTATTAAACCTACTATCAATGGATGGACAGATAACGAGACAGGTCTTGAATGGATTAAGCACTTCAACAAACATACTGAAAGTAGGAAAGTGGGTAGATATCGAATGTTAGTGCTTGATGGGCATGAAAGTTATAAATCGCCAGCATTTCAGGAATACTGCAAGGAACACGATATTATATTACTTATTTTACCACCTTATTCTTCGCATTTAACTCAATCACTCGATATCGGTTGTTTTGGTCCTTTAAAGTATTCATATAGTCGACAAATCGAGAACTTTATCAAGGCGCATATCACTCATATTACCAAAACCGAGTTCTTTCAATCCTTCAAAGCTGCATATATCGAAGCAATATCTATATCAAATGGTAAAGCTGAGTTCCGCGGAGCTGGGCTAATCCCATTTAATCCGGAAATTGTACTTTCAAAGCTAGATATTCGAATAAGAACTCCATCAAATAGATCAATATCAGCCGATCCTGATATATGGCAATCTCAAACACCTCACAATCCAACTGAAGCTCTTTCTCAATCCACTTTAGTGAAAAGTCGTATTGCTCAATATCAAGGGAGCTCACCTACTCCAATATTTAAAACAGTTGCAGCTTTAGCTAAAGGTACAGAGCTCTTAGCTCATGCGAATACGCTTTTAGCTGCTGAGGTTCATAGTCTTCGCAAAGCAAATGAAGCACTTAGTAAACGTTGGAGAGCTAGAAAAGCTTTAATACGAAAAGGAGGAGTACTTTCAGTAGAAGATGGGCATGATATATTAGAACAAGAGAATGTAGAAGATCAGATACGATGTGATGAATTTACAAATGGTGATTCTTCAGCAAGGAGGCAAGCTACTATACGACGATGTAGCAAATGTGGTAGTGCTTCACATAATGCACGAACTTGTCAATTAGATCCAGCATTAGTTGATCTTTGAATTGTATATAATTTAATTCTAATTTATAGTATTGTTGTAATTTTATTTCAATGGAATGTGGGCAATTGAGGTAAAAGTGTACAGGGTCCTGATATGTACAGGGTCCTGATAAACCACGTTAGATAAAACTAAGATTGTGTACAAATGAACTCTATTTACTTAAGAAGATTTTCATATTCTATTATAATTCAATAAATACATCACGATTATGAATCTTTTGCGAGACTGTTGCTACAAAAGATAGTCATCTTCCAGCACCACCAAACATCCCATCACAAAAACAACATCCATAACAAAGCGAAGGTGACAAGTGAAGTACCATCCCATTCCATCATCAAACATTCAATCAGTTTGCTCATCTCCTGAGTTTCCCTGAAGAATGCACAATCATCAAGCGCAATGGCAGGCAAAATCGCGATGCTTCCAAAAAAAAAAAAAAGGTCACCTGCAGATTTCCCCTCATCTTGTTCTTTCAAATGCTACTCATAAGAACACATCGATTCCTCAAGGTAGTCACTACAGATGTGTACACCTACATCGGCACGATAGTCGAAGTACTAAATGAGGGTCTTCCACGCACTGTCTGGATCATCATAGGTGATCGGTCAAATCGAAGTCTCAATAAGCGTTTAAGTCTCACATACACTCTTATTACTTTCCAAATCCTGCTCGGTATCCCACTTATGATAATATTTCTTTCAAGCGCCAAATATCTCGCCGCGGCTTTCGTCCCCGAGGTTGTGAGACAGCCTAGTTTGACGTATGTTAGGATATCATTAGTACAAGCACTGTCCAGCGTGATGAGCACCGCGGTTGCAAATTCGACGAGAGCGTTGGATCATCCGGATGTACCGTTATTGATCAGTGCAGTGCAATTTGCGGTGACTATTCTGTTCGATCTACTTATTGTTTCCAAATTTCCTGTAGGGAGTTCCAAACCCATAGTAAATATGCAGGCGATGATTAGAGTGGCGTGCGATCTTGTTTCTGCAGTTTGTGGCTTTGGTATAATTAATCTGGCTCGCTTGAAAATGCAACGATCCGTATCCCTACCCTCATCGCCATCTTCATCTCCACCTCCGTCTCCACGGGAATTAGAGACCGATTTATGATGGGTTTGGGGATTCTATAGAAGTTGAAATAGTCAGGCTTAGCAGCTCCATGAATTCCGAGAGATAAAAGATGCTTCACGGCACAATATTTGATTAATAAGATGAGTAGTTGGAGACCATGTCCTGATGACGAAGACCTCGAGCTCGAGTGGAAAATCTTTATATGAGATTAGGTGCCTTTACCCGATGGTAAATTCGGCAGGTTGGCACCGGGCAGCTATGGAATTAAATACCCACATACTGATATTATCATTTTTGTAATGAAGTGTTTTACACGCGGGGATGCCCAGTATTCCGTGCTAGTAGATTCGCATGGAATATTTCCAATGTTTGAAGGCACTATGGTTTGAAAAGCATTCAGTATCTCAAAGATTCCCCATTTTTGAGAATTTTTGGAGTCAGTGCAGTCTCAACATTTCGATTAGACTCGAAAATCAAAACACTTTTCATCGTCAAACTACAGCCCTCCTATTGGATAGCTCGTCCCGTCTCCTAAATGCATTATTGATGTAAAATGATTGTTGATTTATAGGAGTTTCCTTCCGACATTCAACTTATTTCTATCGTCCACTTAGGGATGCGATGATTCAACACCTGTACGTGGTGCATCCTACGAACCTGTAATTTTTCTTACAGAGCCAAGATTGAATCAGGCTGAAGCTGGGCAAAGGTCGTGCTTTAAAAAGGAGCGGTACTGGGAGTGAAGGTATCGTGAATTTGGCCCGGAATAGAGGACTATCAGTCGAACGGAGATGAAAACTACCCGACAATCAACGAAACAACAATGGATTTCGAAGCGGAATCATCTTTACGAATCTGCAGTGGGATGCAGAGCCTGAGAATTGCTTTAAGGAGCATTTCAAAGTGGACTGCCTTTACGAATCTGTATGGGAGCAGAGCCTGAGAAGGAAAGCGTTGTGCCGGTGATTGACAGGGCACCTCTGGGGCGCTAGCGTGCAGAATTTTCATAACCCAATAATGCGTATAATCTGCGGGTATACCGGATTGGAAGTTTACAAGTGGTTAAGGGGAGTAATCGAGAATGTATAAAGGTTGTGGTAGAGTCTTATTGAGGTCAACGGAGGTATGGGTGGATTAGGGATGAAGGGACGCTTTTGGCACTTTGCTCTACGAATGTACAAGAGCGGTGTTATGGCGGCAGAGGAACTCTCGAACGAGGGGGATGCTTTTAGCAAGATTCACTCTTCTGCGAAGCATTCGGCAGACATCACGGCAGCGGATGATTGATTGATTGATTAAATTAACGTCTACACTGAGTCTATGACTATCTAAGACGGCTAGGAGCTTTGTAGACTTCTAACAATAGTAAATGGAGGGTGGCTGGCCTTATTCGACCGTAGCTAATACAGGTTGGGGAGATTGAAAGCCTCAATCTTCTAATGTTTGAATGGGGGAAGTGAAAACTAATACTAGGGAACCAAGCCCGCCTTACAGATACTCTCGTATTCAAGTAAGAGGAATAACAAATGAAATGTAATGAAATTTGACATTAGGGTGATTGCCCAAATTGACCAAATTGACCAAATTGACCAAATTGACCAAATTGACCAAAATGACCAAATTGACCAAATTGACCAAATTGACCAAATTGGCCATAATTGATCAATTCAATCACAATCTTCCGGTCCACCCCCCTTCTTCTCCGCCTTCTTCCTCTTCTTCTTCATGCATTCTATTGAGATGCCATGATCTGGTGGCTATTCTCGTCGCCTCGATAAATTCGAGGGTCTTGATGATTCCTGCTTTAGTATGAAGCAGATATTTCATGGTAGGTCGGACTGTGGGGTTATCCTTATTGAGGGTTTTCCTTGCCATTTTATATAAAGGACAACTGAGCAGAAGATGATCAGGAGATTCCTTTCCCCCACATCTACAATTGTCATTAGAGGAGATACCGAATCGTTTCAAATAAGATTTGAAATATCCGTGTCCAATTTTGAGTTGGAACAGAGCACAGATTGTGCTTCTTTTGATGTTTCCTGGAACTCTGATTTTTGAGCTGATCTTCCAGGGGTAGTTTCTTGAATATGTTGACGATGGTTGATGAAAATTGTTAGTGTTAAGGATGGCTATCCAGTTCTCTGATTTCATTCTTTTTATATCCATTCCAATGGAGGCATAACTGGTTTCGTGAGATGAAGATGGTATTTTGGTCGCCTCTTTTGCAAGAGAATCAGCTAGTTCATTTCCTTGTACAGATGTATGTCCGGGGACCCAATTGAGAGAGATTTCGGCTCCTTTATTTTGAATAGCTTCCGCAGCTTTTATAGCTTTGATTTGGCATGATTGACCAGGTAAATCGGAGGGGGTTTTCAACCGGAATAATCCTGCTTGATTATCTGAGTATATCTTGAACTTGTTTCCTGGCTGGGCTATTGAATTTGCGTATTCGATCGCTTTAGTAACTCCTAGGAGTTCCCCATTATAGACAAGCTGATTCACACCTATATTGATAGTCTCTTGATGTGAAATTCGGCCATTTGGTAAGATAACCGCTATCCCGATCCCAATCCCTATTCCCTCTAAAGTGGATGAGGCATCGGTGTATATTGTAATGGTATTTTTGCACCTATATTTGAAAGCCAGATTGTGGATCATCGCAGCTTCTTCTTTTCCTAATTTGCTGATATTGACTTTATATGGAACTTCTATCTTCCAAGGAGGAAAGTAGAAGTGATGGATTCCTTCTAAAGTGAGAGGATCGAAGTCTTTCTGAATTGAATTTTTTATCTTTTCGAGTTGAGTAGGTTTTAATTGCTTTCTTTGAGGGGTTGCAACTACATCTTGATTCTCCTTTTCTGTAGCCAGCTTTGTAGCTACTAAATTGACAGGATGTGTTGACCTCCTGGGATCTTGGCAGCATATGCATATATATTGCATGATGCATATAAGGAGCAAACAAAACTCAACTTTTAATTCATTCTTTCCTTTTTGGTATACTGTTTGTTTGCTTTCAATATTTTGATTTCAAAGCACTTTAATTCCGAGGGCCGAATACCTAACCCTATTCCTTCATTTTTGAATATATACTCGCAGCTTAACTGCTTAGCTAATGAATCAATTCAATCTGATGCTCTTTCTGGTCTGAATAAACCCAATACCTTTCTAGTTTTCCCTCCTATTTTTCTTAATAAGCTAAGCAGAATTAGGGGAGAGTAACCTTTATATACTAAAACCCCTTCGAGTAGTATAAGGCTATAGTAGCTATAGGGTAGCTAAAGGGCAGCAAGAGGAATCACAAAATAATAATGCAAATAAAAGGTAAATAATAGTAGTAATAACTCTAAGGGAGTATAAATAGATTCGTGATAACAAATATATGTATACTTTAGTTAAGAGACTCAAGCTTGCTTGCATGCGCTGCTCGCTTGTCAAGTACGTTACCTACTTATTGTAAAGCTATTAACCTCAGGCTAAGTATAATCTCATTTGAGTCCTTTAAAAAGTTAATTTTAAAAGTTAAGATTTAACACCCTTGGTCTTGGACCTCCAGAAGGTCTGATGAGCTGCAATGTGACCCCGTCCGCATGTCACCCGCTGCTGCCATGGAGTCCGACAGTGCTGCAGCCGGCACTGCTGTCGTTGTCGAAGGCCCGCTCCAAATTAACCCGCTCCAGTATAGGAGCGCAGGAATTGTAAGTTACGTTACATGAGTGCCAGGCCGCAGCTCATACGAAACTTTCGAGATCCAGCGAGCAAAATGACGGCACAGGTGGTTACCTCCATCACGTTAGACTATTAGTTCAAGTCTTGCAGATACCGTGGCAGGAACCATGCAGAAAACTAATGGTGTAAAACCCATGTATAGACCATGTATAGAATTCAGCTGGGAAGGTACTTAAGTGAAGCATAAAGTCTGACACTTTCCCTCTCTACAAGAGTCCAACAATTTCGCTCGATTCAGCTTCTGTCTCATTTAAATCATACCTTATCTATGTCATTCCATATCTTGGACCTCTTAGAGGATGCGGCCTCGAATGCCCCTGATAAAGGATTGTACTTCTACAAAGCCGGATCGGTATCACCGCCTCAATTTTTGTCGTACCAAGGGTTATTGGCGAAGGCAAAGGTATGTCTGCCCTTTAAATTGCTGATAACAACGTACTTTAATACCTTTATGTCTTGACAATTAATACAGTTCAATGCCGATATTCTGAAAAAGAAAAACATTGCTGCGAATGGCTCAATCGTCCTTCTTCATCTGGACTCTCATGTGGATTATATTGAGTGGTTCTGGTCCGTCATTGCCGCCGGCGCCATTCCTGCCGTGTCTACACCTCTCGCATCGGACTTGGTTGCTCGAGAACGCCACCTGCTCCATCTAGAGAATATTCTTGAAAGTCCCAAGGTCCTTACAATCGAGAGGATCCGCGGAGAACTCAGCTCTGTTCCCACGCTCGATGTGACTTCTATCGAAGCACTTTCGCTTTATGGAAAATCGACTGACGAAGTGAAAGTCAACGGCAAGGCGAACACGAATGGTTACCATAGGCACCCGGACGCGCCAGCTCTATTAATGTTAACATCAGGGAGCACGGGAAATGCTAAAGCTGTAGAACTTAGGCATGAACAGATCCTAGCTTCCGTGAAGGGGAAGTCAGCTGCAACGAGTACCGCAGGTCAAGATGTTTTCCTCAATTGGATAGGTAGCCACACTTCCTTGAAATCAAAATTATATCTTGTACTGAGTGAATTATAGGGTTTGATCACGTTGCATGTTTGACGGAAATTCATATGCACGCCATGCTTTGCGGTGCAACTCAGATACACGTCCCCGCCGTTGAACTCTTGCGCGCTCCTCCTATGTTCTTTAAAGTCATAGAGAAGCACGCTGTGAGTCACACATTCGCTCCCAACTTCTTCCTTGCCACAGTCGTCAGGGCTATTAGGAGCCAGAACCCGCCTGAGCAGTACGACCTCTCATCTCTTCGCACTGTCGTAAGTGGTGGTGAGGCCAACGTCGTTTCCACTGGCTTGGATTTCACCCAGATCATAGTGTCCATGGGTGCGGCAGCTACATCGCTGCAGACGGCATTTGGTATGACAGAGACCTCTGCCGCTAGTCACTACCACCAGCACTTCCCGACCCTGGAAAAAAACGCGGATTTGAAATTCTGCTCTGTCGGTCGTACTATAAACTCCGTTCGGCAGCGTATCACCGATGATGAGGGAAACGTTATGTCCCCAGGGGAAGGCGGCAACCTAGAGCTTTCTGGGCCTGCAGTGTTCAAGGCTTATCACAATAACCCTGAGGCTACAGAATCGTCTTTCTCGCCCGATGGTTGGTTTAAGACGGGCGACAAAGGCTATATTGATGATTCTGGAAATCTGATTCTGAGTGGTCGAGCCAAGGACTCAATCATCATTAACGGGTTGAAATACTTCTCACACGAGCTCGAGTCGGCCCTTGAGGGAGCCAAAATCTCGGGCGTAACTCCATCTTTTACGGCCTCTTTCTCTACCTGGCCCAAGGGCGCTGATAGTGAGGAGCTGGTCATTATCTTCCTCCCCGAAGCGGGGATTGCAGATGACGACGCAGCTTTTGCTGCCACAATTGACGCCATTGGCAAGCAATCAGCCCTCTACTGCTCAAAGAATCCTATAGACATCATCCCACTGCCTCTCGAACTTCTTCCTAAATCCGCCCTCGGCAAGTTGTCCCGCCCTAAATCAAAGATTGCCTACGAAGCCGGCAGGTATGACGAGTATCGCTTCGCAGCTAAGGCGCGCGTATCGGCCTACAAAAAGCGTTCCCGGGTCGCACCAACAACGGCAACAGAGAAGGCACTCATTGAAGTGTTTGCAACGGAGTTTGGACTAGACAAAGATGAGGTGGGCGTAGAGAATAGCTTGACAGACATGGGTGTGGATAGTATTCAGTTGATTCGGTTCAAGGCACTGGTGCAGGATCACCTCAAGCTCGATCAAGAAATCCCCATGATTTCCCTCCTACAAAACCCAAGCATCAAGGGTTTGGCAGAAGTCCTGTTGCAATTGGAAAAGGGGGTTAAAGCATATGACCCAATTGTGCAGCTTCAGAATGGGACATCCCAACTCGCCCCCAATTTTCTTCTTCCATCCTGGTTTGGGAGAGATCTTGGTATTCTTGAACTTGAGCAAGTTCTTCTCCGATCGTCAGGTATATGCCATCAGAGCACCGGGATTCAACCCTGGTGAAGAAATGCATAAATCAATTGATGACATGACCGAGTAGGCTATTCAGATCCCCCTGTTTATAGTCATAGCTAACCGCAATCGTATATAGCACCTACCTCACTGCCATCCGCAAGAAGCAACCGGAAGGTCCTTATGTGCTCGTAGGATATTCATTCGGCGCCATGATCGCATTCGAGATTGCCAAGAAGATTGAGGCCAGCGGCGGCAAAGTCGGCTTTATCGGAACGTTGAATCTCCCACCCCACATCAAATTCCGAATGATCGAGCTTGACTGGACCGAGCTCTTACTCAACCTGGTCTATTTCCTTGGCTTCATCACTGAAGACGAAGCTCACGCCATGTCTCCCGAAATGCACACATTGCCGCAGGAAGAGGTGTTGTCGAGAATCATGAAGGTGGCGCCCAAGGACCGTCTGGTTGAACTCGACCTGAACGAGAAGAAGCTGCAGCATTGGGCAGCACTCTCCTCGAAGTTGCAAGGCCTGGCTCACGATTACGATCCGTCGGGGATGGTCGAACGTATGGATGTCTTCTACGCGGTACCTTTGATAGCCGTGGGCCGCGATAAAGGCAAATGGCTTGAAGACCATCTCCTCGCGTGGAACGATTTCGTACGGAGCGATGTCGAGTTCCATGATGTCCCGGGGTCCCACTACACCATGATGAACCAGGAGAATGTTTTTGAGCTGCAGAAATCAATGAAAGCCGCTATGGCTAAGCGGAACGTGCTGTGAAATACTTCTTGTGTTTATATTACGATCACGCGGTGATCACGTTTTCCTTACCTGGCAGAACACATTACATGTGACTCTGAAGGTTGTACGCGCATGAGGAGGGCCGGCTGTATGGCCTGGCACCCTCCTGGGATTTCATAGTTTATGGTCACGTGATGGATCCTTTTGGATCTAGGATCCTTTCAGGATCTGAGAGCAGGAAGATTCTATATAACTCTGGGTCGTCACCCATTAGATAGGAGCTTCGTGTTCAGCTTGTTTCATACTTTTATAGTATACCTTTACCAATCACATCTGTATTTCATACGTTGACTTACTCTTGAGATTACCGTGATCACTGCATTACTTTTGATAAGCATCCGAAACCCAGAAAACTGTGCCAGTAGCCTCTTATGTGAAGAGATATCGGACGGATCTTAACAGTTTATTATAGGCTTAACTTATTTAACCAATCCTATTTATTATTGTTGCAAAATTTCTACTAGACGGAAATTGACTAAACTGTTTGTTTTCATACTTACATAAACTGACGCGTCTTTCAAAGTTCATCCACCACCAAATCCTTTAATTCTACTTACCCTTACCCAGTGTGCTGCATATCTCATCCTCTCACTCATCCCAGCCTGTAGCATGCAGATCACAACCGGCGGATAGTCCGATGGCAGAAATAACTGTAGTTCCAAGCAAACTAAATTCCAGCTGAAGGATCAAGTATATTACGTCCTTCATCTATTTCCAGATCCTACCACATCTCTTGTAATCACCAATATGCGGTTTAGGTGCTTGTAGTGTCTGGTTGTCCGTTTTGAAGCCCATAGTAGACTGCAGGATCTTTGATAGTGATAGGCCTGTCTCATCATAACTCAGCCCAAATCAAGGTATAGGCCGCCTATCGCTCATCTCGGAATGCGGAAAGCTTGTCCGATTTGTTCTGCTTTACGATGAAGCGATTCGTAACAGGGCTGAGCAACTAAGCAGGTATATCACTATTGTGAGGCATTTTTGCGATTGGGCAATACATTGCGAGGGGCAAGCAAAGACCGAAACAAGCCCCTTATCACCAGCGCTATCGAGAACATACTCGAGGGGGTTGGGGACGTGCAACAGCAAGGAGGACCGAGGCGAATTCATTGTAGTCCTCAGCGTGTACTTTGGCTCGTGCGATCAAAATTGTTTGCTGCCATTCCGAGAAATCAATTATTGTCGAATTCGCAGTAGCAGTTTGACTTTGGTCGCTAGAAAGGCCGTCCTCCGCAAGCTTCCATGCACTCCCATAATACAAACACCTTGGTCCTGACACAGCCCTTCCCGCGCAAGATATATCCCTAACGCCATTTATCGATCATCGGCTACAAAGCATACATACTCCCAATGGCCCCTTGTCGTCTCCCCAGTATGCCAAAAGAACCTTCCCTTCGTAGAAATGAAACCGTGTAGCTCCAGATAATCGTATATCCATGCTGGCGCCAACAAACTATCTTACCAAAACTTGGATATTGAGCTGATCATCCTTCTAGGCTCAATGTAAGGTCCATCCTTGTAATATAAGCATGGCCCCGAATAGAGCTTGTTCCGAGGCCATACGACCTTCCCCTTGTAGATAGCCATGATAAGGATCGGCTGTTCTCCTCACAAATTAGCCCAGGTCCAAGGCAGACTGTGAACGAAAATAGATCCCACAGAAGAGTTCCATAGTTAGGGTCATCGAGGTGGTTTTGGTGATTGCGACTATATTCCTCGTATCTCGTCCAGTAAACAATACGGGTGAGTTGGTTGCTCGTCATCATAACAGCCAAAGGTATCGAGGTCAAAGTACGAAATCAAGATTTGTGGTTTGAGAGAGGCAATGCTGTCGAAATTTTCAGCTGCGGCGAGACCGATGTAAGGGGAGATTGGAGGTAGGTCGGTTTAGGAAGACGCGTCAGCTTACGACCATCTCCTGTGTAGCTGAACCCGAACAACCTTCCCTTGGTAGAAATGAGACTCTGCAACGGAGTTTATGCTGTGCCTATTCTAGCGTCGTGGAAGTCTTGCTGTGAGTAGCACCCTGTGCCAATTGGTCCTCGGAACGACCTCAATCACAAGATCCAGCCTTCCAATGTGCAAGGACTACGGATCGAGCTCCTTCCGAGGTCGTATGATCTATCTTCCATGTTAGCCTACCTACTTATGATCTATTCTACCAACGCCGGCGTTTCGTATTCGGTCTGTAGGATGCTTAGGAGAGCCTATGACGTTCCTATTTTCATGTATATCGTTACCTGGTGTAGCCACATTTGACAGAAATCGGTCCTTCTCCTTACAGATCAGCCTAGATACAGGTATACAGCGCATATAGTCGTCACACCGACCTAACGGGCTCACCGAAATCCTTACACCAATATATAATGTAACATTGCAATCAGGTGGAAGCTGGCTACTTCATCGTGAGGCATTTTTTCTATTGGCCAGATCATATCGTATAGAGATGATGCCAAGGGTAAGTCTCCCTATCGTGGTCACCGAGAAGATATTACTGTGATGATCGAGATAATGTAGCAGTAAGGCGAGGGAGGCGAGGGAGGCGAGGGCAGTGATTTGGGCTCAGGCTCGTATCTCGGGCACTGTGATGCCATCTAGAGGAGTGATCGCCATTGCAATAGTCATAAGCATCGATTCCAGGGTAGCAGATCGAGGAAGATCGAGGGGTTTGACTTCAAACCGGCTGTACTTCAGCTGTGATGAGGCATACTGAGTGGATCTCAGTAAAGGGGTCGATGGTGTATGACGAGATCAGGCGACCGAGAGAGGGATGGTAGGAGAGAGTTGAGGAAGAAGATGGTTGAGGAGAGAAGAGTACGACCTTTTATAGATGTTGAAAGCGGCGGCTGGCACGTGCGCGCACCTTGCTTAATGCGGCGGCCGCTAAACTCGAGGGGGCAAACCGTCGCACTGAGATAATAAAACTTGATAATAAAAAAATTATATATTTGAAAAGCTAATAATAAGTATTATCTGGTTATTGATTTGGGAAATTTTTTAAATATTATAATGAATTATTAAAATTAAAATAGAAAGTTCATATTTCGCTTATTTTGCCTTTTCGTCTAACGTGGTTTATCAGTATGTGCACCATATCAGCATGTGCACCACTTTTACCTCAATTATTATCTTTCCACTTCAATACGCGATTTATCAACAATCTATAATGCAATCGAATAATAAAGAAGCTCAAATGCTCTTAGCTATCGAAGGTATTCGAAAAGATAAAAAATTAAGCATTCGGAAGGCTGCAAAGCTATATAATATATCGCATACAACACTTATCCGCAGAATGAATGGTTTAACCCCTCATACGGAATTTCGACCAAAAAGCCATAATTTGACTGATTTGGAAGAGGAAGTACTTATTCAATATATACTCGACATAGATGAGAGAGGATTTAGTCCTCGAATAAGTGATGTGGAAGATATGGCGAATTATATACTCGAAACGCGGGGTGTGAAGAAGGTTGGAAAGCTCTGGGCTCATCGCTTTATGAAACGATATACAGAATTAAAGACGCGTTTTAATTGCGTTTATGATTTTCAAAGAGCTTTCTGCGAAGATTCAGAGCTTATTGAAAGATGGTTTCGATTGGTATCGAATATGCAGGCCAAATATGGTATTCTGGACTGCGATTTCTACAACTTCGATGAGATAGGTTTTATGATGGGACAAATATCATCACATATAGTAGTTACTAAAGCTGATCGATATGGAAGAAGCAAAGCTATACAATCAGGCAATCGGGAATGGGCTACAGCGATTATTTGTGTTGATGGAGAAGGTCACAATATACCTTCGTTTTTGATAGTAAAAGGCGAATACCATCTCTCAAATTGGTATACCGAAGGCGATTTACTATACGATTGGCTTATTAAACCTACTACTAATGGATGGACAGATAATGAGACAGGTCTTGAATGGATTAAGCACTTCAACAAATATACTGAAAGTAGGAAAGTGGGTAGATATCGAATGTTAGTGCTTGATGAGTATGAAAGTTATAAATCATCAGTATTTCAGGAATATTATAAGGAACACAATATTATATTATTTAGTTTACTATTTCACTCTTCACATTTAACTCAATCATTTGATATCGATTGTTTTGATCTTTTAAAATGTTCATATAATCGACAAATCGAGAACTTTATTAAGGCGTATATCACTTATATTACCAAAACCGAGTTCTTTCAAGCCTTCAAAGCTGTATATATCGAAGCAATATCTATATCAAATGGTAAAGCTGGGTTCCGCAGAGCTGGGCTAATCCTATTTAATCCGGAAATTGTATTTTCAAAGCTAGATATTCGAATAAGAACTCTATCAAATAGATCAATATCAGCCGATCCTGATATATAGCAATCTCAAACATCTTATAATCCAATTAAAGCTCTTTTTCAATCTACTTTAATGAAAAGTCGTATTGCTCGGCATCAAGGAAGCTCATCTACTCCAATATTTGAAACAGTTGCAGCTTTAGCTAAGGGTACAGAGCTTCTAGCTTATACAAATACACTTTTAATTGTTGAGATTCATAATCTCCATAAAGCAAATGAAGCACTTAGTAAACATCGAAGAATTAAAAAAGCTTTAATACGAAAAGGAGGAGCACTTTCAGTAGGGAATGAGTATAATATATTAGAACAAAAGAATGTAGATAATCAGATACAATGCGACGAATATACAAATGATGATTCTTCAACAAGAAGGCAAGCTACTATACAACGATGTAGCAAATGCAGTAGTACTTCACATAATGCACGAACTTGTCAATTAGATCCAGCATTAATTGATCCTTAGATTGTATATAATTTAATTCTATTTTATAATGTTGTTGTAATTTTATTTTAATTGAAAGATAATAATTGAGGTAAAAGTGGTGCACATGCTGATATGGTGCACATGCTGATAAACCACGTTATTCACTTTGTCGATTTTCGATTTTCGCTTTTCGCTTTTTCACTTAACGGACAACACTCTCTTAAATCATGCCGTAGACCGAGGCGGCATCAGGAAAAAATTTCTTTAGCGAGTGCGGTGTGCAAGAACACGGATTTTAACTAACCATATTCAGTTCTAGCTTTTCTCGGCTTTTTTCAACCCGAAATATTCGGAAACGTTTAACGGGATGCCGGATCAGAATATTTTAAATCGCTTGGCTCCCCCGGATATACGTAGTAAGCAAAATCCAGATAATTCTCCACTTCAAGGCTGAATTCGGATTGATTTGTTGAATTAATCCGGAATTTACTAAGCATATCATATAGCCAATGAGAGAAGGATTCAAAATACCACAGGTATTTATTGTGATCACTCTATTGGTTCAAAGAACTATTCTCCAAAATTCTAGCAAAACACTTGAGGACAAAGACGAACGGATAAATTTGCATACCACTCCAAAATTAAAAACGACGAAATCCTCCCTCTTGTATACATGATTACCAATTATGGGAATCCATTGTTAAACCTTACAATTCCCTAATCCTTTTCTATAAACAAATTCTTCTACAATACCGATGTTTGACCTAGTCCAATTTTGACTGCTTTGTTTGAGAACTCCTCCAAGTCGTGATACCACCAATCGTTGATAACTTTCGCTTGTTTCCAGTAACATCACTGTTCGTCCCTGAAGTGAAAGGGTTCTTGGGCCCGTTGCCTAGCATTGATGGAATACTTACCCGATCCGACGACTTGGTCTCCGCAATCTTTGGAAGGATATCGTTATCACTGGTCATTGCCAAAATGAGATTATCAAGGTTAGTGTTGGTACGAGAAGGATACGGAAGACGTAGCACCCACGGATTACGTAGGTCCTGTATGTCTAATTGTATTCTGTCTAAAGAGCTAGCTACATATTGAAAGTAGTAAGTCTTATATAGACTTACTAAAAGAGCTAGTCTCTTTCGCGTTCGCTTAGTTCTTTATTACAGTAGTAATTGAATTGAAGTCATTCACTTCGTTCACACAGTTAGTTCTAGACTGGGAGCTTGGTGTATGGCTTTTTCGACGGAAATCCTTGGCAATTTCAATGCAATCCGATGGTTTGCTCGCAGGAGACTTCAAAGTATTACCATCGTAGATGGAAGGTGAGCCGGAACGGTCCACAGCGACTCTGAGCCCGGCCCTGGCTGGACCATGTTTCCCGACGCTATTGTCCGTGGTCGCTCTGGATTGAGGTGCTACTGCATCCGTCTTCGGATTATTGGTTTTAGTGGCCTGTGTGTTGCCCACAGAATTGTCATTGACAAGATTGATTCTCTGAGCGTGGAGCGTATGGACGTTTCCAGCACCGGGGTTAGTTGCCCCCGTCACATCTTGCGTATTCCCATCCAACCATAAAGGACTGATTTGGCCTTGTTGAGGTGTGCTTCTATGCGGAAAATCATCCACATTCACTCCGAAATGAATCAATGTCGGTTGGTGTATTTCGTGTATAGTAGGTCCTGATCCACCCTCACACACGCATTTTCCATCATCTACTTCAAGAGGTATTCTCAACCTAAAGTTGATGATCTCTTGACTTTTTCTACCAGTACAAGTGCAACATCTGCCCTTGACATCTATGGGAATCGTCAACATGATCTGGCCTCTTTCTGGGTGTCCTGTATATGACAACTGCCAAAACTGTCAATTTGAGAACGATGACATTTTCAATATTGTAAACTTACCTGAGGCTCCACCATCCGCATTGGAGAGCGATGCAAGGCTCGTTCTAAAGTACTAATTTTTTGCTGTGTTTCTCGTTAGTTGGAGAATGATATCATTTCTCAGCACCGGAATCTTACATGAGCATGCATCAATTCCATCCGACTGATATGTAAAGCCTCTTCTGCAATGTTAGCTCTCTTGAGATGACTCTTACTAGACTCATAGAGATCCGCTGCATAGATATTGAGGCTTGAAGAGTGGCCTTCTGCAGTCATAAGGACTGCCTGCATATGCTGAAGCTTTGCGCGAGTATCGTTATGCTCGTGAATTTCTTTTTGCAGGCAGGAATTCAAGACCTTCTTGTGGTGATTCGACATGTCGTGATCCCTATCCCGGAGCTTACTTCCAGCTGCAGTGGGACCACCAGGCCCGGCACTGGCAATCAAATTTTCGTAAGCCTCTGCCATGTCATCGAGGTGGCGAGGCACCGCTGCGACAACATCTGTGCTAGCATGGCTCATATTTTTGGGCATGGACATTGTGCAAGTAAAAGAACTTGTTGAATTTGGATGAATAATGTAAAGGAGGAAAAGGAAAATGGGGTTCAAGACAGAGGACCAAAATTGTGTATGCATATGAGTTCTGTACCTCAATCAATACAATATGAGGAGGCATATATAGATATCAACTGTTCAGTAACAGATAATCTTTTGCGCACAGCTCGAAAACATCCGTAAGCAGTATAGTCTATCACATTCAACAATTCCATGATCACAGAATCAATCACAAAGAGTGCGCGGCTATACCACAGCATTATTTGGTTAGAAGTTTTGGATTTAGAATTTTAGATAGGAAGCACACCAATAAGACTTCAAGACAAGAATGCCCCAACTCGGAATATCATCCCGGCATCTAGTGATCCATCGTACATGCAGGAGCCCGTGGGGCTGTTTGTTCCATTACTATAGTAATGCTTGGAATCGTGGAAGTTACCGAGGAAGACGAAAATGTATTGATATTGGAAGAATCAACTTTGTTGGTGGTAAATGAGCTAGATCCACTTCTCGTTGAAGATGAAGAAGAGGATTTATCATCGGAAGAATCAGCACCTTCAGTGGCCGTTGAACTAGATTCACTTTTTGTTGAAAATGAAGAAGAAGGTTCATTATTGGAAAAATAAGCACCATCAGTAATAGTTGAACTAGACTTCAGTGTTATGGAGGATGTCGACGAAGAACTAATATCAGAAGCACTAATGGTGGCATGGGGCCATGTTGTAATCCCTGCTGCGGAAGTATGGCCTGATCCCTGTGAGTTAATTCTCGAGTTTTGTGAGGACAGCAGGGTAGATGAAGAGGTTGACGAAGTCGTATCCATTTCTGTTGCGAACTCGGTCGTTATTATCGAGCTGACCATGGTCGTTGATTGTTGGGTGATAGTCAAGAGCGACGTATATGTTGCTGTTGGCATAAGACAAGTTACAGTACCGCTTTGTTGGATATTGAGCAAATCAAAGTTGCCGCTGCCTCCTTCGAGTGATGCTCTGATACATCCGGTCGCTTGTTGCCCTACACATTGCCTAGAAAAAGGTGATCAGCAAACAGACAATTGACCAGGGCCAATAAGTCCAAACCACAAAAGCGTAGCAGGTCCGATAGGTACCTCGAGCGGTATCGATATCTCAGCTTTTTGAAAGGCAGAGCATGCTATTGGTTCGAATGCGAAAGTGACAGGCAGGAAATCATCGTCCGAAAATAACAAAATTAGTTCGCATGGACCGCTAAGGGTATTCTCGATCCTGGAAGTTGTCAGCTTTATTGACAATCGTGTAAACAAGGAACACTACCCACCCTGTGACTAACTTATCACCAGCCTTAATAGAGATGAGTGGAGATAGCATACAAGCAGAAGGTGCCCCAAGGGTACATGCAAGGCCTGCCAGAAAAACGAAGCCTGTTGTTGTTTTCATATTGAAGTTTGTGTTGATCGTTTGAAGATGTGTTAATCGTTTGAAGATATATCTATCTCGTGAAGTTCTGATATTTTTAATTAATTGCTTTTACAAATATTATCCTGCAATCAGTTATATATGGCAAAAGATCCAACCAAAGACAGAATTTCTGAAAAAGTAAAACAAGGACGTCTTTTCGTTGTCCGTCTTTCCGTATGCATCTATTCGTTGTTACTCTGCGCGAGAAACCAAGGTTGGTTCCCGGCCCCAGGTCCCAGGGATCTATGCATGCAACTGGAAGTGACCCCCCTGACAGGTATCAGCCTTTCAAGTGCCGCGGTCAATTCTAAGCGGCTAAGCTGACGGCGCTAAAGTGGAGCAGTGTCATACTGTCTGAAATTGTTGTAAAAATACATCAATGCTAATATAAAGCATCTCATTTAACTCGGTATAATAGATTATATCCATCAATAACTTCTACTTCAACACTTGCGAAAAAGAACAACACCTCACTCTTACAAATATGACACCGAACAATATCTCAGAATGGAACAGCGGCCAGATTCCAGCCGATGCAAACAACTTAGCTGACTGGACTTTCGACATAAACGAAATGGCCGATTTTGATTTCGGAGATATACCGCAAATGGCGCCAGTTGTACAGTCATCATCCAATGATGGGGCCGAGTTGCATGATGAATCCACTGCAGGAACAGCGGCCATCAATTCAACATGTTCCACACCAACAAATTTTGAAGAAAAATTATTTTTCGAAATACACCCTTTTTATATCTCATTTGCACTAAACAAATCAGTATCAATCGAACGCAATTGTCCCCAAAGAAATTGAACCAGTGGTTGTTGTGATACTGTCGTCGACGTCCAAAACACGTGAAACCACGCTAAAACGCGTGAAATTTTCACCCCCTTCATCAATGACGGGGACCACCCAATCGAACTTCCCAAAAGTGATCTTAGGCACTCCATGCCAAGTGAACCACACTGAACAAACCCATGAAAGAGACAATAGCCCGCCATTCATCCTCTCCAGTCCTACCCCCTCCCAACCCTTCAACTTTCAAACACAACGCAATACCTTGAGCTCTGATGATCCATTCAAATCACCAATCAATCGCCCAACGCTCCAATTCAATAATAAACGAAGACGTCCACCCAGCCATTCAGAACCCCATATCAACTCACCAAAAGAAGCTATCCAAAAAGCTAGAAGTCTACTCATTCTAGCTGCCTCCCTGGAAGAGGATACCGAAGAACAATCGAAAGTCCTAGACTTAATCGAAATATTTCGTGAATATCTTGAAAAAGGAAAACTCACAAAAGCCTCAAATATCATCATATCACAAATCTCCCATCTAGAAAATGCCACCAAACGGATCGAAAAGCAAGCCAACCATCTTTCAAACCTTCCCAGTCATATGATCCCCCCCACAATAAACGCCCCTGGAACCAAAGCCAGCTATGCCACTATCACCAAAACCTCAGGAGAATGGAACCTAGTTACAAAGGCAAAACCCACAAAACAGAAAACTACAGAACAAAAGGAAGAAGCCCCAAGCAAACGACTAATCCTCATCAAACCTCTTATTTATCAGCCACCCTCTTTTACACCATTAAATACAAGGAATAAAGTCAACGAAGCCTTCAAGAAAGCAGGAATCAATAGACCAGTCATCTCAGCCATCACTACTACAAGGAGCGGCAATTTTATACTAACCACTAACAGCCCTTTCAATGCACAATTCCTGATGGAAAAGAAGGAAATCTGGGACAAAATCCTTGATGCTGAAAGAATACAAATCGATAAACCCTGGCATAAAGTCATCATTCACAAAATCCCAATTCAGGAATTCTCAGGTCTGAAAGGTATGGACCTAATCAAAGAGGAAGTCAATACCTTCAACCCAGGGCTCAATATTATAGGTACTCCTTACTAGCTTACTAATGCCTCCAAGAGAGCCAAACAACAAGACGGAGCAATAGTCATTGCATTTGCTACACAAAAAGAAGCAGATATAACTATCCAGAAAAGGCTATATATTGCAGGCATTAGTGTTAGAGTAGAAAGATTCTATCCATCTACTCCTTCATCCCAATGTAACAGATGCCAGGGATTCGGCCATAACGAATCATACTGCAAAAAACCTCCAGCTTGCGGACTTTGCAGTAATAATCATGCTACAGTCGGTCATTTCTGTATAATCTGCCAAGCAAAAGGCAAACCATGTCAATATCTAAGTGTCAAATGTGTTAATTGTAAAGGAGAACACAAAGCCAACTCGAAAGTATGCGAAGTATATCTATCAACCATCAAGAAATCCAACTAATGCTGTACAACAATACTCGCATTCTTCAAATCAATCTAAACAAGAGCCCTCAAGCAACCGAAAGTGCTCTTCAATTTGCTTTAGAACTCAAAATTGATCTCATAGTCATTCAAGAACCCTGGATCCTCTCGAATCCTGAGAAAGACTTCTCCTCAACCAGATCTATTGCCCACTCCAGCTTCTCTCAACTCCTCCCAAATAATCCTTCGAACCTGCGTCCCCGAACTATGATCTACATTTCAAAAGGATTCAAACTGTTAGTAGCCCTAGCTCCCAACTCCCCTAATGATCCAGATATTCAAATCATTAATATCACTTAAGGAAAACATACAATACAACTCATCAATATCTACAATGAAGCGGACCAAGCCAAAGAAAAAGGCCACACCATCGAAAGATGCCTTTACAATACCCCTCTTACTCATCACACCATCCTCGTAGGAGATTTCAACTCCCATCACCCTTGGTGGGACCCCTTCTCTAACAAAAGCTCAAATACCGACCTACTCACCGAATGGTTTGAGGATCACAATCTCATTCTATTTAACGAACCAGGCACAAGCACCTTTTATCGAACAAATATGATAAATCCAAGTGTCTTAGACCTTACTTTAGCCACAGATTCAGTATCTCCCTATATCACTGATTGGCAAGTCCTCCCTGATCTTGGATCAGACCACTTAAGCATTCTCTTTGAAGTAAAGGGCACTTTATCCCGTACAACGAATATAGCTCAGCCAGCAAGATTCAACACAAAACTTGCGGATTGGGAAAAATTCGCGAATACCCTCAAATCGAAAATATCGATATCAACCACCTTAAATTCGAGTGAATACCTTAATATTGCTACCTCAGAATCCAACTCTCTTGATTCCCTTCTCGACAAGAGCCAATACATACAAGTATTGGATGATGCTGCAAAAGAATTCACCCAAATAATCACTTATTCGGCTGAAACCAGTATACCGAGAATCAAGTCCACAAAAAGAGCTAAACCCTGGTGGTCCCCAGAGCTGAAAGCCCTTCGAAAACGACTCTCTAATGCATTTGAGAACGCCAAACTTTACCCGGAAGACGATATGTTCAAGAAAATCTATCAGTCAGCCAGGAATCATTACTTCTAAGCTATTAAAACAGCAAAGAAAAACCATTGGAATGAGTTCCTTGAAAAAGAGGATACCCAATCCATATTCAAGGCAATGTCATACACAAAAGATATACAAACCGAACGAATCCCGAATATTCGATCCAATCCCTCTAAACTAGAAAATTCTTTCGAGGGAAAATGCTCAGCATTTAGATCGACCCTATTTTCTCCTCCTCCATTCACCCCACCGCCCAATTGGGAAAGCTATAAACAATCTAAGAAATGGGAATGGCCTGATCTCACAGAGAGCGAACTCCTAAACGCGTGCTCTGCAAAAATCAAAGGAAAGACCCCTGGCCCCGATGGGATCACTCAAGATATCATTATTCAAGCGTACAAAGCAATACCAAAAGCATTCTTCACCCTCTTCAGTCATCTTATCAACCTTGGTTACCATCCTTCTTGCTGGAAACAAGCCACTGGAGCGATACTCAAGAAACCTTCAAAACCAGACTACTCGGCCCCAAAAGCTTATAGAGTTATCGCCCTACTAAATTGCCTTGGCAAAATAAGTGAAAGAATTCTAGCTCAAAGGCTTAGCTACTTAGCGGAGACTACGCAATTACTTCATTACTCTCAAATGGGTGGAAGACAAAAGAAATCAGCCATCGACACAGCAATCTTACTCACTACCGAAATCGAAAGAAATTCAAGATCCAAGAAGAAAACCTCAACTCTCTTCCTGGATGTTAAAGGCGCCTTTGATCATGTATCTATGAACAAATTATTAGATATCTGCAAGAACCTAAACCTCCCAACCAGCCTAATCGCCTGGATCTCATCTTTTTTGAAGGAAAGGCTACTCAAGCTCTCATTCGATGGCCAAATTGAAACCTTCAAACCGCTCAATACCGGGATCCCCCAAGGCAGCCCTATTTCGCCAATCCTCTTCTTAATTTATATTCGAGATCTATTCTCAGCAAATTCGATCAAATATCTCTCATATATAGATGATATAGCTTTAACAACATTTTCAACATCCTGGAAAAAGAACATCATCTCTCTCGAAAGAGCAACTAAACAGATATATGCTCTAGGCAAAGAAAATGCTATTCAATTTGATCTAGCGAAGACAGAACTAATACACTTCTCTACATCCAAAGATACGAAGACAGCCTCAATCAAGCTTCCGAACGAGGAGATAATTCAACCCTCAACACTAGTCAGATGGCTAGGCATATGGTTCGACCCTGGCCTCAGTTTCAAACAACATGTCACAATCCGAGCTACCCAGGCTAAAACCTCATTCTACCGAATGGCTAGACTTGCTAATTCTGAAAAAGGCCTTAGTCCCAAGGCAATGAGACAGCTCTATATGGCATGCGTCACCAGCATAGCTGACTACGGTTCAATTTTATGGTGGAAAGGGCAAAACCAATTCAAGAAAATCCTTCAATCCTTGCAAAACCTCGCCCTTCGAAAAATTCTAGGAGTATTCAAAACCTCACCAATAAAACCAATGGAAATAGAAGCCGCATTGTGCCCTCCAGAAGTACGGCTAAATGCTGGAATCAAACAATACGCATTTAGATTATTGAAAATCTCGCCTTCTCATCCTGTTGGGTTTCTTAAGACCAGAAAGAGTATCAGATTGAATTGATTGATCCTCTAGCTAAGCAGTTAAGCTGCGAGTATATATTCAAAAAAAATGAAGGAATAAGGTTAGGTATTCAGCCTTCGAAATTAAAGTGCTTTGAAATCAAAATATTGAAAGCAAACAAACAGTATACCAAAAAGGAAAGAATGAATTAAAAGTTGAGTTTTGTTTGCTCCTTATATGCATATGCACTATATATGCATATGCTGCCAAGATCCCAGGAGGTCAACATTAGAAGATTGAGGCTTTCAATCTCCCCAACCTGTATTAGCTACGGTCGAATAAGGCCAGCTACCCCCCATGTATTATTGTTAGAAGCCTACAAAGCTCCTAGCCGTCTTAGATAGTCATAGACTCAGTGTAGACGTTAATTTAATCAATCAATCAATCAATCAATCAATCTCGTCCACTTAGGCCGGTACCCCGCCGAGGCTCACAACATGCTCATTGTCTGCTATTGGAAGGATCGAATGGGACACTTTGGGTTCATTATTGGTTCAATAATTTCAAGAATTATATAAGAAGAAAACTTAATCTTGATGGTTCCCGAAATGGCGATTTATCTTCTCTGCTGAAAAATAATCGCAGGTTGATGGTTGAGAACGAAGGGAAGTCAGTTGTAACCGAGATTTGAGAGGAAAACAACATCTCACACCTGTGCAGTAACTCACGCCAAAAAATGTCATTCGATAATAATTGCAACCTTCAAAACACATATTCTCCAGGATCGAAGTAGGAATATGAGATAATTCACACCTCTAGTAACTTCATGTGTTTTGAGGTCCTTCGCTTCCCATATATGAAACAGTTCGAATCGATTGTTATTGGAGAATACCAAACGCTTAATCTCCGCCAAGAAACAAGGGCGCCGAAAATAACCCCTTCATCCCAACTTCTCGGTGTCGTCTCATGTATGAAACTCGATATGTCAGTAACCGTTGGCAACTAAGAAGATAAGACGAATATATCTTCAATGCTGCTGAGGATTCCACCAATTATATGGCAATTTATGTTGTATTAACGTTTAATTCTTGCTTATAGCTGGTCCAGTAGCCTAGGATATTATGATGATTGACAAGCGCTCTTTTCTGAAGGGTTTGGAGATTTCAGATTTGCGCCGTTGGTCCCGAATTAGATGTTACTTCACATGTACTTGATGTCTCATTCCCCGCTACTGTGTACATAGTAGCTTTGATAGTAGGGATTGATGCTATAGTCTAGGATATCTTCTGTATTCTGCCTGTCAAAGTAACAAGATGAGACGAACAAGGTAGCCAGGAAAGCAACGCCATCAACACCTGAAAGATGGCTATATATTTCCTCAATTTATTTTCATTACCATCCCCATCCTTAATATAAACATTTACTCCCATTCAATCTTCACTTCCTCACATAGCTGTGCTGTCTGTTGAACTAATAATACAATTATTTTACATTGCGAATTCCGTCCAGAAGTCACTCACTTGACCTGTGTATTATTATCACACTCAACCGCAGCAACCGAATTACTAAGAATGCGTTCCTCACTCTCAGCTCTGATCTTCCTCCTCTCTGCCGTCTACGCCTCCCCTCTCCCCGATAAGGAGAAGGCCGCAGCGACAGCCAATTCAACCGTTGCCGGGAGTGTTCTCACTGCTTCCACATACAACGATTTCCAAATCTCTAGCGGCACGGCTGGAACGGCCCAAGATGAAGCTAATGCCCTCTTTAAGGCCATTGATATGAATAATCTTGCTGCTGTCTCTGCATCTGACCTCAAAATCATCAATGGAATCCACGATGCTGCCGAGAATGCCGAAACTGATGCTTTTAATCCAGCCATTGAGGCTGCAAGTGGTGATGATGCTACTGCTCTTCAGGTAAACATCTTCCGTCCCGTGTTTGCACTATTCTCTTTTACCTCGTAAAATACGTATGTAGCTTAAAATGACTAACTTAAACCTAGAACGGCAAGATAAAGAACAAAGTACTCAAGCTTACAGCTGAAGTCCTAGGTATCCAAGTTAAAGCAGCACAAGGAGGGGATGATTCAGATTTGGAGGCTGAACAGAAAAAATTGGCCAATAACGTTAAATTGGATATTGCATCTGAAGGAGAGACCAGTACGGCGGTCAGTTTTGATGCTACGAGTTAAGGGTGCGTTGGGTATTGCGTATAAGGGTATGGATGGGGTAGGGTGTGATGCGGGAGTGATAAAAGTGGATTGGGAATGATATCATTCGTCATTTTAGGGCGGGGTTATTCGCGAGCCAACCTATCTGGTTTAAGGATGTAACTGAGTGAAGTGGATATCAGTTGCACGATGTAATGGTACGTAGCATGAGGCTCAAATACTCGAAAATGGCCCAATCCCATTCACACGAGCCGGGCATACGAAAGCAGAAACTGGATATTCTTGTAATTCAAACGAACATGGATTTGATCATTCCGTTCGTAGCCATAGTAGAGTGCAACTGACTGTTTGCTGACCCACCGAACTGTCTAACCTAATTAGGTTACCGCCCCGAAATATCCAACACTCAAGAGCCAATATTGAATTCGGAAGTATACTAATAATAAAGTTCCACTGATGCATCATCCAATTAGACTTAGGGGCTCCATAAATGGTGAACCCTTCTTGCATATTCACGCTCGAAAAATAAAAACTTACCAAGGTGCTGAGCCGCATTATTGAAATGCAATCCACGCACTGCAGGATCTGCTGAAAGTTTTGCAGACGCATTGTCTCGTAGTGAGATACCTTATCTATGCGTAAAATGTAACTCAAGAGGGGAATCTCGCTTCTGATATCTGAATAGTCTGTCTATCCCGCGCGGTGACTCCGGTTCGGTTGCGAGGTTGAAAATACTATAGGTTGTTGTTGAAATATTACCGTTACAACGGTACATTTTCAGCTAGTGCCAAAGCTTGCAGGTTTTATTAGATATCCTCATATATGCAATGCTACAGAGAGCGGGAAATGCTGTAAGATGGAGAACACTACTGTGCAATGTCGTAAGGTAGAATAGACTGCAGTCAGCCCTCGATACGAGATATCGAGTCTATCCCGTCTTCTCTGCGAGTATTTATATGTATAGGTTCTTCATGTTGTCTGTTGATATTCCAGTTTTGCTTGTACAGACAAACCGACTTTCTTGATTTATACTTTATTTTCTAGCGAATATGTCTGAACTTCAAGTGGACAGATCAACTATACCAACTAGACACCAGATGGCTAGTGGAACGGGTACGTTTCTTGTTTCTCATGTGTCAAGCTGCGAAGCTTTTTCTCTATTTTCCCAAGTACCCCATGTTGGTATGAATTGTTACAGTTTGCTTATCAAGACGTTTTCAGATATAGACAGTAATGGCCAAATCACAGAACATGAGGAGATTCTCTCTGATGTGGCGGTACGAGTACATTCCGCTTTCAATGGAGGGACATCCAAGGCACCACTAGATATACTGTGGGCTCGTAAGATTGTTGAGAACTCTCCCTTGGCAAACCACATTTCCGCGATCAAAGAAAAGCTACAGGGGGCGGATAAGCACATGCCCGAACAATATCAAGGCGGGGATGCCTGGCAGAACTTTCGACCAGAACTCGAGCACAGCAGACTGCTCGATATCAAGGAACCAAGCGGACCATTTGATGCTTATTCAATGGAATTAGCTCAAATGACTTCGAACGCACTGGAGATATTGCAAGGCATTATTCAACAAAGGGATGACTCCTATTTACCACAAAACAAGGACAAACATAGCAAGAAAGTTTGGACTCAGCCAGTTGTGATTGTGCCAGACGATGCCGTTGGAATCATGCTTCAAAGAGCCAGCGCCGGAGCCAATGGTACCCGCTGTACTAAATCCAATGTCGTTTCTTGTGTCTCTCCCGACTATAGCGAGGCAATAGATGGGTTTGGATTGACCGGTGTCGCGAAATATCCCATCTTCATGGGTTCCTGGTGGATGGCTCCACTGATGCACGACTTTGATGATTGGCGCCAAGACTATCTTTCCATTCTACTCTACTCTTTCTTTTTCGAATACAACGTGGACAAGGTCACTGGTAGCAAGTCTCTGTCGCCTTTAGGGAAGCAAGTGGCAGCAATTTGGGATATGCCAAATTTGCCAGAGGAACTGCAGATTCGAAGATCACATATGCTCTGTTCCATGGCCTTTTTTGATCTCAAGCGCAGACATGAAGATGAATTCTGCAACAAGAATACTGATGGACGTACCGTCTGGGTTCATAAGGATCGGGATATCTGGCGTGATTTCAAGGCTCTAGACTCGGCGGGCTTTGCGCACTATTTGTCGTTTGCCCCTGGAGCTGCTGGCCGCGATGATATGATGTTGGCCGGCTTGGTCAATGACTGGATTGACCTTGGTCCTGACTTACGCTACCAAGAGTGCAATTCATCTGTCTTTGCCCTTACCCGTGGATCACTGGCCATGGAAGACCTGACAAAATGCTACGAGCGGACTGTATGGATGATAAATGCCAGCTTTCTTTCTGAAGAGCGACACACCGGATGCGTGTTTATCCTCTCGGCCTGTATATGGTCGCTCTGTGCCCATCGCCACGATGTGTGGCGTTACTACTCCCTGGCTTACGATACCTGCTCAGCTTTGCAGTCACTAGACCTTTACAAGATTGCTGAACTCGCAGACTGCTACAGTTCGGATTTTACACCGATGGAGTTACCTGACGCTAAGACGATTGCTGTTCCCCGTCGAGCCTACTCTTATCAAGTCCGCATCAATGACACCGAACACAGAGGCTCGATCTTGCTCCACATAACAGTATGCGAAGCAGTCCAATCCGGACTGCTCCCAGCATCCGTAGTCAATTACCAAATCATCGTTCCACTTCTCCTTCGCACCGGGCGGATAGACGAATCCACCTTCCTAAACTATATGGACCAGCATTATTGTACCCACTGTGCTGAGATCATGGGATCCGGACATGAAGATGGTTTCAGCTACGCGTATTCACGTGCAATCGCAGCTTTGGTCATGGAAGAATGGTGGTCAGGACTCTACTTTGCTGTTGGTATTGGTAGTCTCATTGAAGCTCAACCAGACCAGATCGCTAATGACCGTTGATTTTCACGGCCCTGATGTTTGGAATCTGATTTGGGCTGCCCTGTGGTTTCAATGGCGTAAATGGAACAATTTCTCTAGATTGTGTCGATCTCATTTAGCTATGAATTAAATTGATTGGTAAATACTTCATATTTGAGAATCCGTCCATTATCATAGCCAGTGAAATAATAACCGTTGAATGAAGCCTGGTGAGCCGTTTGGTCATTCTGAAATGAATACGCAAATCAAAGAAAACAAAAAGACAATAAACAAATTGAAAACCAAAACGCAAAAAAAAAAAAAAAAAATTTAAATTAAAAAAGACGAGCCTTTGAAAGGATACGAACGACGCGTAAATTTGTAAAACATGGTACACTAGTAAGAAGAATACAAGATACTTTTGTATTTTTTTCTTCACTTGGTTACTTACTGGACCGTCTAGATTGAATGCCGATAGTGAGCAAAACATAAACTCTTGTGGTGTATACAAGTTTTCAGCTTGTCAATTTGATGTTAAAGTTTAGTATTAACTATTCATTATGATACTATATTAAATGTATGATAGTGTGATAAGCGAAACTGCACTAAAATAATCCTCACATTTAGAGCTAGCTAGTTCAATTGACAAGCGGAAATCATGTCATGATTTCCGCTTGTCATAAACCGAGGTTCGACTCCCCGTCAGAGAAGTTCTGTTTGACTGGCATCAATAATGTAGTTGAACTCACACAAAATATGTAAGCGAAGAAATGAAGGGGTAAGGTGCACACACACCACGACTCGGCACAGGGTTTTTATCAATGATTCATAGAGTTAATCAAGGACTGTAAGAAAAGAGTCTTGAATTTAAAACAATAACCCTATCAATTCAATCGCGTACCCTCTTTTATAACCAACCAACACTAAATTCCTAGCAGGTAAGAATGGATTTTTCACGTACCCCACCACCACAGACCACCGGAAGCAAAAATTCCTCCCACAACCCAACCTCACTCACCTACCACCTCCTCTTCAAAAATAAAATTCTTCAACAAAAAAAGACAAAAGGTTCAAGATCATGAAATTCATGAACTCTCAGATAGAACTCTCTGACGGGGAGTCGAACCCCGGTCTCCCGCGCTTTGTCTGATTAGTGACAAGCGGAAATCATGACCGTTAGACCATCAAAGATTTTCGGTTGACGGTTAGCTGTTTTCAAAATCTATATACTCATCATTGTGCCGCTTTTACGTACCATTCATTTCCAAAATTCGTGCCTGAAATTTTCCGTCTTTAAACATTCAACTTTCGTAAAACCGAATTTTGAATTTTGGATTTTCGATTTTCGATTTTCGATTTCAGTATCCATCTTCTACAATACAGATTGCTGTAAAACAATACCAGTACATTGGATTTACGATTTCATATTTTCTGTTTTCCAAAGGATGATTCCATTAATTGTATTTCTTGAATGTTACAGATGTATTCCCTTTTTGTTACTTGTTTTACTTCGAAATCGAGATGGAATCATTCTGAAGCTATTCCCAACGTTGATTCTCACGAAAATGATTCTCACGAAAACGAAAGCGGTGAAATTCTTAGCAGCTACCTGGAATTCTTCTATTCCTAGCACCCATACCCACTTGGAATACTTCCATGAGAACGGTACAATGTTAAGCATTCTAAGTATATATATCATCTTGTCATTTTCTCTCTTTCCTCCATCAATCTCTTTCCGCTATCAATATCTTTCCGTCATCAATCTCTTGTCAAGCTTGAACAATGAATAATCTGTTAGCATATCGCGAGACTCGAAAGTTAGCAAATTCACAAAAAGTTGAGATGCCTTTTCAAGGAAGGCCTCTTACAACCCCTACGAAAGTTTTGTATACTGGTTTACGAAAACTTTGGGAAAGGCAAGTAAGATACTTCAGATAATATCACAAACATACTAACTTTTGCTTAGTTTCCAACAGGATATTATACCTAATGCCTTTCCCGATCTTGAAACTATCGAGACATTCCTTATGTGGCATGCTAGCAATGCCAAAGGGAGACTCAATGAAAAGCTTTCTATCAAAACTCTTTTATATAAAGTAGGAAGGTTTGGATGTATGTATGATGCAGTTTATCATTATAAAATTCCTGATACTGTTCTTGATCTTGCTCGATATGTAAGTATTGTTAATCTGATTTACAATTTATACAACTAACCTCAATAGTATGTATCAACAGATTTGGCAAAGGAGCTAGGTCTCGAAGATGCTGAGTATGATAAAGAGTGTACCGACTGGATCGATATCGAGATCATGATTCTTTACTTGACGGTGCAGGACGAACATGAATATCGCTGTAATCGCTATCGAATGCAACTGGGATGTATCTTCATGTTGATTGCAGACGATGGAGAACGAATTGGTGCAATCACTAGATCAGACTCTTATCGTGAAGGTAATATCGCGCTGTGCTATGGGGTAATTATACTACAAAAGTATCTATAATAGTACAGAATAATAATCAATATCTACAGGATCTCAATCTTTTTCTCCTTCCAGCACAAGGCTCGAGCTCAAGCCCTCGATTCAGATTGGAAATCAAATTTGACAACAGGAAAAACGAAAGGGGAAAGAAGAATAAATAGTGAGATTATAGGGAATGTTTTCTAAAAGTTTTGTTCTAACATGATAACAGCATCGAGCAATCATATTTGTTGAGGGATGTTCCAGGTACTTGTGTTGTTTCTTGGATTTTGGCACTTGTATTCATGGATGATGCATTGGAACATTATTCTACACCTTCTCAAATATTTGAGAGGGAGACGTCAAACACAATGGAGATCCCAATCACCTTCAAACAAAGCAAAATGCACACACCTTTGTTTCGAAGGATGGAAGGGCCAAATAATCGAAAACTTTCCTCTACTCTCGCGATTTCCAGCATTTCTGTGACCGCGGATGCTCAACGTGTCGTTGCAGCGGCGGGATCTAGACAGCATTTTACATTTTACTGTATTCGGTGTGGAATGAGCAATGCTCTTCATGATAGTAAGTTTTTCAATATATCTATATAGCGAAATGTACTAATTAACTTCCAGACAAAATTGATAACTCTCGTATAAAGCAACTTATGGGCTATAGTGGCCCATCAGATAAAATTTTTCAGAAATATTATCAGTCTCGGAAGGTGAATATTGACACTGGGAATATTTATCGAATGCAACAACCGCGCTCAGAAAGAACCGAGACATTAAATATGCGTTCTAAACGAGACCCTACAGCCCCGGTGAAGCTTTCAGCTGATCAAAAAAAGAGTATTACGACCAAGATAAAGACATACAAGATCTGCTTGCATCTAGAAAGAGGTTGAAACGAGAACTTCGAGATCTACCCAGTCAAAAAGAGAGTACCCGAGCTAAGCTTGCCATTATTCGACGTAGCATTGAGAGGCGAAAGACTTATATAAGGAAACATGGTTTAAGGAAAGTCAGAGAGAATCATTTCGAGAACCTATTGAAACCGTCCCAATCAAGCGAAAACTCCGAGTCTGAAGTTCCGATTCCGCCTGTCGTTCGACCTGAACTTTCCAACATTTTGTATCCTAAAGTATTTGATAGCAAAACTACCTTGCTTGCAATTGAAGGATTGATTGCATATTGTACTACTACAAGTACTCTGCATCATAATTCACAAAAAATGGAATGGATTACTTGTGGAAAAGGAGCATAGAATTACTGTATATTTTAACGAATTGAAAGGATATAGTTGTGAGGAGATCAATAACGCCCTCCCACACCGGACTCCCCGGCGATCCAGATGCAATACTCGGCGAAGCTCAAAAAGTAATCTTGTTGGAAATTTATACAAATCTCCTAGGATTTTCTATTTTGTTTATCATACCTCAAGATCTATTGGAAGTTTATTATATATGGATTTCTCTTTTCCTTTCTTTTCTTCTTCTCTTCTTCCTTTAGTATAAAATTCTAGATAATAATATAGATGTACTTTTCGCTATTCTTTATTGTTGAATTAGCTTAGGTTTAATACTCTGTTTCTATTTTGAAATCGAAGGGTTTCAACAGGTGAGCAGTGGCTATACCGGAATGGCTGTAACTGTGTGAACGAAGTGAATGACTTCAATTCAATTACTACTGTAATAAAGAACTAAGCGAACGCGAAAGAGACTAGCTCTTTTAGTAAGTCTATATAAGACTTACTACTTTCAATATGTAGCTAGCTCTTTAGACAGAATACAATTAGACATACAGGACCTACGTAATCCGTGGGTGCTACGTCTTCCGTATCCTTCTCGTACCAACAGTAACGATACTGTACCGGAGGCAGCGGCTGCCTGAGGTTTCGTCTGATTGGTAGTTGTGGGTTAAGGCTTTATCACTAGTCTTCACTTGGAAGTGAAGTCGTTACTAGATCAAGTAGAATGTAGGTAAACTAATTGATAACTAAGTTGAGCACGAAGCTCCTAAACTATGAAACTACTCTGACTATATACTGAACAATAAAGGGGGCCCCTAGGAGCTTTCTGGCTCCTCAAGACTCCTTATCACGCGATTTCTGATGGTGCGTGCGCATACGATCTTCAGGTGACCAAGATCACATACTAATTCGATGAAATCTGATCGTGTTTGCACACGGCCTAAGCTCTCCTAATTAATCAGTTTGCTACCATCGTAACACCATCAATCCTAATGGTGAATCGTGACAATGGCCTAGCTTTGGCGCAGTTGCCGAAGTGCCCCTTATCAAATAAGGCAAGCCACACTTCTCTTTATCACAGACTTGTGACCATCAAACTCCTCTGCTAGGCGATCTGGCTCTCATCTGCAATTATGTATGTTTGATTGATTAAATTAATGTCTACACTGAGTCTATGACTATCTAAGATGGCTAGGAGCTTTGTAAGCTTCTAACAATAATAAATGGAGGATAGCTGGCCTTATTCGACCGTAGCTAAAACAGGTTGGGGAGATTGAGAGCCTCAATCTTCTAATGTTTGAATGGGGGAAGTGAAAACTAATCCTAGGGAACCATGCCCGCCTTACAGATACTCTTCGTATATAATAAGGAAAATGACAAATGAAATAAGTAAAATTCAAATTGGGGTGGTAAAATCTCACGATTGAGAATGAATTGACCAGATGGATAGACCGAATTGATCAGATTGACCAAATTGATCAAATTGACTAAATTGACAAAATTGACCATAATTGATCAATTCAATCACAAACTTCTGGTCCACCCCCTTCTTCTCCATCTTCTCCCTTTTCTTCTTCATGCATTCTATTGAGATGCCATGATCTGGTGGCTATTCTCGTCGTCTCGATAAATTTAAGGGTCTTGATGATTCTTGCTTTAATATAAAGCAGATATTTTTTAATAGATCGAATTATAAGATTATCTTTATTAAAGATTTTCCTTATTGTTTTATATATAGAACAATTGAATAGAAGATAATCAAGAGATTCTTTTCTTTTATATTTATAATTGTTATTAAAGAAGGTTCTGAATCGTTTCAAATAAGATTTGAAGTATCTGTGTCCAATTTTGAATTGGAACAAAGTACAGATTATATTTCTTTTGATGTTTCCTGGAACTTTGATTTTTGAGCTGATCTTCCAGGGGTAGTTTCTTGAATATATTGACGATAATTGATGAAAATTGTTGGTATTAAAGATGACTATTCAGTTCTCTAATTTCATTCTTTTTATATCTATTCCAATAAAGGTATGATTGGTTTTGTAAGATGATGATGGTATTTTGATCGCTTCTTTTGCAAGAAAATCAGCTAGCTCATTTCCTTATACAGATGTATGTCCAAGGATCCAATTGAGAGAGATTTCGGCTTCTTTATTTTGAATAACTTCTATAGCTTTTATAGCTTTGATTTGGTATGATTGATCAGATAAATCAAAAGGAGTTTTCAACCAGAATAATCCTATTTGATTATCTGAGTATATCTTAAACTTGTTTTCTGGTTAGATTATTGAATTTGTATATTCGATCGCTTTAGTAACTTCTAGAAGTTCATTATTATAAATAAGCTGATTCATATCTATATTGATAATCTTTTGATGTGAAATTCGGCTATTTGATAAAATGATTATTATCCCAATCCCAATCCCTATTCTCTTTAAAGTAAATGAGGCATCGATGTATATTATAATGGTATTTTTGCATCTATATTTGAAAGCCAGATTGTGGATTATCATAGCTTCTTCTTTTCCTAATTTGCTGATATTGACTTTATATGGAACTTCTATCTTCCAAGGAGGAAAGTAGAAGTGATGGATTCCTTCTAAAGTGAGAGGATCGAAGTCTTTCTGAATTGAATTTTTGATCTTTTCGAGTTGAGTAGGTTTTAATTGCTTTCTTTGAGGGGTTGCAACTACATCTTGATTCTCCTTTTCTGTAGCCAGCTTTGTAGCTACTAAATTGACAGGATGTGTTGACCTCCTGGGATCTTGGCAGCATATGCATATATATTGCATGATGCATATAAGGAGCAAACAAAACTCAACTTTTAATTCATTCTTTCCTTTTTGGTATACTGTTTGTTTGCTTTCAATATTTTGATTTCAAAGCACTTTAATTTCGAAGGCTGAATACCTAACCTTATTCCTTCATTTTTTTTGAATATATACTCGCAGCTTAACTGCTTAGCTAGAGGATCAATCAATTCAATCTCATGCTCTTTCTGGTTCCAAGAAACCCAACACAAAGCTTCCCCTTAGTGGGAAGATTACATAATACGAAAGTCTGCCAAGCCGCAGCCGGTCCGCCTAAACCCCGTGACCTTCTTAGTGCTCCCACATTTGGATTTCTTTTTTAAAAAATTATAGACTGAAAAGTATACAAAGGAAATAGTGTCTGTATCTGGCAATCTGTTAGCCTGCGTGGTTGTCCTCATCCGCAGAGGGTATATGGTTGTGTCTATCATCTTCAGGGAGGGGGAGGGGGAGGTGACGAGGGCATATCTCCGTGAAGAAGTCGTTTCGTTTAGTCCACTCTAAGAGTGTCTCAGCTCCTTCGTGCGTACCGCAGAGGAGGGGTATGAGGTTGACTGGTCTGCCTTTCGGTCTAGAGTGTTTCCTCTTGGCAATATAGCAGAAGAAAAAGTGTAATAGGGACTTGCAGGCTCCACATTTGCACCAAATGTGGGCGTCCTAATAATGGAATCGTTCATAATAGATTGCAAAGTCGCCATGCCCTGTCCGGATGGCTAACAAACGATCCAGGAAGCTCCTGGGTAGGGCTAGTTCCTTGAGGTCTTTAGGGGATGTGTGTATCTCCAGATCTTTGTAGAATTGAGGGATCATTGTTGATTATAGATTGTTGATTGCCTTTTATCTATGGTCTTTAGTCTCTCTTCTGAGTCCTGTATAAGAGTAGGCTCCTTTAGGTTGTGGAAGGGCTGCGTTTGCCTTGATTACCTTATTTGCAGCTTCGTTTCCCGCTATATCTTTGTGTCCGGGGACCCATCGGATGCGTACTGTACCGTTGAGCCAGCTTGACGCTAATTGCCGAAAGGATGTGAAGATCTTCTGGGAGGATCCTATAGAGTTTGAGAGGAGTCTAGTCGCCACTTCGATGTTGTCGAGACATATCCATATATCCGTTGCTATTCTTGCTTCGATCGAGACTATAGCTGCTCTAAGGCCCTCGAGTGCTGCTATTGCCTTTGTATTGTAGACTTCTTTCATCTTTTCCAATGCAAAGCTTCCTTCGCAGATTTTGTAGTTGTTTTGATATTCAACGAAACCATATCCCGTGCTGCCGTTTGCCTGTTTCGATCCGTCTGAGAAGATCACGATGTCGTCTCGGGGGAGTAGGTTGTAGAAATTGTTAAAGTCAACCGCTGTTGTGCTTTTAGTTCGATTTTTGGGGCCGTGTATACGGTCCAGAACCTCTTCTCTTGTCTCGGATTCTGTCCACTTGGGGGCCGCCAGGGGGTTGATCTGCTCCGATGGTCGGAGGGATGCGATGCGTCTAGCGTATCGAGACTTGAAAGAGTTTGGGTTCTCTTGGATCCATTCTGATCTCCACGCAAGGGGGTGGTATGGGTCTAGCCTCCTTGTCCTGACTGTGGCTGTCAGAGCGATATTGTCCAGCTCGATCTCGGGAGGTCTGAGGCCTGATTCTCGGTAGAGGGTCGCTGTGTTGGTGGTCCTCCACACTGGTAGGATTGCTCTTGCACATTCAAGCATCACTTTGGCTAAGAGGTTGATGTGATTGTCGACACCGTTGTTGGTGCGGTGTTCTTTGCCCGGGCGGGTTCTGCCAGGCCACCATGTTTCGGCCCCGTAGTACGCCTTCTTGAGTACGCAGACTTCGGCTGCTTGTCTGAGTAGGTTGGCAGGGACTCCTCTCATCGAGTTTCCAAGGGATTTGAGGGCTTTGGCTACTGTCATCGCCTTCGCTACGAGTTCTCTCACATGCCATTTAAATGACAGCTTTTTGTCAAAGAGGATGCCGAGCCATCTGAGGTATGGCCTCCCGTTGTTGAGTTCCTTAATAATCAGGTTTCCTATATTGACCGTTGGGGTTGTATTGGGGTCTTGATCTATTTTGTGCTTTGAGAAGTGAATCAGTTCAGATTTACCGGGTTCGAAGGTGATGCCCTCTGAGGTGCCCCATTTTAGAATTTCGTCCACTCTCGATGTGATTCGTTTGACGTTGTCGGTCAAGGACTTCGAGGCCGCCAGGATGGCTACATCGTCTGCATAACCGAATTTGACCGTGTCTTCCCCCATTCTGAAGATTGGGGCGATGTAGAGCATGAAGAGGATCGGCGAGATGGGGGAGCCTTGAGGGAGCCCGCACTCGATGCTTGTTTTCGGGCCCGTGACTCCGTCCAGTCGGACCTGAACAGATCTTCCTGTTGCAAAAGAGGAGAGCCACTTGACGAGGTTGTAAGGCTATCCTTGTTCTCGGAGTCTGCGTATTAGTCGCCCGGGGAGGACGGCGTCGAAGGCTCCTTTGACATCTAGCGTTAGGAGTGAGGCTGATTCGTTGGTATTGAGAGATTGTTCCACATCGTGCGTGAGGCAGGTCGTGAGGTCTACAACTGACCGGAGGGGGAGGGTCCCGAACTGGTGGGTGGCTAGTACTTTGTGGGAGACGGCTGTCCATGACATCTGCCTGGCAATGACACGTTCGAGCCCCTTGTCCAGGCATGAGAGCAAGGCAATGGGTCTATAGGATCTTGGGGACGAAAGATCGGCCTTGTTGGGTTTAGGGATGATTGCTAAGATCGCGCTTCTGAAAGATTTTGGGTGGTAGCCGGTTCTTAGGCATACGAGATATAGTTTGATGACGTGGGCTTCAATAAGGGGCCAGGCTTCCTTGAGGATGTTCGTTGGGAGTTCGTCTGCGCCGGGGGCGGTGTTGCCCGCTTTCAGGACCGCTTGTCAGGCATTCAAATTTTTACTTACGAAGGTTCGAAAAGTGACAAGATAACTTTCTTTAAACACAATCTACACAATGTGTAAATGACCTTTAGACCATCAAAGATGTTGATTTGTTGATTTGATATGTTCGGGACGCTTTGAATCAAAGTATGTATCTGTGTTTTATGGTGTTAGCGCACAGATGGTATTGTGGGGTATGGCATCTTTTTTTTTCTTGGCTGATACTCAATGTTTCATGTCATGATTGTGATATTATTTATGATCAGACAACACTTTTGTGAGAATGTATTGGAAGAAATTTTAAATGGTTCGATATAATTTTTTCAAGATATTGCTACGATGAGTTTACGTGGAGTCGGAGCACTGGATCGCACTGTTTTACCAAAATTGTTCTCAGCGAGTTTAGATCGATCAACCCATCTGCAACATCTTTGATTGTCCTCCGAAGAAACAAGCCTCGTATTGACGCACAATGAAAATATACTATTCATAATCCTAGAGAATTTATAGTACATTTCCGCAAAAGGTATATTCGGAATTGTTATTCCGTATATCTACAATTTCCTTCTGGTTCAATATAAGTTTATTGAATAAATATTTTGGTCAATGTGAACATTAGAAAGTGTGGTAAAATCCAAGGATTTCCTAAGAAAAATACTCTATCGAAGTAACCTGATGATATTTCATTTCTTAGAATTTTCTCCTTGATATATTAACAGTAAAAAGAAGCGTAAGAATGGCGACGAACAGGAATTAAAGGGAGAAGGAAACGAACGTCATCAAACTCTCTGACATCGAGACTACGACCTCGTTTGAAGGTCCGTGATCTTGACCATGGCCAATTTGTTTAATAGCTATCAAAATAAGGGAATGTAAAGACAAGCTTCTTCTCTAAACTAAGATGGAAATGCGGGGTAGTAGAAGTTAGAACTGCTAATTATTAAGTAAGCTTCTAGCCTTGATCTTTCGAGTAGCTAGCTGACTGGCAAAGATTCTAACAATACTACTTGGTTTCCTATATGATACTTGGATTATAATGGAAACAAACATGGCTAATTCCTATAAATTGTTTCCCCCTCCTCTATGGGGAAAGAGCACTGCACCCGTTAAGGTCAAAAACTCATCCGGTTAGTGATTTAGGAATAAGAAATGGATAGCTGGGGCAATGTCAACACTCAACTCAATTGGGACCAATGTACACCGTCGATCCAAATATTTAGAAAGTGACCCGCTGTACTTGAATCAATATGCCGGTACTGACTTCCGTCAACTTCTCGGCACTCATTGTAACTCAACTCCCTTCAAAACTTCTAAAGCCAAGAGCCAAGATTTGGGGACATGGTTTCTCTTCCGTTTCCAAGTAAGAATTTCCTCTCCGAAGCTTGACTGCATATAAGCATTTACCCCAACCTCTCCGCACAAAATTAGGTTATCCCTCCCAGCAACGGCCTCACTGCAAATTCGGACGAACTGGTGGAAGTGAAGTGGAGTTTGAAGTCATACTTCGGGACCGAACCTTCAATCCAATGAACGAGAAAATTTGCATTAGACCTTTAACTCCGTCAGGTATTTCGGTACCGAGCACTTAAATTTTGCTTTAGACCCTTCACTCCATCATCTATGTCGGGGGCGAACTCTCGAAATTTTATTGCTGGGCCCCATTCTTGAAGTAATTGCATCGCTCCAATCAGCTTTCTGCTTTTATCACACCAAAAGTCACGGTGAATTTTGGACCTATCAACGGTTGAATTCGCGCATCAGGAGCCCGAGAAAAGAACTCTTGATCAAATGTAAAAAGGAAAGAAGAAAAGGCCTTTCCGGGTATAAGAAGGACTTTGTTTCGATAACAGTGCCCGTTTCATTGAAGGTCGGTGAATAGTAAAGCGCGAGGCCCGATAGTAGCGCCTCCTTATGATCGGTGACATAATAACTGGGGAATCCTAACTCATCTACCAATCAAAACTTTCTTAAATGGCAAAAGGGATCTAGAATCTATGACGAAAATCCACTATAAAAAGCTTAAAGTTTAAGGTAGAGGGAGTCTGAGGGACTTGGAAGGAAGTATCCTACAGTTTAAGTGGTTCTGATCATGAACGCAAAAGGTGCTAACGATTTGTGAATTGGCTTGATCTAATAGGTAGCTACTTATTATTATATATTGCACTGTTCATCCACGAATTAATGATCACTCATATATGCGGTTTGACTGTTTAGGTACTGGATGGCAATCAATTAATATATAGGAACAGCAGACAATTATTTCATTTCCATTTCCTCTTCCTCGGACGTTCGAATATTTGATTATATGGCAGATTTTGAGAGCTTATATCAGATTATCAGACTGATAACAAGAAATTGAATTGGATAAGACCAATAGAAGGTTGCAAAAGTACCCGAGTAACAGTACCACTTGAGACAGTGCCAAAATGGCAGTTGCACCAGGTGCTACCTCAGCAGAGACAACCGCTATCAACCCAACAGTTGCATCACAACAAATCCCTAGAGAATCATCCTCACATCATCCTACCTCGCCCAATTCCCTCGCATCCACAGTCGCCACCCCAGGAGATAGCGAAAAGGACATCATCGAAACCGAGAACCATATCACGAATGAAAGTAGCATCGACCTACCCAAAAGCAAAGAACCATCCTCATCCAGAGATGTCGCCACAAATGCAAATACCGCGGCTCCTCCTGGGCCCTCACCTCAAGATCCAGAGGCTTCGCGCACGAAATTGGAAACGACTATTATTATGATATCGCTTTGCGCGGCGGTATTTCTAGCTGCTCTCGATGTCTCCATTATTACTACAGCTCTCCCTACCATTTCCGAACATTTTCATTCGAATGCTGGATACACTTGGATAGGATCGGCCTACTTACTTGCCAACGCTGCTAGTACTCCCTGCTGGGGAAAATTCTCAGATATATGGGGACGGAAACCGATCTTGTTAATTGCAGCGGGGGTATTCTTCGTAGGGAGTTTATTGGCGGCATTGAGTGTTAGTATTGGGATGTTGATTGTGGCGAGAGCGATACAGGGAATTGGCGGTGGAGGAGTGATTATTTTGGTTAATATTTGTGTTAGTGATTTGTTCAGTATGAGAAAGAGGGGAGCATATTTTGGATTGATAGGTATGACTTGGGCCTTTGCTAGTGCCATTGGTCCTTTGTTGGGAGGTGCATTCACTCAGAAAGTTAGCTGGAGATGGTGTTTTTATATCAATGTGAGTTTTATATCGATCTTCTACGACTTCTACATTTCACTTCGCCAAATTCAACGAATGTAAATACTAATCAAGATGAACAGTTACCAGTTACCGGAACAGTTGCAATAGCACTATTTTTCTTCCTTCATCTCGACAATCCAAAAACTCCAATATGGGATGGATTAAAGGCGGTGGATTGGCTTGGAAGCTTACTTATTATTGGTGGTACACTCATGGTTCTTCTCGGACTCGAATTTGGAGGCGTCACAAAGCCATGGGATTCGGCTACCGTCATCTGTCTCATAATTTTTGGAATACTCGTTGCAGGACTCTTTGTGATCAACGAATGGAAATTCGCTCGATATCCACTCATGCCTCTTCGACTGTTTAAACATCCTTCTAATGTTGCAGCTTTGGGGGTCTGTTTCTGTCATGGATTCGTCTTCATTTCAGCTTCTTATTACCTTCCGCTTTATTTTCAAGCAGTTCTTGGAGCTACTCCTCTACTTTCCGGTGTTTATCTACTACCGTTCGCTCTTTCATTGTCTTTGACATCGGCGTCAACAGGTGTATTTATCAAGAAAACCGGCAAATACCTTCCACCTATTTATTTCGGTCTCACGGTTATGACTCTTGGATTCGGTCTATTTATTAATATCCCACGTACCGAGAATTGGTCCAAGATCATCATTTATCAAATCGTCGCTGGTATAGGTGTCGGACCAAACTTTCAATCTCCACTTATTGCCCTACAAAGCTTGGTTAAGAGAGCAGATATTGCAACAGCAACCGCCACATTTGGATTCACGAGGAATTTGAGCACAAGTATTAGTGTGGTGGTAGGAAGTGTGGTATTTCAAAATGAAATGCAAAAGAGAAGTGCGGAATTGGCTACAGCTCTAGGAAGTAGTGTTGCTTCAGAACTGAGTGGTGGAAGTGCGGGTGCTAGTGTGGATATTGTTAAAGGATTACCTGCTCCTGGAAGAGAAGTTGCCAGAAATGCGTATTGGGAAAGTTTAAGAATTATGGTAAGTTTGTTTTTGCCGGCACATCTATAAGTGTGTCATTTTGGGGGAACAAGAAAGCTAACATGGAATACAGTGGATCATATATGTAGCATTTGCAGCATTGGGCTTAGCAATTAGTTTTGCAGTAGGTCAACATGTACTCAGTAAAGAACATGAAGTTACGAAAGTAGGATTGGAAGAACAAGAGAGATTAAGGTTAGAAGCTAAGCGGGCGAAGAAAGGCGAAGGATGCAGAAGCTGGAGGACAAGTTATACAAGGGAATAGAGGATGAAGAGAAAGGTCCTAATTGAGATTGAGGAAATCACCTGGGGGTTGAGGGAATGGGTGAGCTGAAAATTTTGTCGTTTATTTGCATTGCGTGCGTTGATCTGCATTTGCTTTGCACTGCATTTTAGAGTGGGATTTTGCATAGTATGATGTATGATGGTTTGCATTATATATATACCCTTATGATTTATGGGCAGTTGCACTTGTTGATTTGGATGGTGGATGTTTTGGATGATGGATGGTTGATGTTTATTTGATGATGGAATCATGAATAATTTTATAAGTAATAAAGAATGGAAATGGGAATGATAATGAAAAATACATATATGAGATTCTTGAAGATATGCCCGTATGTAATGAGATTTGTTTGGATTTTTTCTTTCCTTTTTTTTATTTTTTATATTTATTAATTGCTACTTTGTGGCTGGAAGTATGTACCTTTGTTAGTGTGAGGCAGTAAAGACGAAATGGATGGGGAAGTTTGAAGAAAGATAGAATATAAGAGCTGAGGAATGGGGAGGCAAGGATGAGGAGGGGATGATGTTATTGTAGCTGATATATGGATGGGGAAAAGAATGGAAAAGAGGGTATGGTAGGGAGAGGGTAGGGGAAAGGGAAGGGATATGAGTAGGAATTCTTTTATCATGATTCGGAATTCGGGATGTTGAGGCTGGGCGTTGGTGGTGTTGGTGATAAGATTGAGGAGGAGGATGATGATTGGGATGAGAATGGAGATTGGGGAGAGAAGAGAGGGATGTGTATATGTGTATATATATGTGTGTATATATATATATATTAAGGGCTGAGGGGTAAGAGGTAAGGGATTCAAAATTCAAGTTCAAATATTAAAAGATAAAAATAAATAATAAATAAATCAAGTACAGACTATCTTTTTACACCGAAAACCACAATTTCCACCTATATAATAAATGAATATAATTCAATGAAATTTTTTTGACTAGCCACATCATAAATCTGAGATTCACCTGTTGATTATATCTGTAGTATCCCCAAAACTAATAAGAACCTTTAGAAAATTAATATATTTATGTGACGGAAATCCCTGCTTTCCTCCCACCCTTATTATATAAGAAACCTCAGGTACATTAACCATGTCCACACATGATACGATTACTCGGGATTAGTATACGATTTAGGTGATCTGAGGATCAGATCCGAACAAGTACTAGGTATCAATGGTTATCGGTAAAGTAAGATCATTGGAGGGATAAATATGACTTCTTTTTGCCTAGCCATTGCGGCTAGGCCATTCATTTGTGTATATATAGAGTAGCTATCCCCATCTACAGGTGCTCTTCACCTGTAGATTCTAAGTTAAATACAATTGCTGGTCTATAAACACCCTTTTGATCACAATTTATTTCACTTTTTTTTTTTAGAGATTTCTTATAAAAATAAAATAAATTTAATATAGATATTATTCTAATTTTACTAGATGAAGATATGATAGTAGTAGTTATATCTAAAAATATTAAAAAAAAGAGAAAATAATTACAAATCTCATTTATTGAATAAATAACTCTCTCTAAGTCTATAAATGTTACGAGGTTTGCCGTCTAGATCACGTGGAAGTGCTCTAGGCTCTCGAGGTGGTTTATAACTAGGCGTCAAGCAGGGACTTAAAGTAATGACAATAATACAATTCGTAACTAATAGTAGAGTATACTAAATGATTGATCTTGAATACAAAGCTCTATAATAAGGAAATTCTTTTCAATTATATAGACCTTCGTGCCGTATGTCCCACCGTTCCCCTCGATTTAAATCGGTGGGACGAGTGGGACCACGTGACCCCTTATTTAGTCATGTGATGCGGGTTTTAGTTATAACTGAATACCGTCGTAGCAGAGGGAAAGAAATGGTTGGGGATGGCGGGGAAGCTGTGCAGGATTGCAGGATCAGTTTTATTCCCTATTCTTCTGTTGGAAGCTTCGTGATTTGAAGCTTGTAGTTATTGAGTAAAGTAGGATTAGAGTTTTCGTTGAATAAGGTTGATTCATTCTGATGTTGATGTCGTCGTCCTTTAAAAAGAACAAGGAGTTTTAAATTCTTGAAGTTGGTTTGAATTAAATATATATCAAAAAATTACTTACTTTGGACATATACGTCATAAACAACAAATGGTTTGGCATGTTGCCAGAGTGGTTAATGGGTAAGACTTGAATGAATAATTCGGTTATCTTATGGTTTCGGCCTCGTAGGTTCAAATCCTGCACATGTCGTGGTGACTAGTAGATTTTTGCTGTCTGTAAATTTTTGGTTCCTAGTTGAATTGATGAATTAATTAAACTTTTAGGCCACACGCATATAGTTGGCATAGATAGAGAGAGATCATTTATCGACTCAAGCCCGACTCACCCCCATGATTTGATTTGATTTGAAGATGGGATTTTACAAATTGATCATTTTTGAAGAGTTCGTGACAGTAGTGGATATCTATGAGGCTGTGATGGATTCCTGCATGTCCTAGCCCCGCATATTATAGCAGAGTGTGAGTGGAGTGAGGTGAGTAGGTGAGTAGACGAGTGCTTAACACCGTGGTGTGAAAAGTTAAACACCGAAATATTGAGGTGTAACCTGCCAATCAACATTTTGATATCGCCTTCTTGACGCGGGCGTTAATGTTTGGGTGGGATGGTTTGCTTCGGTTGATGGTTGATCATGTTGTGTCTGTCTGATGATGGTTTAGTTCGTTCATTTCCTGCTTGGGAAGTTACACAAAGGTGGATGAATAGATGGATGAATGCCAGCGCAGAGTAGGAATTGAACTGAGTAATGATATAACCAACTACCGGTAGTTCTAAATTGATACTATAAAATTTATTGCTTTGTGATATCATACTGTTCACCGACGCCGGTGTTAGTTGCTGGCTGGTTGTGAGAAGTCCGAAATGTTGCATTGTATGTTTCATTCATCTGTTACATCCTCTCTCATTTCGTTGATGGGTGCAGAGAAAAGACAAAGAATATTTGCGATGTGTGTGCTGTATATATCCGGTTAAGCAGATCTAGATTTATAAGTTAAATTTCTGTGTATGATCGAGTAGACAGAAACATGGAGAACATCCCATGATGTATGTGCCGTATCCTAATACACAAACCTAGCAATAGATCTTGAATAGCTCTTGTGTTAGATATGTTCACTAGTACTGGCAACCCAATGCGATGGCTCGGACGAAATGAAGTCTTAACATACCTAGTATGATGTAAATATATATACACATAGCCCTTGTCATTCATACATATCTCTACTATATATAAACTCCCAAGATCCGATGAAATCCCGTCATTTTAACGCGACAGTGAGCACAATAAATAATTGGAGGGATATGTATAAAAGGACAGGAACAGACACTCCAGGTACATTTGCGGAATCAAATGACTTTCACATATTGTTGAGGATGGGAAAAACACTCAGTCATAATAGTAGAAAGGAAAACTTCATAATTATTACTATGTACAGCATGAATATAAATCATGCTCAGAGTGAATACAATTTCAATTGAGTGGTTGTAACTTTCAATGAATTTTTGTTATTATTATATGTATTTAATCTTTATAAATTGATACTGAGGTTATAAACTTATAAATGATCAAAACGCGATAGGCATTGCTGATAACCTTGATTCATCGGTTTTCGCGAACTTTGATTTTTTGATCTGTCTAAACAAAACATTCGAGTCCACCAACATTTCCTCTCCCTCCCTCATCCTACCACAACTTCTCGACGACCGTCTTCTACTCAACCATATCCTCACTCCCTTCATCAATCATCATCATGGCTGATACCGAAATGGATGTCGATGCGCCTTCATCACCACAGGAGCAGCGAAATGAACCAAAGAATGCCTCAATGACAACTCACTCCAATGCGACAGCGGTACGATCGATCGAAGGCTGGATTATCATCGTCACAAATGTACATGAAGAGGCTAGCGAGGAGGATTTGAATGACAAATTCGCAGACTTTGGAGAGATCAAAAATCTTCATTTGAACCTGGATAGAAGAACTGGATACGTCAAGGTGAGTTCGCTCATGCAATTCAATTACATTTCCCATGGAAGCTTTTCGATCACTCTGGGCATTTATCGCATGGGGGATTTGTAAGATAAATTTAGACGGCTAACTCAAAGTATCTGCAAAAATAGGGTTACGCGCTGATTGAATATCCAACTTTGGAAGAGGCAAGGGCAGCGATCGATGGTGCGCATAATACCAAGTTGCTGGAACAAACTGTGGAGGTAGACTTTGCCTTTGTTAGACCGCCACCAGGAGGAAAAGGTCGAGGAGGTCGGGCACCTGCCAAAGGTAGAGCCAGAAGCCGATCCCGTAGTCCCAATGGTAGAGATGGAGGCGATTGAATGAGTGCAGGTGACGATAACTGTGCCACGTTAAGGGTTAATGATTCCTAATCATGAAGACAAGGAGCGGTGGAAGAAATCTGGGGAAGTTGCAGGGGAAAATGGAAGGAATTTAAAAAAGTTTACTACTTTTGTTACTACTTTCGTTATTACCTGCTTCATTACTACCTACTTTACTAAAAGCCGATATGTTTTTATGGGAAAGACATATCGGCGTATATCCAAATCATTACGATGGTAAGTAATGTCATCTATTCATCTAACTGCCTTGAATTATTGGAAAGAATGTTACTGATGATCTATATTTAGCAATTGAGAAACCAAACATACCAAACACTTAACTTACCATTATTGAGCTCTCTTGTTTGATTTCTTCCAGCTTCACGTTAATGAATTGGAGGCTTGCCAGATTTGATCGTTACATCTCCGAAGTTTTCATCTAATTTGTTGGACATCGCCGAGACCCATCATTTCTTCCAATTCCTCTAATGCAAAGCATTCTTTTACAAAAACAGTTGTCTTCGCAGAAAATTAGAGGACCCTACTCACATCTCTCCAAGAACTCAGTGGACCCTACATTCAGAAGAAAAACTTTCTTGCCGATCTGGATAACCTTGTACTGTGGGCTGACATAGAATGATGTGAGCGAACCTCCCCCTGGCGCTACATACATAACCTGGACATTTTACCAACGATTTTGGGTTCTTCCACAGACAAGGCCTTATCCGGAATTCCCATCATACCCTGACACCTATCTTCTCGAGATCCTTGAATCCTAGAGTCATATGCACGCACATCTGTCAATCTAACAACAACTCTCCGACAACATTTCAAACAAAACTTGGTTTACTATATAAGTCCCTGTATCACCAGACCTTGAATCCTCATACTACTTATTTTTGTACCCTTTACACATTTACACCGCTACACACATAGAAGATCACAGAAATATCTTCATATATATTTAATTCTTTCATTACACCATTGTATATTTTCTTACATCCTCACCAACTCATACCTTTATCACCTCGGTGAATTAATACCACAATGGCTCGTACCTTTTTAGAAAGTCTTCCAAGAGAGATTCGCGATCAAATATATGGTTACGTTTTATCGTCACATTCAAGGAGTGTATATCTATCCGAAAGTGTCATCAATGACCCCGATTACCCTCAAGAAGAGTACTCAGCAGCGGGAAAGCCTCCATATATCATTCGAACTAAATCCCACGGCGAAACCATACGCCTTTCCTTTTTACGAACTTGTCGACAAATCTATCATGAAGCTAAAGTTGTTTTCTGGGAGCAGAATTCACTTATCCTTGATGGTATCCTACCTCGAACATATATCGATCACCCCATATTAGGCAGACTACCGGGCTCGATTGCCTCAATGGCTACTTCTGTCGAACTCAAGATAGATATATTAGGTCGTTCAGCTTTCCGTAGGAAATCTGATTTGTGCGAGGATAGTCCCTCTCTTGTTCCATTCGAATATCAATTGAAGGATCTTGCACGATGGCCAAATTTAAAGAGAATAAAGTTACATATGAGTCTTGGAGAAGACCCATGGGGCAATTATGATGGATATGGTCACAGTGGATTCGCAAGATTACTCTACTGGAGACTTAGAGGCGGATCAAACGATCATTGGCATAACTTAGTCCGATCAAATATCAAAGCATTAGAAGAAGCCGGTGGAAAAGATGGTTATTTATCTCATGTCAAGAAAGAATTGGACATCAACACAGGCTGCGCACTTCCAAATGGCAATGGCTTTCCTCAACGAATGTTAAAGATGAGTACTGGATCTCCAGGTGAAGTTTTACAAGAATTAAGTGAGGCATGGTTTGGTAATCTATTTGTTGATGGTAGATTATCCTTCCTCGAGGGTAAAGAGAAGGAAGATATGTTCGTTCAACAACCTGCACCACGTTTACCTATGCTGGATCATTTCTTCTTCTTCAAATATGATATCGATCGTTGGGTAGATGGACAATCAGGTGTAAGGTTATGGGGAAAAGCAAAACAGATTTGGCCAGCAGGAAATGAGGGGAAACAAGCAAGAAGAGATGCTTGGGAGGATTCAGGAAGAATGGGTTGTTCTTTTGATGTTATGAGGGAAATTCATTGGCCTTGGAAACAAATGTCACCTCCAGACTTTGTTCCGTAGGTTTTTGTTTTTGGTTTTTGATTTTTTTCGATTTCTCAATTGTCTGTATTACGAGTTTCTTATTTTTGTATCATCATCATCACTTATTATGAAATATATCCTCAACTAGCTAGGCGTTGTGGAATTTTGCTTTTACTAGGTACTTTTTACGAATACATTTAAATTTACATCTACACATATTTTGTACTATTATTCACGACAATTTTTTTTTCCTCTACAGAAATCTCGCGACGGTAAGTCTTACCATTCATTAATTACAATTCAGTATCCAAAAAAAACCCCCCAAAGAAAAAAAAAGAGAAAAAGATAAGAAAAAATAACATCCATGATCCCAATCCAACAGGCAGCGCAAATAAATTAATCCACGTTCATACATACGTTCATACAGCTGCAGTCAGCGCTATCGAATGCGGGGTAAGAGGAATACTAGGTAGGTACTAGGTAGGTAGGTAGACTGCTAATGGATATACAAAAGATTCCCCTTGAATTTTTTGAAAGGATGGGCTTTGCTTGCTTGCATGCTTATTCTTTCTTTTTTGGTGTGATTGTGATTGTGAGTTGGGGATGGGTGGATGAATGAATGAATGAGTGGGTGGGTAGGGAGAGCCAAGGAATGGTGAGGGATGGTGAGGGATGATTGGAGATGGTTGGGGACCCGAGTCGATGGAATTTTTTGTGTGGGATTGCTGGTGGTGGGATTGGTGGGGGTTGTTGTGGGAGGTGAGGATGAGGATGAGGATTGGGGATGAGATACTTTGGAGGGGGATGGATTGTGGGTTGTGATTGGATTTATGTGGTGGATGAACGGTGTTAATGTGATGTGACGGGATGGTATGGTATGGTATGGTATAAGATAAATGGAATATTTATTTATCTTAGGATTTCAATTTGGTGGTAAGATTATATAGCATATTATTTATTACTTAGGGAGAGCAATAGGATTTGATTAGTTCATGAATAGTGAGTGTTCTAGCTGAATGTAAATTTAAATTTAAATAACAATAAAATTTTTAGTATTTCGAATGCGGACTTGGGATATAGTATAGAATAGAATATCATATCATATGTACCTATGTAGTACTAGTAGTAATAAAGTTAAGAATATAGAGAGGAACCTAGAGATCGGAAGTAATTAATTAAAACGTGGGATTTTGGGGAAGAGGGAGAGTGGGAAAGAGGGAAAGAGGGATCTAGATGGGCAGTGGGTGTTTGAGCTAGACTTAGTTTTTCTTGGAGTGTAGCGATGAGATGAGATAGGATGGGTTGGGGGATATGTAAGGTTACTGGGTAATGAGTATATACATTCTTTCTTTACTGTGAATAAGATTATTTGGTCTACAGGAGGGGTGTGAAATATAATATAATTTTGAGAATAGATGGAATGTGTATGCGGTGTTCTGTATTCTATTCTTATATGTTGTGTAATAAATATATCGATGTGACATCTCGATAACGTTTCAATCTAAGCCGGGCGCAGTGGCAGTCATTCGACATCACATCCTTTAGATTCACGTGTATTTCCTTCCTTGCTCGGGAAGCCACACTTCTGGATTGATTAAGGATAGGATAAATCGAAATAAGACTTAAGACTCAAGATTTACGTATACAAAGATCCGGTACCCGTCTATCTCTTTCCCCGACGAACACCCCGTTATACATGTGTATATGTATGCATGCATCCATGTACTAGTAGTCTTACTTCTTATCTTATCCCACAGACATATAAAAATAAATATACTGTACTCCATACACAAAATAAAATTCTTATACTAAGGTTACCTTTCGATCGGTGAATCCTTGTATTTGCGGGATAGGAAATAAAAAGTATTGATACATCGTGGAGGAATGATTCGTTAATTATGATTTTCATTATGGTTTTAATGTTGACAATACACTCACTCACTCACTTCTCGGCCCGGAAAAACGAAAAATCTACAGGACCCGAGTTAATCAACCCACGGCTTCGGATAATTTTTTCTAGAATGAATGCGAATGCGTGATCTTCAGCTAGGGTCGGGATAGACATGGATAGATGAATATGCTTAGTAGGTACCCTACCTAGATATTTTTTAATGTCTAATGTGATAAAACCCCTGGATATGTGGATTTCAGTAGGGAATCGATTGGATGGGGGGACTATACAGGGCGAGATAGACTCAGGAGGAAACTAGGATTTTGAGACGCGGTGACGAGGGGTTACTCTCCGTATGCACTCAGGGTCCGACTTTTTTCTTGGAGGGGCGCGCACGAACTGCTGATTGCTGATTGCTGATTGCTGGGTTTGGGGCTGGTCGGTACAGTACGGTCTATGGTACCGTGGGCTGGTGAACTCGGTGTAACTAGGTTTGTGTGTGTGTATGTGTAGTTGTATGTACAGTTGTTGTGGGATTGGTTCGTGAGGGATTGGTTGGAGGAGGATGTTGGGATGGTTGGTATAGGGAGGGAGGGAGGAATGCAGTCAGCTTGAGCTTGTTTTCATTTTTGGTGCTACGTTTGGTGGGAAGGAGGTTACGAGGGTAGGATCATGGTATGATTGGTGGGTAGCTAGGAGGATATGGAGATGAATGGTGATGGGCTGAGTAGAACGGTCTCGTCGTCGGTTTCTAGATTCATCTATGTTATGTAGGGTCTTGATGAAATTTTAGGCATTACCCGAGACATCGGGACGGCATTGAGTTTGCGGAATATAACATTGTGGCTTGGAGGTTTAGATGGAGAATATTGAATTCAGCTAGTTAGTTCTAGCCTCTAGGTCAAACATTGAGCCTCACGGAATATTATCTATCTTCCGAACCATCAAATCTTATGTCAGCTTATTTGGTCACCTTTTGAGGTTATGAACCGAGATGATTATATGGGGATATTGGTTCGCGCTACGGAGATACTGTATGGATGTTAAGTGATGTGGATACAGCTGCACATTGAGCCGGAGGATTCTTAAGAACGGTTATTAGTGAATCAGCGATGTTAACCCCAAAGATAAGAATGAAAAGACGCAATATGACATCAAGACACTACGACCATCGAACCTTACAGCTACGATCGAAAACTTCAAAGGTAATGTCATCGTGGGAGCTGCATGATCGTTATCTGATGCATTGGAAATGACCTCATATTACTTCGGCAGATACTTTGAAACGTATCTACTGGTAATCCATACTCTTATCTCTCTCTACTAAGGACTAGAACAAATATCATCTGCATGACTACATTCAGATCCTCACAATCACTCCTCTTTACCCGCATCATCGACGATGAAATCCGCACATCTTTCCGCGACCATCACCGCAGGAGCCATAGGATGATGACTCACAATCCTAGGGAAAACACTCGTATCGGCGATCCTAACACCCCTCACCCCATGAACACGTAACTCGCCATCCACAACTCCCGGGGCCTCTTCATCGTTCTCAGAACCCATCCGACATGTCGATGAATAGTGAAAAGTATTTCGGATCCGATGACGTATGAATCGATCCATTTGTTCTTGATTTCCATTCTCGATATCGAGATTCTGGTTTTCGGATAGAAAGGTTATGGGACGGAGGAGAGGAAATCCAGAGGAAAGCATGGTTTTACCGAATGAGAGGGCAAGGTGGACGGCTCGTTGTGCAATGATTAGGTCGTTTGGGTGGGACAATATTCCGAAATCGACAGCGGGGAAGGAATGAGGGGATGAGGATGTCAGACGAACGCTACCGCGGGATTGAGGGTTGCAGATCGTGGCGAGGATGCAGAAGATTCCTATTTTGGAGAAGCTGGATTGGTGTTCTTCTATGTCGTCCATGGCGCTTGTGGGTAAAGGCATGAGTTCGATGTCTGGAATTAGATCTTCTGATTTTTTGGAATGAAGATTTTCAGATGATTCAGGTGTATCTGTGGATGGACAATGTGCGATGAGTGGTCCGGTGGAGTCTTCGTTGAGTGATTTGGATCGGGTGAAGAAGCTTAGTGTTTGAGATGGAAAACTCATGATGCCTGTTCCGAAGAGAAGATACTTGCAGATTTCGACCACTGCTTTTAAGGGAGATACTACGACTCGAGTGATTGACTCTTCGATTGGTACTTCCCATGCAACAGGTATACTTGGATGATCGGTCTAATATATTTAATTAGTAAGAGTTCATCGTTTATTTTAAGGGGTGAAAGTTACTAAGTTGGAGCCAACACCAGGTAAATCATGTATGATTTTGATATTGTGTTCTTCCAGATGTTTACGAGGACCAATACCACTAATTTCAATTGTTAGAACCTCTCATTTAGATTCTGTGATACAAAGTTCGCATACCTTAACATTAAAACTTGAGGTGAACCTAGTGCGCCAGAGCAAATAATAACTTCCTTCTTCACTTTAGCCTCAAAGATCCTCGAAGATTTCGGATCAGAACTTCCAAAGATAACTTTATCAGCGCGAGGAACTCCGTTTTCATCTGAAAACACAATTCGGTGAACCGTGGTATTAGTACAGATAGTCAAATTATTTTCTCTCTCCAAAGCAAGTTCTTTAGGGAGAAAAGAATGAAAAGTGGAATTTCGTTTTCCATCGTCACTGATGGTACTGTATAACATAGCTAATTCATCAATCGGAGCATCTGCCACGTTTGTATCTGAAATGCGAGGGAACCCCAATACTTCAGCTGCGTCCGCAAACCTTTCGTTAGAAATACAGTGATTAGCAAAATATTTCATCCAGGCTTCGGCCAACATGATCGACACAAAGGGTAAGTACCAAACTCACATCCTCTGCGCTCTCCAAACCCAATCGCAATAACCAAAACGCTTCATAATCCATCGTCCACCTATCCCCCTCCCCCTTTCCACCACTTCCGCCCCATCCTCCCCAACCACCCTCTCCACCCTCCTAAAAACCGGCTCTACATCCTCCCACCCCCACTTCTCATTCCCCATCTTCTTCCACAATTCATAATCTCCTTTGGTACCACGAGTATACACTTCACTATTAAGTCTACTCGCACCACCCAATACATCTGCGCGAAAAACAAAGGATTGTTTCCCATTGCAATGGGACATTGGTTCGCAGAGCCAGGATTTTGCGCCGCTTGATGCGTCGAAGATGTTGGATGAGAGGAGGGGGATTCGTGATTTGTAGGTATCGTTTGTGGGACCGCGTTCGAGGAGGAGGATTTTGGGGGTTTGGATGGTGGTTGGATTGCTGAGACGGGATGCGACGACACAGCCGGATGTACCGCCTGCATTTTTCGGTGTTTGTGTGAGTGGTGAATTGTGAATTGTGGAAATTGGTATTTTTCTACTTGGAGGATTTATCCTATAATCATATGGAAAATGAATGATAGATACGTACCTCCTATTACTATGTAATCAAATTCCTTCGCATTTGCAAATTCAGGGGGTTTCTCGGGATACTTTCTGGAAAACGGCCATGGTAAGGGCATCTTGATGTAATTAATGTTATATTTTGGGTAGCTTGTAGAGTATTGTAAATAATCACACAGGAAATATTCCTTTTAAGTACAACTCAGTAAGAAAAATAATTGAAGATGAATTCTAGATGGAAAAAAAAACGAAACCAAAACAGAAGATACTTCCTTATTATGGTGGCTCGCTATGATATAAATTGGTATTTGTTGGCTGACTGTTGGTTTCCAACAGATCACACCAACAATTAACTTCCAACAATTTGATTTTGAATGTAGCTGTTAGGGTAATTCCATTATGTTTGATATCTACCATGCTCAGTATTATTATTATCACAAAGATGAAGTTTCGTATTTTGGTAGTGCAAACAACATGATAATTAGTGTAAAGAAAACAAGATGTTACGACGGAACTCAGCTATGGCTAAGCCCGGCGTCGCATGATCGTTGAGGGAATCACGTGGTCCCACTCGTCCCACCAATATAAGATCAGTGGGAGCGATGGGATGTATAATACGAAGGTCTATATGATCAAGACGGATTTTCTTTGTATAGAGCTTTGTGCTCAAGATCAATCATTTAGTATACTCTACTATTAGTTACGAATTGCATATCATCATTGTCATTACTTAAGTCCCTGCTTGACGCCTAGTTATAAACCACCTCGAGAGCCTGGAGCACTTCCACGTGATCTAGACGGCAAACCTCGTAACAAAAAATAAATATATTTATCAAATTTTAAAAAAGTTGATTTCTGTTAAAAGGAATGACCTCACACAGGGAATAGTGGGAAGCTGATAGGGCAGAACTGAGGTAATATTGGTCTAGTAGGTTAATCTCTCTTCTAAGTTCTACGGAAGTGCGATGCTCTCTTACAGAGAGCTTCTCAATCTAGTCCTAATAGGACTAGTGCCCTGTGCACGTGCTACGCAGGAACCATTCACTTTAACAATTTCTTATATAACGTAACTTGACTAGAAGTGGGTCATGTCATGATATGGGTCAAAATCACCCCCTCATTTCTTTATTTTACGCGTTTATTCAACACACAATAGATCGAAAGTCATTAAATCGTAGTGAATCGGAAGATAATATTCAAAAAACTATAGAAAGTCTAAAAGATAAACAATTTACTTCAATTCGAAGTGTTGCTATTCATTTTAAGATTCCGAAGTCAACCTTAATAAATCGAATGGCTGGACGACAATCACGCTCTCAATCTCATGAATCCTTTCAAAAACTTTCCAATGCGGAAGAAAAGACTCTAGTACGATGGATCTCACGATTGACAGCTACTGGATACCCTACAACTCCTGGGTTGTTGAAAGAAATGGCCTAAGAAATTCTGAATCAATACGTCATTTTCGTGTCATCATCTACCTCTTCATCCTTTCAATCAGATCATATAGATCAACGATGGATCTATAGATTCTTAGATCGATATCCTAAACTCAAAGGAACTTATTCTCGCAAATTGGAATCTGCAAGACATAAAGAAGCCACATTTGAAACAATATCAGCGTGGTTTTCAACATTTCAAACACGAATCGAAGAACGGCATTATGAACTCAAGAATATATATAATATGGATGAGACAGGATATGCAATTGGAGAAATAGAATCAACATATATAATCGTAGATTCTACTCTCAAATCGAATTGGAAGATTACAGCAGGAAAGCAAGAATAGATAACTGTATTAGAATATATTAATGCAGATGGAGGCTCTTTACCTTCTATGATCATTTTCAAGGCTCAGAATACCAATACTGTATGGATTCCTATTAATACTCCTCCAAATTGGTATTTCTCAACAAATAATAGTGGATGGACTTCTAATAGTTATAGCTTGGAATAGATACATAAGGTTTTTGTTGGTACGAGAAGGATACGGAAGACGTAGCACCCACGGATTACGTAGGTCCTGTATGTCTAATTGTATTCTGTCTAAAGAGCTAGCTACATATTGAAAGTAGTAAGTCTTATCTAGACTTACTAAAAGAGCTAGTCTCTTTCGCGTTCGCTTAGTTCTTTATTACAGTAGTAATTGAATTGAAGTCATTCACTTCGTTCACACAGTTTTTGAGCCAGAATCTCAAAAAATATCAGGTGATCAGCCTCGATTATTGATTATGGATGATTATTCCAATTATATTATAGGAAGTTTGATTGCTTTCTATATTAAAAAAGAGATTGATCTTTTTATTCTATTATCTCATTGCTCGCATCTACTTCAGTCATTGGATGTTGGAGTGTATGGGCTAATGAAGCGATATCACATCCAAAAGGTTGATCGATACTCTCGAGCAGGAATACAATGAATACAATGATCTGATTGGGTATAGCTTTTTCAGAAGATAAGAGAAAAAGGTCTTATTTATCAAAATATCAAAAACGGATGGAAAGGGGCAGGTTTGAATCCATTTAGTCCTCGTCAAGTTCTGAATAATCTTCTAGCCCCGCTTTTACTACTACCTTCCATTCCAAATACATCATCAAATCCAGAAGATCTAGATCTTTCTTTACTTAATAGCTCTCCCCTAAATGATATTGAGCTACAACAAGCAAATCAGATATTCAATTCAGCTTTATCTGCTAATAATCTGCCTACTTCTCCAGTACAGAGATATGCAAAGCGAATTACTCATCAGATTGAAAGCTTAAATGCTGAAAATGCTATTCTTCGAAAGGAACTTCAAGAATATAAAGAGTTACTTGAGATACGAAAGAAACGAAAAAATGGAAAGAGAATAAAATTAAAAGGTGAATTTGTATTTAGTACTAAGGAAGTATTGAAAATTATCGAGGAGGCTGAACAGACACCTTTACTAAAACGACGACGTGGTAGACCATCTAAGCGTCAAATTGATCAGGTAGAAGAGGAGATGGAAGAAGAAGAGGATAGTGATAGTTCAGTTGGATCAGTGATAGTTGTAGATCACCCTGTAGCATATAGGACAAGGTCAAATAGGAAAATATGATTTTTGTGACCTGTGACGCCTCACACCTCCGGGTCACGTGGCATGCCCCGTTTGTATTTAATCATAGGAAAACTCTCTACTCTTGTTGGGATGCGAAGACTCAACACCTGTACGCGGTGCATCCTACGAACCTCCAGCTCTCTTATGAGAGTCTGCAGAGCTAAGTTTGAGTCATTTGATGGAGTCGTGGTAATTGGAAGAGGAAGAGGCGCCCGATCGCGACGTTTTTACCCGTTTGCGGTTTTTTGACAGTCGCATTATCGATACGCTCTCTACAACACTACCTTTATTACGAAACAGAGGACAACACCATCATCTACGACAATACGCTACGAAATCATCTCACTTCTTAAGAGTGAGACTTCTCTGGAACATAGAGTACAACTCGACATCTTTGACGCGTATATGTTATATATTGTATACCTCCCATGATCGACACGATCGAAACGACAACAATTTATGTACCTTCCATACGGGAACACCGGAGGAGTACTGTTGAAGGACCTGAGCTGATGACGAAACTTACTCTGCTCTCATTCAGCGGAGGTATGCTACTTACGGAATCGGGACACCCGTACAAGCCACTACCTGTGCATGCTATAGTTACGCTATATGAGGATTGGTGCTCCTTCATAAGCTTTCTATTGGCAGGATGATCAGAATGAGGACGAGGCAATCCTGACGGTGGGCGATTACAGTACGTTCTGGTATATAAGGAGTAATTGGATTGATGGTATCGGGAAGGGGATCAGGGATGAAGGGTTTTCGAGTACAATGTTTTAATAGTATGAGGGGAAGGGAGAGAGATCAAGAGCCAGTGATCTAGTGGACGAGGATGACCACAATTACAACCCCAAAAGGCCTACCGGCCCAAACCCCCCCTGCGAAGGCAATTATGTAAACCCTGCCCTAGCCCCCTTTAAATTGTATATAAATACTCCCCCTAGCTAGCTAGTAAACCACTCAGAGGCTTCTCCTCTGAGCGTCATTTGTCCAAAACTGGAATAGATGGCTAAGGTTATCACGCGCCAAGGCGCGTGGGCCTACGGCCTATGACGATAAACACAATCAATCAATCAATCAATCTCTACTCTTGTTTTCCTTCTTCTTTTCTCCTTAGCTTAGTATTTTCTAATACAAGATACTTTACCCAGTATTCTTGAGTGTGACATGACCCATATCACGACATGACCCACTTCTAGTCAAGTTACGTTAAATGAATAAATAAATAATCCGATATCATTTATTAGATCCAAAGTGTTATGAGGTTTGCCGTCTAGATCATATGGAAGTGCTCTAGGCTCTCGAGGTGGTTTATAACTAAATGTCAAGCAGGGACTTAAAGTAATGACAATAATAATATACAATTTGTAACTAATAGTAGAGTATACTAAATGATTGATCTTGAGCACAAAGCTCTATACAAAGGAAATCCATCTTGATTATATAGACCTTCATGCCTATGGCTAGTCAGGACCGCGCAGCGGTCCATAACGTGACTTAATCACGTTACCTTGGTTTAGTCATGTGACGCGGCGTAGAAGATAGCCGTCGTAACACAAAGAAAGATACTTATTTTTTTAAAAATCTTGGTCGCTAAACAAACATCAATATATACTTAATAACAAGAATGAAGCTAAAATTAATTGGCAATTTGGCCGAGTGGTTATGGCGCCAGTTTCAGGCTCACCTGATTCTCCAATACTGGTTCGAAAGAGCGTGGGTTCGAATCCCACAATTGTCATATGAAAAGCTTTTGCATCTCGGAACCGAGAGTTTAAGTTTTAATGTTTTTGAATGTCTTTTTGAGGTGGCGTTGTGAGGCGAATGTGGAGTTATTAGCGGTCGACTAGTTGTGTGGGGTAGCCTCAAAACATTGGTTGGGTACACCAGGTACCTTGCTTGGGGTGCCTATTGAGAAATTTTTGGATGTGTTGATAAATGAACCCCGCCCACCCCTTGATCAGAGAGTTCATAACATACACATCTATAAATTCTATATATAAAGTTAATAACATATTAGTTTAATTCTTGATTCCCTATCATATACCAGTCCAATATAGTCCAAAGTGATTAATAAGTAAGTACACCTTCATTTTCCCCTCTTTCATCAATTCCATGAGCTGTTCTGTCGCACTGCTTGTTTCTATTACGTCATGATGATTGATTTACAAATTCTCAAGTGATTTGAATCATTCATTCATTTTGATATCGGCCGGTTATTGCTGCATGTTTGTTACATACTAGTTCTATGTATGATAGATAGATTTGAGGAGATTTAAAGTTACAGTCAACCATTGAAATGACCAAGCCCCAGTATCTATCTAACAATTCCTCCTCAATACTAGCTGGTATTACGACATACACGAGAGGAGGCTTTCGTAAGTGGATGTCAGCTCACTCCGCAATTCTACACATTAATACTCTGCATCTCTGCCAATTGATTACTGTTTCGTCATTCTCATTACTAGTTAGTGGCTTTAACATTTTCCAATAATAATGGCAGCCTGAATCAAGCCTTGCCAAATCCATGCGTCAATGTTTGTCTTCGAGATGGGAACAAAATTCTATAGAACTTTTATATAAACGGTTACAAATTATCACCATTAATTTATATATCGGTGTATTACAGCATTCTTTCAACATTGGACAAAAACCTCGAATTTGCTATAATTTTCCCGGGCCGGACAATTTAAAAGTCGAAAATAGTAATGGGAAACTTTTAAAGACCTTACTTCTGTATTTTCAATATCATGCTATAGTTGAGCATCACCATTAATAAAAATCGGACATTTCCATTGGCAATCAAATTTTTGAGAGCAGCACAAGAGATGAGGGGAAGACGCCTTCAGCCCTAGAGATGAGAGAAACCACTCAACATCTTTCATGTATGTATGCACTTACCCCTCATTTGAATACGATCTTATGAGCCTTGCCAGCTTGTTCATAGTGCCGATTCATACATAGTTGCATGAAGAAGCATGCACACGTAATATCGCGATTGCGAGAGCAAATCTGATTGTCTATAGTATCGTATGATCAAGCCAAGTCAAAGGGAAAATGAGGGAAAGATGAGGAAAATATGGGATTAAGATCTTGTACTACGAGAAGTACGAGTTTCAATTATTAAAGATGAGCAAATTACTTCTATTACATGATGTAAGAGAGCAGAAGAATGAATTTTAATCCATGGAATGGCTGAAAGGCGAAGATGTGTCTCCCCTCATCTCCCAGGCTGAGAACCGACTTTTAACATTGGACATTTGGAAATCCTCTATATATATATACCCCTTCGATTTCTGTGAAAGAATAAACAAAGCTTGGATATCTATCATTATTTATTTTCATATCAATCTAATCTGAATCAATTCCATCAATAAAGTTCCAATGTCTCTCGAAACTACAGAGCTTGCTTGTACCTCTGCGCCTGATGATATTTTACATCTCATATTCCAGGAACCCCATCCTACAACTGTAATCCGTGAAGCGCGATCTCCGGATGGTGGCAACGTTTGGGTATTTCAAGATTCCATTATCGCCCAAGATGCACAGATTAGTGGTTCTCCGATGATATGCTACTATGTAGACAAAGACCCAGGTTTCCAGAAGGGACCCACAGTACGTTTTGAAGTTTCGATGTTCATTTATATTAGCTGACAAATTGTAGATTCATGTTCTTTACATGACTGAGGATAGACAATTGATGGAGAAAGTCAAGCATTTAGAGGGACACACACCAATTTGGACGGATGTCAAGGTTCCTGATGATATCAAGAAACGTCCGGATTTAATCTCGAGATTAACAGGTGGAGCGTTCAATGGAAATAGCGATTGGAATGTGAATGGATCGCAATGGCTTTACTTTACACAGTAAGTCATAGTCTACATCTTAACTTTGTAAATTGGCTAAATCTAAATCCAATCAAAGAGAACAAGATGACCAACTTGGCATTGCTGAAATTCGACGTTCAGGAGGAAAAGATTGGTATTTCCAGAGAGTTCTCCATGAGAAACAGGGTGAGATACTTCAAGGCACCTCTTTAGCCTGCGAGATCACGGAGAAAAACATCAGAGTGAGTATTTCATTTTCGCTACATCCATATCCATTCCTAAATGCACTCACTTACCTACTCTCTAGGTATTTTTCCAGCAACATGACGGCAGCATCTGTCTGTATGAGTATAAGGAAGGTGATTGGCACGGTAAGCAATATCCCCTCCCCAAAGTAACAATAACCCATCCATAAACTAATTATTCTACAGATCAAGGCATCTACATCAAGAAAGAGGAAGTCCAACCTCCATATCAAAACCCCACACCACTTGCCTGCACCATGACCAAGAACGGATGTATCCATCTATTCTTTGCCGGCTTTGACGAAAACAACAAGCACAAGATTAGACACTATAAAGATGGTAAGAAACAGGACGATGTGACGGATTTCTTCTCAGGGTCGAAATTGGGCTGTACTTCGGATAATAATGAGGTTACTTTGTTCTATAGGAGGAAGCAACCTGAGAATGATGTGGGTACGATGGTGTATTCGGATGGGAAATGGAAGGATGGTGCTACTGTTATCCCTGCATGACTTGAGATGGATTAATTGGTGGATGATGAGAAGGATTTTTTGATATTGGGTTTTCGGGACTTCTACTCGGGAAGAAAAGTTATTTTTCCTTTTAAAAAGCAACATAACCGATCTACTTACTTAATTATGACCAAATCCACAGTACTTGTAAGTCTACTCTTCAGGAATTAGTTATCAGTTTATTTTTTCTTCCAATTCGGTCATTTGCCTGCCCGAATTATGGATTCCCTCAATGTGACCGTGAGATTTACTCGTAATAATCAATGCCTTCGGTGAGAAGCCAAAGAAAGTACCTCACTCCCTTAAAACTCATTAATTAATAAATTTGAAAACACATTGATAACGATAGGATGCAAACTCAAGCAAGTAATTAATATCTCGTCTTATAATATATATCCGATTTATTCCCAGCTTCTCCCGTAAAAAATATAAGAAATTACATTGGTAGAAATCCAGCCGTTTATATTTTACTCAAGTACGACGTTCGAGCATCAAAGCTCATCATCTCCTTGGATGATGGTAATGAGTAAAATATTGCTTGTGTGTCAAGGTTCAAATATAAGTCTAATTAATTCAGATTCAACAAGACAAATAAGAACGTCACATGATCGGCCTTCGTGGCACAATTGGTTAGCGCGTGGGCCTTTTAAGCCCAAGGTTGAGGGTTCGAGCCCCTCCGAAGGCGGTTACTTTTGCAATTTTTACGTTTATTCAAAATGTTTTTTGATATGAAGGTATATTTTATTCGTTTGTTGTTGGTTTCAATCAAGGAAGGTCTTACATATTTTTTGACTCTGTATTGGTTTGCTTGCTCTTTTATGAATGGCCCCAGTGCTTATACAAAAATCAAGGGGCATCCCTCACCATTCATTTTAGACGAAAGAAAGTTGGTTACCAACAGCAGAATACTATGATCCTGACTTGAACGCTTTTTTAATGGTACGCATTTTGATAGTAAATTTTGGATTTTGTGCCTGCTCGTTCACGCTAAGTAGGATTTACCCTCATGAACAATAATTTTGTTAGATATTAGCTTAAGTAGGTGGAGTGTTGGTTTGCTACCTACCACACACTTCCGTTTCCTCAATTTCACTCCTGCTATTTAAATGTAAACCCAACTCAATAAATAATATGCTCTTTTGTACATAGTTCTTCAAAGAAAACTTTCCATCATTAATAACGGGCTCAGCTTTTTAGCCTTCACTCATGTAGGGTCCACTAAGACCCACATAGGAAACTCCAAATCCGCAACAGGGGGTTCGCTTCTACGAGGAAGACTATTGAGTAGTGGAAGAAAATGAGAAGTTTAGAGAAGATATCTGTCAATATATCCATTCACCTCTTTGTATAAATCCTGAATATTTGCGACCCGCGAATACTAGTAACACCGCAGCGTACTTTTGCGATCTTGCATAAGTTAATACCCCGCAACGCATTGACATCAGCCTGGCAACCTGTTGTGTATCGTGAGACGATAAAGCTTATCGCCACCACCATTGGTAACGAAGAAGTTTCCAGATGCTGTATTACGACTGAAGAGGAAGCTTGGTATTGTGCTTCCAAAGTCGACTCAAAGTGTGGTGTGTCTGTGATCCTAAGAAGCTTCTAGGAAAAGGATGAAGATGCATCTTTTTGTTCCTGAATCAGAGTCACAGCTCGGAAATCATCGAGGATCGACTGGGGTAGAATTGCGGTCAAAACAACTCGTGGATATAATATTGATTTTGATATGGGTGGTTTTATACTTCACTCAGTCCGTATGGTGGACTGTAAGTAAACCCGAGGTTTTTATTAAGTTGCGGCTAGAGAAAAGTGGCTTAACTCTCCACTTTTGACTTGATAAGCGGTCAGATTGATAATGGTTATTCGCTATCATTACGCCCTATTGGCCTTGGCTGTGGGACGACATGATGTCTAGTAGATTATAAATACACAGCTGAATAAATTTATAATTGATTTCGACATTTAGATATATATTATATATATAAAGAGTGCTGCAGAGTATTGACATCCTCAATTTTATATATACACCACTCGTTTCTGGTCTACGATCCTCTCTCACGTTATAGGATTCCATCATCTATCTGATGGACGAGACCCAGCCACTCCTTTCACCCGTACCGCCGCCTACAACCGCAGCTGGGCAATATCCATACATTCCCGATGTGAACATTCCAAACGATGAGTCTTTCGATCATCGAATCGATTTCAATCCCAATGGAGATCCGGAAAATCCATTAGAATGGCCAAAGGCTTATCACAATGGAGTCACTTTACTTTTAGCATTCATGGCATTCACAGTGTACGTATTTCGTCTCACCCCACGTTCAAGCAAAAATTCAATGCCCTAACTCCCCATCAGAACATTCACCTGCATCGGTGTAGTACCCATCGCCAGACAAATAATCCTTGATCTCGAAAACCAAGAATCCAAATCCGCATCCGTGCTTCTCGTTACCATTTGGGAACTCGGAGAAGCAGCTGGTCCTTTACTCATTGCCCCACTTTCCGAAGTCTATGGACGAGCAGCCGTGTTTAACGTTGCAAATGTTCTTTTTATCATCTGGACAGTCGTGGCAGCTAGTAGTCAAACATCTCATTTGTTTATTTTGTCGAGATTCATGACCGGTTGCGCTGTTGCGTCTAATGTTCTTAATCCGGCTGTCATTGGTGATATGTTACCGCCTGATCAAAGAGGCTCGGCAATGGCAACACTCATGCTTGCACCACTTTTAGGTGGTGCTATTGGACCTGCTATTACTGGAGCAATTGCTCAATCGATTGGATGGAGAAATGTTCTTTGGTTTGCGGCGGGTATGGCTGGAGTTTGTGAGCTTGCTTTTGTTTTCCTGCTTAGGGAGACGTATAAGACTCGTATCTTACAGCGAAGAATCGCGAGGTTACAAAAGGATAATGATGGTCTTGCACTTAAAGCCGTAGTAGAGGAAGAGTGTGAACATACGGCGATTGCGATATGGAAGGCTATCAAAAGGCCCGCAGCTGTATTCGGAGGATCTTTCGTTCTGCAGATTTTGTCATTCTATGGGGCAATTATGTTTACATTCTATTACATTATGTCGACGACCTTACCAGAGGTACTGAAGAATATTTATGGGTTTCCTCCGGCGACAATTGGTTCTTCTTTCTTCGCTTTTAGTAAGTATTTGACCAAAATACTTCTAATCTATATATCTGACTAACACAAATAGGTGTCGGATCAGCTGTTGCCGTCTTTGTTTGCAATGTGCTTATAGATCGAATCTATATCTACCTTCGAACTAAAAACAACAATAAATCACATCCAGAATACCGAATGCCTCTCACTGTAATCAGTGCTTTTATTCTTCCAATCTCGATTGTTCTTTTTGGATGGACCGCCGCAAATGGATGGCCAGCTGCCTTGCTTCTTTTTTTGGTCGGCCTCCAGGGTTTTGCTATTCTAACGGGTATGGTTCCGTTGATGGCGTATGTGGTGGATGCATTTGGATTATTTTCAGCAAGTGCTTTAACGGCCGTACTCATTACCAGATGTTTGACGAGTACATTTTTACCATTGGTCGTTGGACCCTTGACTGATGCTCTTGGATATGGATGGGGATTTATGATCATTTCGGGTATATGTCTGGTGGTTGCACCGATTCCATTGTTGGTTATGAGATATGGAGAGAAGTGGAGACAGTCGTCTACATATACGAGAGATGAATGATTCATGAATCATGATTGATGATGAATTTATAAAGGACAAAATTTTGTATTGGGCATGGAAGTATATTGGGTTAGAAGGGACTGTTCATTTTATTGGGAGAATATAGACAGATATATCATGAAATGGTGTATATATAAAATTTGTCTCGTTTCTTCACTCTCAATTATTTTGAGTAAACTTATCCTAAGCTTTCCTCTCGAAATATCAAAGGCTGGATTGGAGTAAGTACTCCGAATAACATAACCGTCAGAATCACCTGTTCTATGCAATAATGCAATCATTCACGACAACATGGCCACGTTCTCCGCAGTAACTTTGACACATAACTGTAGCTATAGGTACCTTTAATTATACAAATGATACGGTATATACAGAGTATCTCTTAAATAACTATTTACTGAAAGTTCTAGCAAAGAAGAAATGGTATTGTGCGGATTGGGATTGGGATTATCAGATTGGATATGTAGGTAGATAGATAGGTAGACAATTGGTTTACGAGTGATATATCTATTTAGTATTTTTGAACTGGATATGAACCAAATTAATAATAAATACAGATTGACAGAATTATTACCTACTCATACTACGAAATCATGGAGATGATTTATTATAAATCCGAATAGAGAATTGATGTTCGTAAATGGGGTCTATCTCAAAATTGAAAATTATGGATACTTTTTGGGATTTATGGGTATGTAGGTGGAGATTAGTGGGGCTGTGATGGGGGAGGGAGGATGTACTTCTAAATTTACTACTATTGTTTGGTAGATGGGATGGGAATTGGAATTGGGATGGTTAGATGGGTGTGGACTATGGATGAGGAGTGTGTATTGGGAAATTGGGATTTTAGGCTAAGGTAAAATAGAAATATATATGATGTATATTTTCAGAGATCTCAGCCACAAAAGAAAAAACAAACTATGAAGGGGCATAATGCGGTAGTGTCTATTCATGAATTTAACAAAGCAAGCCAAAATAAAAAGGGGGGTGAAGATATTCAAGTAAAAGTAAAATGTTACAAAGTCAATCGGATAAAGCGGCCACATCCCACCCGCCTAAATCGATAATACCACATCCGGCACACGAAGTACAATACCTCACCACAAGAAACAGAGTCAACAGGCAAAAACTTCAAAATATGATATCTATTAGTCGGATTCAAACCAACATGTACGTTGCGTAACTCCCTACACAGGACTCGAACCTGTAGCCTCAAGATTAGGAGTCTTGCACGCTACCATTGCGCCAGCAGGGATATCATGTGATTGTGGAATTTAAAAATTAGATTGACTTATGAAGTATATTTTAGAGCTGTGCTGGAAACTTCGGGGTTTTTTCGCAACTTCTATCCCCTAGAATGCTGAAAACGACCGCCATGATGGTCCGTGCAATATACCTTGAATGATAAGCTCTGATTGATCAATTAGATCTTTCAGAGCTTTTCAAAGATTTTGTCACGAATCGTGGTTTGGATTAGTGTCCTGAGGCAGATAAAGGATCACGTGATGCATAGCCCGGGTAGACCAGTCTATCCAGGCTATCCAATAGCATTCAGAAATATATAGTCAGAAGTAGTTTCATAGTATAGGAGCTTCGTGCTCAACTTAGTTATCAATTAGTTTACCTATATTCTACTTGATCTAGTAACGAATTCACTTCCAAGTGAATACCAATGATAAAGCCTTAACCTACAACTACCAACCAGACGAAACCTCAGGCAGCCACTGCCTCCAGTACAGTATCGTTACATGAATACCAGTGATAATGTGTGTGTGTGTGTGTTATTATTTAACGGCCGGAGGCTGAGGGGGCGAAGCCCCCCCATTCTCGTGACATCCCCTGTTGGGGCAAAGGCCGCCAGGGAGTTACTCCTGGGGTTCTAATAGTTACGTACATGTAGCTATATCTAATGATCGAAACGATTCCTAGGCGTATTTCTGTAGCTGTTGTAATCTTATAGAGCGGAATAACAAATCTTTCCCTTAATAGGGAAGGTTACATAATACGAAAATCTGCCAAGCCGCAGCCGGTCCGCCTACACCCTGTGACCTCCTTAGCGCTCCCACAAATGTTTTTTTTTTTTTTTTTTCTAAAGAAAAATTACAAAGGAAAGGTTTTTACAAAGGAAAAAGTGTATTTATCTAATAATTTGTTAATCTGCAGGGTTATCATTGTTCCTGGGGGTTTCGTAGTCTGGTATAGGGCCCATGGGGCTGGGAAGGGGGTAGTGTTGTGGGCATATGTTTGTGAAGAAACCATTGGATTTCGTCCATTTTTCAAGCGTCTCTGCTCCTTTATAGGTGCCGTAGAGGAAGGGTATCAGACCAGCTGGTTTACCTTTCGGTTGGGGGTGTTTTCTCTTGGCTATATGACAAAAGAAGAAGTGGAGTGGGGATTTGCGGGCTCCGCATCTGCAGATTAGGTGGGCGTCTTGATAATGAAAGCGTTCGTGGTAGGCTGCAAAATCGCCATGTCCTGAGCGGATGGCTAGCAGACGGCCTAGGAAGCTCCTGGGTAGAGCTAATTCCTTGGGGCTTTTGGGGGATGTGAGTATCTCCAATTCTTTGTATGATTGGGGGATCACTGTCGACCATAGCTTATTGATTGCTTTTTGCCTGAGGCCTTTGGTCTCTCTTCTGAGTCCTGCATATGAGTAGGCTCCTTCGGGTTGTAGAAGGGCTGCATCTGTCTTGACTGCTTTGTTTGCAGCTTCGTTCCCTGCTACATCCTTGTATCCGGGGATCCATCGAATGCGGATCGTGCCGTTGGGCCAGCTTGATGCTAGCTGGCGAAAAGTTGTGAAGGTCTCCTGGGAGGACCCAGTAGAGTTTGAGAGTAGTCTGGCCGCTACTTCGATGTTGTCTAGACAAATCCATATATCTATTGCCGTTCTTGCTTCTATCGAGGTTGTTGCCGCTCTAAGGCCCTCGAGTGCTGCTACTGTTTCAGCGTTGTAAACTTCCTTCGACTTTCCTAATATAAAGCTTCCTTTACAGATCTTGCAATTGTCTTAATAGCCAACGAAACCGCTTCCAATGCTGTCGTTTGCATGTTTCGACCCGTCTGAGAAGATTACGATATCTTCTCAGAGGAGTAGATCGTAGAACTCGTTGAAATCGGCCACAACCTCATATTTGGTTCGGCTATTGGGGCCGTGTATATGGTTCAGGGTTTCTCCTCTTGTTTCACGATCGAGCCATTTGGGGGCTGCTAAGGGGTTGATCTGTTCCGACACTGGAAGGGACAGGATGCGTCTAGCATATCGGGTTTTGAAGAAGTCTGGGTTCTCTTGGATCCATTCTGATCTCTACGCGAGGGGGTGGTAGGGGTCTAGCCTCCTGGTTCTGACTGCCGCCGCGCGGGCCAAATCGTCGAGTTCAATTTCGGGGGGTCTGAGTCCTGATTCCCGGTAGAGTGTTGCTGTGTTTGTTGTTCTCCAGGCCGGCAATATTGCCCTGGCGCATTCCAAGGTGATCTTGCTTAGGTAATTGATGTGGCCTTCCACTTTGGTGGGGTGGACTCTGCCTGGTTGTGTTCTGCCTGGCCACCAGGTTTCGGCCCCGTAATATGCCCTTTTGAGGACGCATGCTTCAGCTGTTTGTCGTAGTAAGTTGGGGGGGGGGGGAATACCAGTGATAATGTGTGTGTGTGTGTGTTATTATTTAACGGCCAGAGGCCGAGGGGGCGAAGCCCCCCCATTCTCATGACATCCCCTCTTGGGGCAAAGGCCGCCAGGGAGTTACTCCTGGGTTTCTAATAGTTATATACATACTATTTCTACAGAGTGTAGTGATTCCTGAGCGCATTCCCATAGCTGCCGTGATCTTGATGAGAAATTAATCCTTCCTATTGGTGGAGGGATTACTTAGTGTGAATTCTGCCGAGCTGCAGCCGGTCCGCCTAAAACCCCATGACCTTCTTAGCGCCTCCACAATTGATTATATAAGCTTTTTTTTTTTTTTTCTTACAAAGGAAATACAGGTTTTATGGTCAATTTTGATTGTCTGTTAGGGTAGCTCTGCGACCTGGGGTCTCACAGCGAGTGAATGGGGCCCTTTAAGATTGGGGGGGGAGGGAGGTGGAGGGGACATATGTTGGTATAGAATCCGTTCGCTTTCGTCCAGTTTGCTAATACCTCAGCACCTTCGTAGGTACCGCAGAGGAACGGAAGAATATCGGCAGGTTTCCCTTTAGGCCGGGGGTGGTTTCTTTTGGCGATACTGCAGAAGAAGAAGTGTACTGGGGATTTACGGGCTCCACATCTGCAAAGCAGTTGTGCGTCTTGATGTAGGAAACGTTCGTGGTACGATGCGAAGTCTCCATGGCCTGAGCGGATAGCTATTAGGCGACCTAGGAAGGGTCTAGGGAGAGAGAGTTCTTTTGGGTTCCTTGGTGAGGTAAAGATCTCGAGGTCTCTGTAGGTTGTTGGGATCACTGTTGACCACAGCTGATTCATTGCTTTTTGCCTGAGTCCTTTGGTCACTCTTCTGAGTCCTGCATATGAGTAGGCCCCTGTGGGTTGAGGGAGGGCTGCCCCTGCCTTGGCCGCTTTGTCAGCCGCTTCGTTTCCTGCTACATCTTTATGACCAGGGACCCATCGGATATGGACTGTGCCATTGTGCCAGGTTGAGGCTAGTTGGCGGAAAGCCGAGAAGGTGTCCTGGGAGGATCAATACCAGTGATAATGTTACGATCACGGATCTTACAGTAACCGATCGTGTGCCTACGAGATGCGATTCGATCAAAATAGTATGGGATTAAGGTCATGTGGGGATCTGAAGAGCACAGACTCTGTTATTATATGATTCCCACCGATCCCACCGACTTAAATCAAGTGGGAGCGATGGGATGATGGGATAGGGAGTACGAAGATCTATATAACTAGGAGGGATTTCCTCACTGTAGAGCTTCGTGCTCAAGATCAATCATTTAGTATACTCTACTGTTAGTTACGAATTGCATATCATCATTGTCATTACTTAAGTCCCTGCTTGACGCCTAGTTATAAACCACTTCGAGAGCCTAGAGCACTTCCACGTGATCTAGACGGCAAACCTCGTAACAGATAAAGCCTTAACCACAACTACCAACCGACGAACCTTAGGCAGCCGCTGCCTCCAGTACCGTATCGTTACAGCTAAATTGAGTAGAGATGAGTATCTAATTCTTAGGAATAAGACTACGAGTACAACCGGGGTATTGCTATTGCTATCGCCGGCTACCTAAATATCAAAAAGTATAAACCTTCCTACTCAGATTGAAAGTGAGTAGTATAGAAAGGTCTACAACTAATAGTAACCTCTCTATAGGAATCGAACCAATATCTCCGGAATCAGAATCCGACGTGCTGACCATTACACCAAGTGAGGATTATTCGAGTTGTGTCATGATTGGCACGACGGAAGCTAATATCTATATATATTCTTAAGTATGTTTGCAATCAAGGGTTTATTGATGGAGACATGAGAATTGTTTCGATGGATGGATACCGTATAAACTCAGGAATAAGAGGTGCCCAACATCCGTGCGTTTTGGGCGGTCAAGGGTTCTGCCCTCCGTAAAAATGTTATTGGGATCTTTTCAGGCCATCAAGGCCTAAAAAGATCACTATACTCGGGGCTCAATAGCCTATATCAATCTAAAAAATATCCTGAAAATAAAATCCTACTGATATCAAACATAGGGCAGAACCCCTGACCGCCCAAAACGCACGGATGTTGGGCACCACTTATTCGTTTATACAGGCACGGGAGGAGACCGAGTGGAGGTTTCCATGAAAAAAAAAAAACATCACCAAGGCAAGCGAGCGGCCCCCTTTTTCTCCACTCGGTCTAGAGGGTCTTCATTAATAATAATAATATTATTATAATATTAATACATCCAAAAAGAAGGGAAAAGTCACGAGGGATTCTAGGTGTGAAATCGTCGAAGACTCATCAAAGATCGATCCGAAGAGTAATCATCACATGCTGAATGCTGTACATCTTATCCCACATCAGCCATCCAATCATAATAGATTACTCGTCAAAACCTTCACTCTGCATAATTTGTTGCATGTCGTAAAAAGGGCGAAAGAAGAGGGGCCTCCAGTTTTTCAGGTAAACGCCCTGAATCTCTCTTCTTCACACTTTCGAGTAGTAAACCAACCTCCTTTCTTCTTCGTCCAATTCGACGATGTGGATTCGACGATGTAGATTCTGTAAGTGCGATGAGATATACGCATCAAAATATATGTCAAGGGATTTGAATAGTTGGGATTATTCCTAATACTACAATATTTAGCTATGACTGAGTAATAAATAAATATTCTATAAGAACATAAAAAATCCAAACGAAAAGAATCTTTGTTGTATTTTTCTCTCTACCTTTACCATTCATTTTCTTTCCATCCTCTTATCATTCATTCTCCCCTAATCCTCCCCTCGCCTTTACTCAACCACCCCTCCTTTCTAATCATTTCATCATTCCATCACTCATTTCATCACATCACCATCCAATTAAATCCATCCCACAATAACCAAAACCCAGATTTCCATATCCTCCGAATGTTGCACATCGCATTTTTGTTGCACATCATGAAATCATTGATTGAATCACGAAAAAGCCAACCTCCTTCCTCTCCAACGAATAAGATCTCCTCTCCATCAAATAAATGATAATCAAAAGGTCCGAGAGCCCGACTCCAATACGCACACTGCCAACGAATCAAAAAGCCACAAAACGAAAGTATTTTCCAGGATCGGACCAGCAGATAAATAAATAAATATATGCATGCGAGCAAGCAAGCATGGCAAAAACGTGAAAGCCACGCTCAGAAGATTAAGACGTGCAACAAAAATTTCGGGAGAAGAGAACGTGATGAGGATTGTTCAAGGTTATGTAAGCGGGATTTTGCAAAGTAACGTGGTTTATCAGTAACCGGAACACTTTTACCTCAATTACCACCTCTTAACTTTAACACGCGATAAATCCATATTCAATCTTTTAAATCAATATGCAAGAGTCGCAAATTAATCTAGCTATTCAAGCTATTGCTTCATCCAAAAAACTAAGTGTGCGAAGAGCTGCTAAAATCTATAATATACTGTATACTACTTTTACCTACAGAATAACCGTGTCACGATTCACCATTAGGATTAGTAGTGTTACGATGGTAGCAAACTGACTAATTAGGAGAGCTTGGCCTTGTGCAAAAGCGATCAGATTTCATCGAATTAGTATGTGATCTTGGTCACCTTAAGATCGTATGCGCACGCACCATCAGAAATCACGTGATAAGGAGCCCTAGGAGCTTCGTGCTCAACTTAGTTATCAATTAGTTTACCTACATTCTACTTGATCTAGTAACGAATTCACTTCTAAACGAATACCAGTGATAAAGCCTTAACCCATAACTACCAACCGACGAACCTTAGGCAGCCGCTGCCTCCAGTACAGTATCGTTACACGAAGCTCGATCCTTTCGCTCCCTTCGAGCCACGAAGCATGAAGGTCTATATAATCAAGATGGATTTCCTTTGTATAGAGCTTCGTGCTCAAGATCAATCATTTAGTGTACTCTACTATTAGTTACGAATTGCATATCATCATTGTCATTACTTAAGTCCCTGCTTGACGCCTAGTTATAAACCACCTCGAGAGCCTAGAGCACTTCCACGTGATCTAGACGGCAAACCTCGTAACATAGGACTAGATTGAGAAGCTCTCTGTAGGAGAGCTTCGCACTTCCGTAGAACTAAGAAAATGGGTGATTCATATAAAAGGCCAATATAGCCTCAGTTCTGCCCTATCAGCTTCCCACTATTCCCTGTGTAAGGTCATTCCTTTTAGTATCTTTTCTTATTTATTCCAATTTCAATAAAATGAGCTCGTAAAATATTGAACTATTAACGGATCAAAATTTGTTTCACAGGATTTTGTTAGAAGTAACTGGAAATTACTTGGTTCCTTTTAGTTCATTAGATAATACAGGAGCATCTAAAATACACTATTTCGTGGTTATGGCACGCAAACGAAGAAACGTCTTTAGCGAAGGACTTCATGTACCTTAATGCACAGACTTATCATCCGTGCCTCACAGCCTCTTTCAGCACGATTCTTTACCAGAGATACATTTCGAAAAGGCGGTGAATGATACAGAGTTATACAATTGTAGGAAAGAGCAGATGAACAGGCAAAGTAGTCTCTCAAATTTGATATAGCCTCATACATGACATGATGGGAAAATACGTCAACATTGAAAGTATCTGTCGTCATGCCTGTCTAGTCTTTGCCCCACACCGCCACTCCCGCTAATCATCCCTCCCAATCAAAACCCCACCAACGAGTCTGTTTAGCTAAACCGAACCCTAGAAAAGCCTTCACTTATCATCTGGGTGAGTTTGGACCGCCACGCATGGCTTCACCAATACCACTCTTTTCTCCGGTAGCTCAACCGGATACTTTTACCAACGTACCCGTGATACCGTATGCAATAACCCACGAATCATTCAACTCAGTCTTCCTCTTGCAGTTCTCCGTATATACTTCAGCGTGTGGTTCAACGTCGTCCTCATGAAGCACTTCTCCCCATTTCGGAATCTCGCAGCGGTATACATCCTTGTACATTCTCAGTTTCATGGTAAGCTTAAAAGCTTTCATGCATAGTTCCTCCCATTCGCGTCTAAGCTGGTTGGTTTCTTGCTTGAGATCTTTTCGCAGGGGGGCCAATAAGTACATAAACTCATCAGCGACATTCATGCACATACGTAGTGAATGGCTGGGGTTGGCTGGTTAGAGGTATTGTGCACATTTCATTGTGACTGTTCTCCAGTCGGCGAGTTCAGCGTGTCGATCTGCAACTATTAGTATCTGAAAAGGGTACATTCAGTGAAAGGTAGGTGTGGACGCAAATACCTGGATGATTTTTGCTGAACGATGTCTCAAAATTTTGCAACTCTTGTTCCATAGCCAAGTTCTTATCTTCAAGCCCAAAAGATCCTTTGGATAACAGCGGTTCATCCAGGTGCCGAAATACGAATGCCCTCATCCGCGCTTGTAGCCCATGTTCATTTGGTTTAACTGTGAAGATATGGCAAAGACGCATTTGCGCGTTTCGTAGCTTGACACGTTCAGGTGCTAGGGGCTTTTTACTCATACTGTAATTAGTATGTATGATGTGTTCAATTTGGATTCGCAACCATCGAAATTCAGCGGCTATGACTGTGTCGTCGATATCGATCGTGTTCGAGATGCGAATAATAGTGCGGAATTTAGCCGCTAATCCTTCATAATGTTGCTTCCATTGCTCGGATGATTCCAGTTTCTGCTGCAGGATAGTGACATCCGCTGCTGAAATGTGCCCAATTTCTAATAACTTGACCTCCTCATTAAGCGCGGAATTTTCCTTCTTTTGTATTTCAAACTTTTCGAGAAATTTTTGATACTCTTGATCTTGAGATATCTTATCCTACACTGCTTTGTTGTATTTGGATGCGAGATTACGGGTCTCGTCTTTTGCTTCAAGTAGATATTTGTAATTGGCGTGTAGGTTATCGAGGGCCTTCTTAGCGTTCGCTTCCTGTAAATCTCTGTGGCTGCAGGCGATGCTGAAATCATTTTGTAAGTTCTCGCACTTGGTCTTCAATGCATTCCTTTCACAAGTAATATTTTCAATGTGTTTAAGAGCATTCTCAACCTCTCTTTTTGCTTATTCACTCTCCTGGGTGGCGTTATCAATTTGTTTCCTCAAATTTCCGCGCTAAACATCAAATTGTGCGAAGTCCTTGGTGTTATGGTATGGATGGGTCTTCTTGGCCGCACCTCGCTGCTGTAGCTATTAGCTTCACATATGCAGCAAATAATTAGCAGTGGATAGATCATTTACTTACGAAAATTCTATTGAAGACCCGAAGAAGACAACAGGGACGTCTATCCTCCGCATCGTTTTCCACATAATTGGTTTCGGAGTGTAAATTTGACTCGCCGCCAGGGACGTGAGAATCAACGCCTTCCATTTCCGGGTTGTTTTTGGGATTGATTGGTGTGGTTACTTACCGCTTTTCGTTTGTGTTGAAGTTCTGCTCTGTTAAATATGCGATGGTCCTCAGCTGCGTCAAACTGCTAGTAAGGTAAAGCATCAGCCCGAAACTTCAGCAGGGTACTAGTCAGACCACCTTTCTGCCTATAGAATTTACTCGTAGAGAACCACGCAAAAATGAGACACTCTTTCTAGATATACCGTCTGATTTTTCTGCGACTTGTAGACTCTGCTAGAACCCGCAATGCTTCGGCTTGGAACCATTACCGCAGTGAATGGATGAAGCGGAAGATGCACGTTCAAAGCGACCAATGAGAAACTGCGAACTGGAAGCGTCCATCATGTTTGTAGCATAATTCACATCAAAAGTCAGAGAGAATAGAGTTCCCATGAACAAAAGAATGAACGTGGGCATGAAATCCATAAAGTGGGATCTTCTTACCGCATGAAATTTTCCTCTATTGTTGCACGGAACACTTATCTTATTACATCCTAATTTTAAGACGATAATTCTGCTTGCGAGCTTTGTCGCAATGAAGGACAAAATTGAGGAAAAAGTTACGACCGGTAGACTTTTTACCTGCTTCGACGAACAGAATGCTTATGTATCGGAGGATCAGATTCTGTTCGGAATTGATTTTGGGACGACATTCAGCAGAATTGCATTTGCTTGTCTTTCAAATGAAGATCCAAAAGTTCTTGTGGTGAACTGTTGGCCAGGTAAGGCATCTAAGTACAGTGACACCTAAATAGATTTCTAACCACACCACAAAGAACTGGACCGTAAACAAGCGAAAATCCCCAAGATCGTAAGCTACGGAATGTACAATAGAAAATTTAGCTGGGGATCACAGGCTTCTGACGACTATTCGATACACGGCATTAAACTACTGCTTGACCCTAAACAGGATATGCCATCCTACATTCCAGAATCATTTCTGAAGAGCAATCTCGAACACTGTGGAAAGCCAGCCGTTGACGTAGCCGCCGACTTTCTTCAGGCCTTGTACAAACACGCTTTGGAAAAAGTGGAGCTTGAACTTCCTCGCGAGTACCTCCAATCTGCGAGAAGAAATTTGTTCTCTTGGTCCCTGCTGTCTGGTCTGACAAGGCAAAAGACTTAACTTTACAAGTGGGTATCTCCCATCGCATATTCTTTGCCAGGCTAACCACCTCCCATTTAAAGGCAGCCAGGCAGGCTGGTTTGCATCCAGTAGCACTTATCAAAGAGCCAGAGGCCGCGGCATTTCATACTTTACACGAATTAAAAAACAAGGGGTAGCGGTATGACTGTCCGCCTTTTTTTTTTTTTTTTGGGAAACGACAACTAACGTTTTCTTAGGTTGGTAATTCAATAGTGATCTGTGACGCTGGCGGTGGTACAGTAGACATAATTTCATACCAAATTGTTCAATTGGTACCTAGGCTGGAGTTGAAAGAGCTTGTGCCTGGTACAGGTCAGTGTTGACCTATCTTTGGTCGCTAAAATAAGTATGCTAATCAGCGCCAAGGCTGTATGGCAGGCTCATTGAATCTCAATAATCGATGGGAAAAAATGGTCAAAGACATAGTAGGGGAGGCTGAGTTCTACAGGATTAAGGGAGACAAGTGTTACTTAGAACCTCTGGACTACTTCGAACGGGTTGCCAACAGAGAATTTCGTGGCGTTGAGAAAAAATGGATTTTCCATTTCTTCAAGGCAGGTCTCAGAGATAATCGACCGAAAGGCCTATTCTCCGATACTTTGGTCTTGACTTGGTAAACCTGCCCTCGATTTGGCATCACAATAATGCTGACACATTAACAGTAAAGATATGAAAGCCATATTCGACCCTATAATCGCAGACATCAAAGACAAAGTCAACGAACAGGTGCAGGCCGTCATGGCCAAGAGACTGTCAGAAAATCATCCCCAAGAAGGAAGACCTAAGGTGATGTGCCTCACTCAATCACTATATGAATCTTACCCGACGCTTCCTAGGCCATTCTTCTTGTAGGCGGGTTTGGTTCTTCGGAATATCTCAGATCTGAACTTGTTCAACAATTCCCGGGTATTCAAGTTATGCAGCCAGATGATGCTTGGTCTGCAATAGTCAAGTAAGTTCCCTAGATATAAGGAAGAAGACTTGCTAATGTGTATCAAGGGGTGCGGTGCTTAGTCAACTTCCACAAAAAGTCACGGTAGTCTCAAGACAAGCGACGCGGCACTACGGCGTTTCAGCTGGTTCTATCCATGACGCCGAGAAAGACGAAGGACATCCAAAATATATGGACGCATATGGAAACTGGCGAAGTCTGCGGGTAAGATAGGACACTTTTCCCATCTATCGCTTGTTTGCTCATACCTCTAGATGACTTGGTACATACGTCGTGGCGACACCCTTGGACATTCACAAAAGATCCGGTTCCATTTCTATCGAACTCTCCAAGATTTGTCCGACGAAAGCCTTCAATTTCATGTAAGTCTCAAGCAGTGCGAATTGATCGAAGCGCCAGATCATCCCGACTCCACAGTGGAAGTCAACTGCTAATTGGTGGTAGACTTGAGGGATGTGGAGAGGGGAAATTTCAGGAAAAATAGGGGAATGTATGGGGATTGGTTGTGGGATATTCACTATGACCTGGTAGTGATAAGCATGCCTGCCATCATGAAGTTTTCACTTGAACACGGAGGTAAGGAAATGGATAGTGTTAAGACGAAGTATTGATGGATGCAAAGCTTGGGAGAAGGCCCAAAGAGGGTTTGCCCCCGATTTTCAGGTAGCAAATAATGTTTCTGGTTTTTAGAGAATGAATTGATAATTCGAAAGACTCTGCGTGATTGTTGATGATTGCTTTATCCATTGTTTGTTTGTCTTTTTGAAAATATAAATAGACTTGAAGTTTAACATGAACGATTGAAATGAAGGTAATTGCTCGAGCAAAGAATATGGCTCATACGGAATGAGCATCAAGAGGGCGGGGGAGAGATGTGGGATAGAAGAGTTCACCGGACATCGGGTAGGCCTAACCAAGTTAAGTCACCGCCTTTCCACCCTGCTTATAGCCGAAGAAACAATGAAGTTCTGCCGATTCGTCACCAAATTAAGCTTAGACCCCTGTGCATTTCGACGTTCTATCTTGACAAGGATATCGTTTTGCATGAATCAAAGAATGAGAAAAGGTTTGAAGAAAACAGAACTCGGGAAATAATCTAGCAAATGCCCAGTAAGTGTCACCACAGCCACACGCAACCTATTTTGAAGGTTTCAAATCGTGGATTTGGCACCATGTCTGCTTCTCCACCACTAATGACTTTCTGCAGACTGAGACTGTCGATATTCCTGATGAGAAAGGAAAGGATGATGCTCGTGAAAGATACCAACAGCTACACAGCGCTTACAAGATACTGTCAGACCAGCTTGACGCATTTGCCCGCGAGAAAGCTAAGGCGCCCTGGAGAAGAGGTCAAGGTCAACGGGAATTGCAAGTGGCCCAGGCACGAGCGAGAACCCAAGATCTAGAAGCAGAGGTCAAAGTCTTCCAAGCTCGGTGCGATGACTCTCAAGCACAAGCTAGTCAGCCCGCTCAAGATCTGCAAATGCTGTATAATGAGATCGAAGAACTTAGTCAGAAGAACAAGGCCTTACAATCAGAGATCGATTCTATAAAACAGCAATATGAAAAGGCCAGTCAGCCTATTCAAGATCTACAAATGTTGAACGAAGAACTTAGCCAGAAAAACAAAGCCTTATATTGGGTTTCTTGAGACCAGAAAGAGCATCAGATTGAATTGATTGATTCTCTAGCTAAGCAGTTAAGCTGCGAGTATATATTCAAAAAATGAAGGAATAGGGTTAGGTATTCGGCCTTCGGAATTAAAGTGCTTTGAAATCAAAATATTGAAAGCAAACAAACAGTATACCAAAAAGGAAAGAATGAATTAAAAGTTGAGTTTTGTTTGCTCCTTATATGCATCATGCAATATATATGCATATGCTGCCAAGATCCCAGGAGGTCAACACCTTACGATTGGAGATCGATTCTATAAAACAACAATATAAACATACTGAAAGTATTCAAAACCTACAAAGATTACATGTTGAGATCAAAGAACTTACAGAGAGTAACATTATGTTGCGATCGAATGTTGATTCTCTAGAAAAACAATATGCAAAAGCTAGACGGATGACTGCTCTGTTGTACAACAAAATTATACAGTCTTCAGGAATCTTGTCTGATCATATATCCATCCAAGACCAGTACGAGAAAATAATAATTGAAATCAGTTGGTTCGTCTCATCATTCCTAAATACGGCCCCAAAAGGGAGGCCAAAAGAACAACATCAACGACGCCAAAGAGACGTGTCTTTGAGTAGGATTTGGGATGAGAATTTGGGTGATCACGAAAAGGAGTGTAGATGCATGGCGGCCATCTTCGAATTCTTGAATGACGAAATCGTTTTGAAGCCGGCATTTGGTCTTGAAGACGAGAACGATGGGGCCATAGAAAAAGGACTTGCTGAGTTTGAAAAAAAATTACAAGCTTGTCCTGAAGGTAATTGTCAAATGAAGTCAAGTGCAGCATGGGGACCATTACTAATATTAAAAGTGGCTGTAGAAAGCCTTGGATTTGTTCTCAAAAATAATTGAATAAACCTTACTCTGCAAATGGCAGAGAAGATACGAAAGGAAGGTACAGGGACAAAACTGTATTCTTTGGCGGCAGATTTGGAAAATTTCTTGAGACCCGTTTTGAACGGCATTATCGATGAAGAGGTAAGGGGAAAAATATTGGAGCTGTGTAAAAAACCGTTCAAACTCAGCTGTGAGATGAGATGGGAACTTCAATGTGAATATCAACTTTACTCTATAGAACCGGGAGCCATACAGGAGGAGCTTCCAAAGGTTAAAACCCCGGAAACTGACGTGGAATTTAAGCGGCAGCCAAAAATCCTGCAAATGAGGGGATTTGAGAGAGGACACCCCGAGCATCTTATTGGAAATGTTGCATTCACGATATTTGGAGGAATATCATATATTGCGGCAAACAAGAACGGAGAATATAGTCCTATATTGGTCCCAGCAGGGGTGTGTCTCAAAGCCAGATAGAGTTCCTTGTAAACTACTTCTAAAAGAACCTTCAAAGTATGAAATAATCTTTTAACACAATAAAAAAGAATCTTAACTCTTACATGGAAGTAAAACAATACCACTTTAGATATCTATAATATTATTCTACTATGTCGTATCCTAAACATTTTATTATGTATGCTAATCATTAACATATCAAGTAGACTATTCGCCAAAATGCATGTCCCACGTGATTGTACCACACATCTATCTTTACAATTCCCGGTGGGTAGTTGTAGCAACCTTCTCCTCATTCATCATCTTAATATCTACAGGGTTTTCAGCATTGGCGAGGCCGAGCCTCTCGTTGATACTTTGCATTCTTGCCTTGTCTGCAGCCGCAATACTGTCAATGCTACCGCCGAAGTACACATCGAGTTCCTCCAATGTCTTGTCCTTTGTTTCGGGGAAGAATTTCCAGATGAAGAAGCCACCCCCAGCACTAAATACAGCGAAGAAGATGTATGTACCGTACTTCATAGAGTTCAGCATGTCTTTAGTGGTCAAGCCGATGACGAAGTTGAACATCCAGTTGGTTGATGCGACAAGTGAGACACCACGAGATCTAACGCTGGCCGGGAAGATCTCCTGAGCGAGAACCCAGGTGACTGGTCCCCAAGAGTAGGCAAAGTTAACTGCAAATAACCAAATGAACACGATGGCGACCCATCCTTGCGTCACAGCAAGGCCTTCATTAAGATTCCATTGGTCTTCATAAACACCTTCTATGGAAGCTACTACGACGTGGCAGATGCACATACCGATGGCACCAGCAATAAGAAAAGTCTTACGACCGAATTTATCGAGGTACAGAACCGCCGGTAGAGTAAAGAGGACTTGCAAGATACCAGTGACTCCAGTAGCGAGAAGAGTGGTGGTAGTGCTGGAAAAGCCGAAGCTGGAGAAAATTTGAGGAGCATAGTACAAAACGGCGTTAATTCCAGTAAACTGTTGGAAAACCATCATAGCACATCCAAGGAAGATTCTCTTGAACACATGAGGTACGAATAATGCTTTCCACGGGGCTAACATTCCACCATGTCCAATTTGCTCAGCTTGGGTCTCCTCGTCGAACATGACAGCTGCCTTAATCTCAAGAAATTCCGCTCGCAACAATGGGTCATTGGCGTCAAGGCGTCTGAGTTTGCAGAGGGATGCAATGGCTTCTTCTTCACGATGCTTCAGCATCAACCATCTTGGGGAGAATGGGAAGAAAAACATCCCAATGAAAAGAGTCCATGCAGGAATCAATTGTAATGACAATGGAACTCTCCAAGCAATTTGATTTTGACCAGTGCAAGGATGTCCGTGGTTTGCGGCAGCATTATAAGTGCCATCGGGAAGGTATGGATCTGCGATACCCTCTGGTTTGCACTTGTTACCACCGGAGAAGGAGAAACCGAAGTCAAGCCAGAAAGCAATAGTAGTTCCAATGGTAATGGAGAGTTGTTGAAGTGAAACCAAGGATCCTCTAAGCTCCGGTGGTGCAATTTCTGCTTGGTACAATGGAATAACCATAGAGAACATACCAATACCCACACCACCAATGATACGGCCACCGAAGAAATATGAAGGATTTTGTGCCCCAGTTTGAAGACCTGTGCCGAGCGTGAAGATTAAAACGGCAACCATCATACTGTATTTTCTCGAGATTTTATCCGCGAGGTATCCGTTGAAAAGAGCACCGAACCATGCACCAAGTTCCAGGGAAGCAACGAGCCATCCTTGAGTGGTCGATGATGTGAGAGTTGGGAATTCGTTCTGGAAGTTCTCCATAACCAGTACTGGTGACATTACTCCTTGATCGTAACCTGTTATGAGAATATTAGCCCAACGCTCAATTCCTCCAACAGACACGAGCAACGGGAATGATTGTACTCACCATACATCATACAACCTAACGATGCGAACAAACATGTCATGAATACATAAGGATTCTTTAGCATGCCCATGAGACCATGGGCTTTTGCTGCATTCTGTCGAGCCACGAGCGCCTGGCTCGAAGCCCCTTTTTCCGCCATGATGGCCATGGTCGTCGGCGTGAAGATGAAATTAAAGCAAAATTGAAGAGAGGAGATGAAGGGGAAGCGGAGCCCGACGGAGGAGATGAAATGAAGACAATCTGTGACAAGAAGAGAAAGAAAAAAGAAGCCTTCATATATATACTCCGCCGTACTTCTAACTATTTACAAGTTGTTCATGGAGGGTAAAGCATTTACCGCCGTCTTTCCTAATGAAGTTAAGACTCAGTATTTTCAAAAATAACAGCCACTTGTTCAGCAAAACGATACTCCCCACCTCGAAAGTGGACGCCCTGGGGAAGGATGCCACGCGTTAATTCCCGACTCATGGGCCATTTGTGTGCGGACAGGATTTACGGAGGAATTGGGGAATCCTGAATAGCAGGCGACGATCTCCGTCCTTTCAACTTTTCTGCTTCCTCCTCGGGCTAGGTGACCAATAGCTCGAATTGTAATGAGAGCCTAGGAAGTCTGGATGGAAATGCACTGCTGGACATGCTACCCCTTTTAGACTGGACCTTGCGTCCATTCTCTTTTCTCCAGCAAAAAGCTACTTTATAGTTTTGAGCTAAAAACTGTCGCGCGACCGCCTTCAGGGAGTAACGGATTTTAACCTAGAGTTTTACCGCTGCATCATGTACCAGGGCTGCGGAACAGCCAACGGCAAGGATTGTGTTGTAGCACAATCAGATGAGGGAATCCAAGACCTTAGTTTGTTAACCGACAGAGCGGTTCCGCAAGCCACCCGTCGACAAGCGAGCTGCTGGCCATCGAAAATATCGTCAAGCTTTGCTTGGTTGCTTGGCTTTCAACGACATTGAAGAGATAAGTGCAAGTATTGAAGATGTTCTACGATGGACATCGAAAACGTCAACTCCTTTAGCTAATTAGGGCTAATCCTAATGATTGTGCTGCTTACTCACGATCAAGCAATATTTATAAGTCCGCCCAAACTCCGCATTTACGAGTTGTCATCATCTGACAGCGTTTTGCGGGCGGTGGGAGAAGTGGATTTCACAGCTATTCGGCCCTTTCTCTCCAGATGGAGAGACTTCCAACCCCGAGGTTCGTCGGTGGAGAAACCCCAACATAACTCTGTGTGGATGATCGAGTGAGGAGAAAGGGGATCCTGTGCGTGCTACAAGGTAAAAAAGCCCTTCTAGTGCGTGTTGGTGGGTAATTCTATCGATATCGTTTTCGTGACAAATCCGAGTTCCGGTGGAGATGTTGTGGTGGGGACACGCATAAAATGGAGAGGAGATTGATCCAATCCCCTTTTTCCGACTTTTCTGTAGGTTAAATAAGGGGCTCAGATCAATGATAGCTCTAAGTTTCAAGAATTGGTCAATCAGATGATTCTATTGCAACAAGAGACCATCCTACTATACCAGCATCGTATAAATAAGCGTTGAACTCGGACTCCTGAGCCTGAGCTCATCAAGATGTAATTAGTAAATGACGGCTGATGAGTGTGGAATAATGACCCATTCAGATATTCTCGGTTCCGAGAATACAGTATTAACGGAATATTACTAAGATCGACATTCGAGCATTCTGACAGCTTGACAGCTTGACAACAACAAGCAACGAATGCGTGGCACATCCAATTGACCTAACTAAATTCTTTCTTATCACAAAATAGCAACAACCTACCAAATCGCCAACTTTGAATCAAGGCAACGCTAACCAACCACCCATCTTATGCCCCTTCGAATATTAATTGTTGAAACGGCAACTGAATAGTTCTTTCTTATGTTCATTCCTGGGGATGAAAGAAAAATCCGATATTTAACCGACTATCAATCAACCTTAGATAGGAACAGAACGTCAATCCCAAATTGGAGATTCCCGTGTTTTTGTGCCGATATCCGCTTACATCGCCTCACGAAGATCTCACAAATCCCAATAAACCAACAAACCCAACATCTATTATCTATTTCCACAATTCCAATCAACAAGTGCACCAGAAGGCCCGATAGGCTTTCGGATTAGGCAGTTTGCTGGAAACAAAACGGTAATAACTTTCCCATCTATGGTTCTATGGTAGTAGGCTCTCAATTGCCAAAGCGGGTACGCATCAGCCGAATCTGGAGTCTCCAGGTTGGAGTTGGCAGGAGTGAGTGAGCATTGGAGATGGGAATGGTGCTCCGCATGGAGATTGGTGACGCGAATCAAGTAGGTAGCATGAAAACTTATGCGTAAGCCCGTTAGCTCACTGCAAAATGTACATCATGGGGAAGCGTCACAGTATGGTTGGTGACTGGCTTTCATCCTCGCATATATAGTACGTTCTCATACTGTCTTCTCCCGTGCGAGTTGCAGGATCTGTCGGCTAGACGGTTATGCGGCTATACTGCTAGAATGAGTGTCTTTCACTTGCTAGGATTGGTTGGACAAGGCTTGCCTGACTTTCGATTCTGATTCTTTAATTCAAAGCATTTCTCACATATTCGATTCATTGTTCTAGTGAACAAGTAGTAAGTTTTCAAGATTTCATCGAAATTGGTAAGCCTAGTGGTCCAGACGACGTCATGATTTATGTTAATCTTACATCCTGTCAAACAACATGATAAGCACCTCGCGACATATATCCTCCAAACTCCGAAGTGGGTTCACTAGTATATTAGGTCAAGCACAAAACCAAAGGATGGATTCGTGTTCTAGATAGTTGCGCAAAATTGTCCTTGCACCATATCTGCTTCAATATTTAAAAATTTGGTAAGATGAAAAGTCACTATTGGTGGAGACGTTTCCCCATCTAAAGTTGTCGTGTGCCAAGCACGGTAGCACCAAATATTCAAGTCGTGCAGATAATGTGATTCATTTTATAGTACCATCCGACGCTACTCTGTTCAGCCCTAAAAGCATCTGTGGATAGTTACAGACACGAAGTTATGCTAACAGCTATTTGCACAAAAATACTGCATTTCATGCACTTAACCTAGCGAACTTGTTTGTAGATGGGATATTTCGGCTTTGTTACTGTATCATTAGATCATTGATGGCGAGAAATCATAAATCCGTTCAAAACCTTATGTGTAATTATTTCCAAGCGGCACGTAAAGATAGATACATCAAGAGCCGTCTACTCCGGAACGATGGAATACTTACAAACAAGTAGAAGTATAGCTCCGCAGACGCTAATCTGGAAATTGGAAGCACCACACACGTTTTGCTAGTCACCTACCACAATATTCGGCCAGCAATAGTGCAGTCGCCAGTATCTTCATAAGTCTTACATATCTCAAGGCATAGCAAAGCGGGAATCTTATATTAGGTGGTAGCTAAAGCTTGAAGAACGTTATTGTCGCTGCAGAAGGCTCAAATATTAGATATGTAATTGAACCTCCGGATCAAGCCAAACGAAGAAGTTGCGCCGTCCGGAGAAAGTTCTATTTCCAAATTTACAACAAAAGTTTCAAATCCGATCAAAAAAAGAAATGAATACAGCCTCCGTAGAAAAGTTTTATCTCGATATCTGGGGAAGTATGTTCTCATGGTTGTAATTTCATAGGCCTAGTATTCACCCAGCGGTTTTATAGGAAATGATGGACTTGTATTTGTGCCTACATGTATGAGGCAGACAGGGTGAGATTCGTGGTAATAGGTATCTTTTGGGATCATGATCAATATGACATGGCCAACACGGCATTCGTTTTATTAGTATGTAGCAAATTTTCAATTGTAGTGGTGATGAATTCAAGCCCTGGGGTAATAGTTTTATTCACATATTGCATGTCTTGAGATTAGATTCCCTGCAGGGGGGAGTATAAGTGAGCTTTTTTGATAAAAAATATTTATTCCGGCTTCGCCGAGAAGGTATATCTCATGACAGAATCCTTTTCACTCCTTTCTTATACGTTTCAGGCTCTGGTATTGTGTAACGTCTGACTTTTTCAAGCACTCACTCAAATACATGCTCACACTACTTCATGGGCATCCACTGTTCTTCCCTTGAACGTGAAGTAAATCGTTATCCTAATTCATTGTCGGTAGACGTAGATAGAACGAATTCGCTGCAGAAAGTCTCTAATCTATTAAATGGTGAATTTTTGCAAAAGTGCCAGGAGCAAATTATGACGGTTGAACGAGACATGTATGTTTTTTGTACTTTTACAATTCTTTCTTCCGTAAGAAATTAAGGCTGATATTAGCCCTATATAGGTATTTCAAGTGAATCTATAAGTCTAGTACCCTACTTTCCAGCCATCCCCTAATTCCAGCCACCTGTGACCAAAAGGGTGTTTATAGACCAGCAATTGTATTTAACTTAGAATCTACAGGTGAAGAGCACCTGTAGATGGGGATAGCTACTCTATATATACACAAATGAATGGCCTAGCCGCAATGGCTAGGCAAAAAGAAGTCATATTTATTCCTCCAATGATCTTACTTTACCGATAACCATTGATACCTAGTACTTGTCCGGATCTGATCCTCAGGTCACCTAAATCGCATACTAATCTCGAGTAATCGTATCATGTGTGGACATGGTTAATGTACCTGAGGTTTCTTATATAATAAGGGTGGGAGGAAAGCAGGGATTTCCGTCACAGTTACGAATTGCATTATTGTCATTACTTTAAGTCCCTGCTTGACACCTAGTTATAAACCACCTCGAGAGCCTAGAGCACTTCCACGTGATCTAGACGGCAAACCTCGTAACATTATTTTTGGTGAGAAAAAGTGACCGGAATTAGAGGTGGTCGGAAAGTAGGGTACTAGACTTAGATGATAGTGTGACAATTTTATAAAACTTTATTATCCATACTATATATAATAGTAAGATTTTATAAATTAACAAGGTTTCACTCAATTTTATTCAAGGGCATAAAATCAGAGTTGAGATGAGATGATAAGTAAAAGCATTCTCATCCATGTCATTATTGAAATTCGACATGATTAAAACATCAAAATGATGTATAACTTAGCTCTGAAATTCTACCAATGCCGAAAGCTTCTACTGTTTGGCTTTTAGAAAAGATAAACTTAGAAAAAATGAGTATTTTTAAATCTTTGAAGCTCTTACTACCCTACACAATAATAAGAATAGCTAATAGCCAATCTTTTCCACGCCAGACAGATTTTATGCCCCTTAACTGCATACTTCAGGTGCCTACACGCAGGAATAGAATGCTGGTCTATCCCCCCCCAAATTCGAGTGAATACCCAGCTTATCGCAAAAAGATCTTACGGTGAGCCTCACTGACATGAGATATGACAGGAAACGCTAATCATAAGTGTAAAACCAAAATACGGCTAAGAAGCAAGGAAAAATAAATATTTTTAAAACACATTCTTAATCAACAAACACTCAGGTAGTAATCAAAACTACTAATGTAATGTTCCCCAAACAACACACACTTTTATAAAACGGCTCTTCTCACCTATGACCTCCATTCTCTAAAATTGGTATTGTATTCTCTTGAAATACTAATGTCTGAATATCCATGAAACCTGAGAGTGATTATAATCTTGCTACGCGCTCGTTTAATCTTCTACATTTCCTTCCGATCTCCAAGCTAACACTAACTTTCCGACCACATTCTTCTATTCTAGATATTGTGATTATTTGACTCGTCCGTTGAAGCTTCCTCAAGTATAAAAACTTCAAACCTATTGTTCAAAAGAGATATTTATGCCTATAACCCCATAAAATCTAAGTATCATGGTGACGAGACCGAAAGCGCGGCATTGTATTGTATGTATATGACGACTTAGTTTTGTGCGGCCTTATATTTAATAATCCATTGGATCCGCAGCTGTTACTCAGGGTCGAGTACGTGATATGGTCCTAGCTTTTGTGATATGGTGGTGTAAATGAAGAATCATAGCTAAGAATCTTGAGTTATGAGACTCGAGACTTCAATATTATGTGATAGACTAAATGTTGACCTCCTGGGATCTTGGCAGCATATGCATATATAGTGCATGATGCATATAAGGAGCAAACAAAACTCAACTTTTAATTCATTCTTTCCTTTTTGGTATACTGTTTGTTTGCTTTCAATATTTTGATTTCAAAGCACTTTAATTCCGAAGGCTGAATACCTAACCTTATTCCTTCATTTTTGAATATATACTCGCAGCTTAACTGCTTAGCTAGAGAATCAATCAATTCAATCTGATGCTCTTTCTGGTCTCAAGAAACCCAATACTAAATTTACGCACTTGACCAGTAGAACATTTTATATGGATAATTAATAATCATCGAGAGCTAATATTACTCTAATGGATATAACGTATAATATCCGTCTTATTCATATTAACATATCTATGAATCTACACGAGTCTATAAAATTTTGACCTCCACAATGTAAGATCTTATATAAATCTTACATTCACCCCTTATTATACCACACACTTCCTTTACCTCGCTCTTCCCATCAATTAACTCCCATTTCACCTATATATCCTCTCTATACTCCAGAAAATACCACCCGCAATTCTCACCTATCTCCAGGTTTAAGAATTGCAAAACGTCGTAAAGTATTAAGCATCTTTTTTCATAGGATCATTTATGTTTTCCTCTTTTCCACTTTACAAGTATGAGGATTAAATGGAGAAGATGATGATTCATGAACGATTTTTCAAGCTCATTGCATAGAATCAATGATGGCGATAATTTTAAAACCAGGGATTATAATGATGATATTGTGGACTAGGTGTTGAGATGATAGTCGATGTTTGTAACCTATTATGTCTTTTTAGGCCATTTATTCGCAGTATATGGATCTAGACGTTAAAATTGTATGATAATTGGGGTATTTGGTGCTTTTAATGGGACTCAAAAACCTACATACCCAAGTGTTTTTATAATGCAAATATGTTTTAAGTCAAGAGCGCTTATATAATAAAAAGTTCGTCTATTATTCAGCGGAGATACTCGAAGACTAAGCACAGAAAGAAGAATAATATATAAAAACATTGAGCATATCATTTCCATCATTTACCTCCCTACCAGAAGTCTCCCATACACTGACCCACAAACCCTAACCT